ACCACAACCCCAACCCCAACCACAACCCCAACCCCAACCCCAACCCCAACCCCAACCCCAACCCCAACCCCAACCCCAACCCCAACCCCAACCCCAACCCCAACCCCAACCCCAACCCCAACCCCAACCCCAACCCCAACCCCAACCCCAACCCCAACCCCAACCCCAACCCCAACCCCAACCCCAACCCCAACCCCAACCCCAACCCCAACCCCAACCCCAACCCCAACCCCAACCCCAACCCCAACCCCAACCCCAACCCCAACCCCAACCCCAACCCCAACCCCAACCCCAACCCCAACCCCAACCCCAACCCCAACCCCAACCCCAACCCCAACCCCAACCCCAACCCCAACCCCAACCCCAACCCCAACCCCAACCCCCAACCCCAACCCCAACCCCCAACCCCAACCCCAAAATTAACAATTTTATTAATTAAAAAAAAATTCTAGAAAAAAAAGATATTATTAATAATGTCTACTATTTGTTAATATAGTACCAAGAAAATTTCATTTTAAAAATAACCCAAAAATTAATTATTTATAATAATCAAAGGATTGATCTATAATTAATTTGAAAAAAAATTGATTTTGAAAAAATTTATTATTTATAGGAAAAAGTTAGGAAGTAAAAATGAGCTAGATAAATTCTACACTTGATAAAATCAACGCCTTGTTTAAAAAAAAAGTAGGTGTAACTAATACTAGTTAAAGTTCATCAGTATAAATCAAATAGAGTTAAAATCAAGTAGCTTTAAAGTTAGATTAATAGTAATAATTCTAAGATGGACAAAAAGATCAAAATTAATAGTTTTAAGTTACAGATATTGAAATGATTCAAGATGAGAACAATTAAAATAATGAATTTAGAGACAATCAATATGAAGAAGATAAGATTATTCCATTTTCAGGGTAAATAGTTGATGGCTAAGAAGCTGCTATACAATCTGTTAATAATGATTTGATTAAAAAAAAAGTGTCTAGAATAGCTATGGCGAGTAAAACTCAAAAAAGACCTGATTCAATGAAAACAAAAAGACAATTGCAATAAGAAAAAGAAGAAGAAAGATTGAAATAAAAGATAATGAGAAAATCTGCAGGTGATGTTTGGGTAGATCCTAACATGGGATCATGGGCTGAAAATGATTATCGTGTATTTTGTGGAAATTTAGGTAATGAAGTTACAGACGATGTTTTAGCTAATTCTTTCAAAAAATATCCTTCTTTCTGTAAAGCTAGAGTAGTAAGAGACAAAAGAAGTTAGAAAACTAAAGGTTATGGTTTTGTAAGCTTTCTTGATCCATAAGACTTTCTTAAAGCTATGAAAGAAATGAATGGTAAATATGTAGGTAACAGACCTGTAAAATTAATGAAAAGTGAGTGGGAAAAGAGATCTTTTATAGAAAAGAAAGAAGATGATTTAGGAAATAATTTTTTAAAAAAAGGGATTAAAAAAGCCCCTAAGATGCCAACAAAGCATTGAAATAGTTAATATTTATAAAATTAAATCTATTGTATTATTATATAAATATTTGTCAACAAAACAAATAGACTGGCATAAAAACTTGAAAAGAAAATCATTCTTTTTAAAATATTTTAGATTCAATTGATATTTTATAATTTAAAATTTTATATTCAATTATTTAATAAATCAATCAATCAAACCAAACAAACAAAAAGTGTCTTTAATTTTTAAAAATAAGCAGATAATCATTTTCCTGTTGAAGTAGGTATAAATTTAGACAAAAAGGGGTTATTTTTTGATTTATTTATTTACCTCAAATATAAAAGAAAGTTGGAGTTACTCGATATCTTTTTTTTGGTTTTTATATATTTTGATGATATTATAAATTTCAACTCTCCTCAACTATAAAATTAAAATTACTAATTTTACTTAAATGAATGTTATCTTAATGATCTAATTATTTAAGATTACAAAATATTAAAATTAAATCGCTAGACGTTATAACAGATATTATGTTTTTACCAATCAAATTATATCTACGCTAAATGTTTTTTATTAGAAAAATTGATTACATTTTAATAAGAAATAGTGAAATCCTATTGCTTGTTTGTATAAAAAATAAATAAAAATACAAATTTCTCTATCTTATTCATTTTTAATAAATTATTTTAAATTTTTGCAGTTAATTTATATTTTAGCAAAATTTGAATTTAAGCTTATATTAGAATTATATATTTGATTGAGTATATATTTTTAATTTTTTAATATTTGAAATTAACATAAAGCTATCTATATCTCTAATTATTTAATCAAAACAAAAAATCTTCTTCTACCTTCGTTAAAACAGAAAAAATCTAAAAACTAATTAATTTTGTTAAACTAATAAAAATTATTAATAAATATTTATCAAAAGATGGATACAATAAAAGTCAATATCTAATAATAAAAAGCTATATAAGATTAAGTGAGAACTCCTTAGTTTGATAGAGAATCTTTCATTGGATTTTTAATCAAGGTTTCTATATTGCACGAAAGTGATATGGATGAGATAAATAAATTTTCAGATTAAATATAATCAGAAGATGATGCTCTTTATCATTTAAGCGATTATTTTGAAAGATTAGGGGATACAGAGCACTTTGAAAATGCAGAAAAAACTCTCGAGTCTTATAAAAATTATTTATTATATGGAGAAATTACAGATGAAAATGATTTTAGCTAAGATAATAAAATTGATTTGCTTCAACAATAGGTTAGCACTTCAAATTAATCTCCTTTAAAGTAAAGAAACGAGTTGTTTCATCATTTACATCATGAACCATCAGAAATAAATAATTAAGATGCTGAATAACAAGAAAATTATAGCAAAGTATTAGGAACTAACTAGCTTAATTCTAGATTATCTCAAAATTCTAGTCCTAATTATAGGTAAAGATACGACTAGTCAAGCTAAATACATGAAAGACTTTACCAGTAAGCATTTAATAAGCAGGAGTTTTAAATTTTGATGGGTGAAATTAAAAAAGAATAAGAAATCAAAGAGTGCACATTCTCTCCAAATATCTCCGCAAGCTTTAAATCAAAATCACCATCACGCCAGTAAAGTTAATAGGGAAATAATGATTTAGTATTTTCAAGACTTTCTCAGAAGAGGGCTGTAAATATGAAAGATTAACTCTCCTCATGGTAAAAAAGAGAAGAAATAGAGTTTTAAAAGTGCACATTTCATCCAAAGATTAACCTAATAAAAAATGACTCTCATAAAGCAAACAGCTCAGGTCCTTTAAAACAAAATTCCCAAGATAAAGTGTTTGAAAGGTTGTATAATAAGTATGGTACAAATAGTGAATAAGGCAAATAAAATTCAAATAACATGTATAAAAACACATAAATAAAAAGCTAAAAAAATATGGTAGATAAAAATTCTAATATGACTTAAAAAGAGAAAGATATGCTCGACGAAGAATAAATGATAACACCAGCTAAACTGAAAAACAAAAAAGATTTCTTAAAATGGTAAAACTGGAACCAATAAAATGAAGATAACTCAGAAATAAATAGCTTAAACTCAGGTTCATAATATTAATAGCAGTATTCATAATTGCAAAATAATTCAAATATTGGCTAAAGAAATGTTTACAGATAGCAAAACCACTCTCGAAATATAACTCCTGTTAAATTATATGGAAAGTAAGCTAGCTTATTATTTATATTTTAAATCATTTATTATTTCTAGTTTTCATAAAAACTAATTCAGTAAAAACCATATTGCGCCAATAATTAGTTGATAAAAACATAATTTCTTTTTTTAACAGTCAGTTGAAAATCAAAAAAATATAAAAATTTTAACAGAAAGATTTTTCTATTTAATCTTAAACTAAAATTTTGTTTTAGAATTCAATTGATAAAGTTTTTAAATTTAAATTAAATATATTTTAATGTATTATTTTCATTAACAGTTAATATAGAAGTGCTTCTCCTATTTCAAAATATAAATAAGAAAATAAAAGCTAACTAGCTCAGGGAAGTGATTATAAGTAAGCTCATGAGAGGCTTTATGATTTACATTTCCAAAGGTTAAATAACTAGCTTGTCAAAGAAGTTGAAAATAATTTTATGCAAAAGAAAGAATTAACATTTAAACCAGAAATATTTACTTAAAAATACAGAGAAAAATATTAATTTGAAGATCAAGAAAATTAGCAAGAACTTTATTAGAGGCTTTATGATAAGGCTGAAATATTTTAGTAAAGATTAGATTATAAGAAAAAAGAAAAAGAAGATTAACTATAATAAGAATTGAAAAATTGTCATCCTTAGATCAATAAGAAATCAGAAATTATTTTTTAGCAAAGTTACTCTTCAAGTTAATAATCTGCTTATGAAAGGCTCTATGTAAATTCAAAACAAAAAGAAAAAAATTTTGAAAAATTAAAATAAAAGGTTTCCTAAGAAGAAGGATGCACATTTAAACCAGTAATTAATTAATATCATACAAAAAATAATAAAATGTAATAGCAGAATAAAAATTTGAATGATAACGGGTAAAAATAACATAAAGAAAGCAAAAACTTAAATAATTTCTAAGAATAAATAGCCAATATAATTAATAAATCAATTTTAAAAAATGGCAGTTTCTCAAGCTAAGCTTTTTCATAAAATTCTTAAAGATAAATCGACTTGTAAAATTAAGAAAATTCAAGTCATTAGAATGAACAGATTATATAGAACTATAATTAGAATGAGAATGTTTCACCTAAGTAGTAAATTATTTAAAAGAAAAACAGTGTCAGTAGCTAAACTAAAAAATAAGACATAGATAGTCTCTCTAGCATCCCTAAAAGTCCTTAGTAATAAATTAGATAGAATAGCTCGTTATTGATTAAATAATATGAAGATAAAAACTAAATTAATCAATAAGCTTAATTACAACCAAGCTCAACAAAAAATAAAAATTCTAACCATCCTTTCAACATTAAAAAAAATAATTTTTTTTCATGAATAAATAAATAAATGGTATTTATTTTGTCAATATTATATTTAACTGTTTTTAAAAAAAGAAAGTTTATTTTGTATTAAATATTTTATTCAAATATATTCAAAAACTTTTTAAATATTTTATTTTTAAATAACAATGTCTTGCTATTTCAACTACAATTCATTTTTTTTTTGGATTTTAGCAATTAAAATGAGGATCTTACTGAAAAACTACTAATTTAACAAAAATGAATGTAAACCAATCAAAAAAATAAATATATTTATATAATCAAGCAATTTTTGAAATTAGTTAAAATTAATTAAAATAAGTAATAAATCTTAATTTATCTACAAAGTCAATCCAATATTCTATTTTAGAAAACATGAAACATTAAATTAAAAAATTGGATTTATCAAAAATATAAACATATTAAAATGGTTTATAGTAATCTTACCATTAGTAGAAAAGCTAAAAAAAAACTATCAATCAAGACCATACTTGTCTTACTGATAGATAGAAAGTAAAAATCCAAACAAAAATTATTGCTCAGAAAATTAGATTTATGCTATTTTTATAAAAATTAGGATATGCCATTCAATAAAAATAATGAATCAGCTATACTTTCGAATATCAAATCATAAGATGATAAAAGCATTAAAAATATAATTAAATAATATAAGAGTATCATATCTCCTGAATCCAAACTTAGCACAGAATTAAAAAATTAGATTTTATTAGGAATTAGGTATAAAACAATAGAATTATCATCGTATTTGTTAACTTATTTTAAAATACAGATAGCATTTAAAAGAATAGATTGAAATGTGTAATTAAATGAGCAAAGTCAAAAAAGTAATTTTAATTTATATCCATTTAGCTTTTAGCATTTTATTGAATATTGTTTTATTATTTTTATTTAATAAAAGGTTTTTAAGCTAGAAGTATAATTATCAAAGAATAAGCATGGAGATGTATTGAATTCTTAAAATTTTATTTATTTTTTAATAAATAGTTTATTAAAACTAAAATTTTAGGCTTAAGATTTGCTTGAGTCATCAAGAAAAGCTAAATAAATGGTTTCAGATTATTATAGTTTTTATGTAGAATATGCTAACAAGAATTACCAAAAACCAAGGCCCTCTGTATGTGCAACTTCTAGAAAAAATTCTCCTTAAAAATATATAACATAAGATGAGTTATTAATGAATGGCAATTAATCTAGTCGCTCAAAACGAAGCTAGAGACTTGAATATATTTAGCCAAAACCTGTATCTATTTTTTCTATAATATGTTCAATATAAAAAGATAATAAAAAAATGAAAGAAATTATTCAATTAATGAAAGATAATATTAAAGATCTAGAATAAACAGCTTTAAGCTTTCAAGTCCAGATATAGCATTTCAAAATAAATTTTTGTGTAAAATATATTTTATTAATGCTTAATAAAATTTTATAAATTAATTGAATTTACTTAAAAAATTAAAATTATTTAAAAAATTTTTTTTATTTCAATATCTAAAAAAGGAATATGAATAAATTTTAGAAGAAAAATGTAGGTATGAAGACGACTTAAGGTAATTATATTAGCTCTTTAAATATAAAAAATAATAAGAACCCTAAATGTTCGAATAAAATTTTAAATAAATAATAAGTCAATTATAAGAAGAATTATTTTATGAGTGAAACAAAATATTTTTAAAAAATCAATAAGGAAATTAATAAATATTAAAATTTAAATTAAGCTAAAATTTAAAATAGCAGTTCTTAAAAATATAATTAAATCACTATTAAACATATTTTTATTTATGTTTAGTTATTAATGTTTGAAAAAAGGTAGACTTTTATATTAGTTTTGAATTATTCAAATTATTTGAGAATAACCCTGAAATTTGATTTTTTACTAAAATTCCTTTTTTAAAATTATGACTTTCATTTTTTTCATAAACATATTTAAAATGAATATTTTTTTAATTTTTTTATCAAATAAATTATTTTTAGTTAAAAGCACTTGATATCGATTTTTATGAAGTCAATTAAATAAAAATAGATTTTGTTTTAGAAATATTAAAGGTGAGTTTTGAGAATCAAATTAAATATTAAATGTAAATATTTACATTCTCAATTTGTTTTTTATTCAAAAATATTTCTTATTTTTTAAAATATAAATTTTCCCAATTTTAAAAATTTTATATAAGCTTTTATCATCGATTTGTCATATTTCTAATGTGATTACATATTTGAGAATTTAAATTTACTTTTTTTAACTAAAATTAGAATGATTTATCATTTCAATATTTATTTAAAAGATTATAATTATTAAAAAACTCTTGGTTTCTACAATATTAACTTTATTCAAATTAATTACAATTCAACTATTTTGACAAATAAATAATATTATTTATTGATTAAGTCATTTAATATATTGAATTTATTTTATATATTTATACAAGTAAAAATTGATGTAACCTCATAGATCACTTTAAAATTAAGAAAATATTCTAGCATAAAAACCTCGCGGAGATGAAATTGAGTGTAATATATAAGAGAGCAATAACTAAATATATAGAAATATGAAGACTATTAGGAGAGAAAATATAAATATTGATAATCATAATTCTCAAAAAAATGAAAAATAAGAAATAGAGCAATAAAAAGAATACAAAATTGCTAAAGAACTACTTGGTATCCAAGATGAAAAAGTTGATGAAAATAAAAAAAAATACAACATTGAGATGCAATACTTAATTCCTATATTCATGTTTGGATTATCATAATATACATTAAATGAAAACTAAAATGCTTCTAATATTTAAGAAAAAGCTTTCAAAAAATAAGAAGAATTTAATAATTTTGAAAATGATTTAACTCAAAATAATCAGAACCCAACAAAAGAATAATAAAATCAAGATGAATTAATAGATAATATAGGCTTAAATGGTAAATTTATTGGTATTAAATAAAAATTATCATAACACTAAGAAGCAAATCAAAATTAAATTAAAAGAGAAGATATAAATAATTTGATAGTAGAATAAGAGGTATAAAATTTAGATCAAAATACAAAATCGTAAGCTATGAATGAAAATCTTTAACATAAAATAGGTCAAATAGAAGATTTTGCTAAAAAATATGGAAATCTGCTAGATCAAGGTGCTAGCTCAAATATGGAACTAATACAATAAATGTGTGAAAAGGGTATCTCGGATTTAAAGGTACTTGGAACTATATATTTAATGCTTATTTGTCTTTTAACTTAATTCAATATGAATTAATTGGCATAAAACTTATATTTTAAATTTCAAAAAGACATTATGTAAGTTTAGAATGATAGCTAAATGTTTGATATGGACATTTATTCCTTTATTGAAAAAAATATAAACAGTGTAATTTATTTAAATGAATTAATAATATTGGCACTTAGATTTTAAGAATTTATCCCTCTTTTGAACATATTTCTTTTAGTATTTTAAGTGAGAATTCATATAATTAGAGATCAAATTATATCTGCTATGTCAAAGAAAAGCCTAAGCTCACTAGAGATTATTATTGGAAACTACAAAAAAAGAGTGCCAAAAAAAAAGAGTAAAAGAATCGCTGGTAATCAAAAAATTAAAAAAGCTATGGAGCAAGTAACTTCATATTATGTATAGAAAGGTTCAATTGAAAATGAACATGAATTACTCCTCTTTATTATAAGTGAAGGTTTTCATCAAATTTCTGTAGAACTGCTTATGTATTTTGTTGAAACAAAACTAATTCCTCCATAATTATTTATCACAAAAAAAGTTATAAAGTAATCTTTGATAAATATGAACATAGCTATGTTTTCAAAGGCCTTCTTATTCAGATAAAAATGGGTAAAATCTCTCTTTTTAACAGAGAAAATATTTCTTCATATTTGCTAACTTATAAGATGTAATGAAACATTCGCTGAAGGTCTTTACTTGATGAAAAAAATATCATAAAAGAAGTAGAGATCCTCAGCTCCTCTATGGTATACTGAGAATATCATAGAACTCTTTGAAGAGGTAACAAAATTTAATATTTGAACAAATTTTATTAAACTTTCTAAATTTATTTTATAAATACCATCTAAAAAAATATCATAGGTTGCTTAAAAATAATCTCAATTTTATATGCTCCAAATTTACACTTTAAACCCTGTAATTTCAGCTATTATAATTTCTAAAATACTCTACAAATTAAGTTTAAACAAAAACCCTCTTTAAATTCAACTCAGCAGACTCTCTGATCACTTCAAGTATCAATACCTAATTACAATTCATTTTTTAAATTAAAATTTTTTAAATATCAAGGAATTTAGCAATTTAATTCAGGGATTAAATAACTGATGAAAGATAAATGAAAATGACTCTTTTTAAGATAATATTCCCTTCAGACAAATCGCTGGTTTAAATATGCAAAAGCAAAATAATATACACATATTACAACGAATTTTTACAATAAGATTTAGTCTTAAAATTATTATTTGAGAAGTACGAGAGCTCTAATCATTATGATATGAATCTACTATCTAGTTCTACAAGTTTTAACTATTTATTTAACTTTAAAAAAATTAAAGTACCATATTTACACTATTAACAAAAATTTGAAAAAATAGAAACCAATATTAAATAACCATCAGCTCCACTTATAAAATTTAATATAAATCAAAATGATTTAGATTAAGTTTAAGAAGATAAATAGTTTTTTGGTCATCTTCTATAATAAAAAGTTAAATCTAATTAATAAGAAATATTAAAGCTAAAAAGTTTGAACAATAATTAAGACCCTAATGAGCTTATTAAATAGTATAAAGCTGCTTTTCAAAAAAAAGAATTTAATAATAAGTAGCCATCTGAGAAATATGAAAAAAAAAAAAAATCATCATAAAATATATAATTTAATACTAAAAGGACTTTGAATATTTTCAAGGAAATAGTTCCAATAAGTTTTAAATATGTCTCTAAACTAAATCATTTTTATTAATACAATATTTACATAAAAAGCTTAAAAATAAGGTCCTATTTAGAAATGATTTTGTATTTTGCAATCTTCAACTACTCCTTATCAACATTCTTTTAAATTTTAGACCTTTCAAATGTCTACTTATAATTAAATCCAGAATTTGTTAATTTGCTCTTTAATTGCCCATCTAAAAGTCTTCAAGCAGAAATAGCAGTAGCTATGTAAACATATGTTCCAAGATTTACTATAGAAGAAATATAATAATATTAATCAACAAATTTAAGTCTTTTCTGTAGTATGCTTATAGAGCTAACAACTGGAAATATTTAGAAGTATATGAATGACTGGTAGGATGATTGCGTTCTTTTTGTAGGGAAAAACTAATAAGTAACCACAATTGTTGATAATTTTAATAGGTCTATTTACTTTATTTACTTAATACCAGTAGGTAAACATTTTTTTATTTTTTATGGTGATAAATAACAATATTTTTTTTTAAATTCAGTTTTTTTAGAAAATTTTAATCATGAAAATTGAAAAATGTTGGTATTATCATTCAAATTAATGCATAAAAAAAAATAAAATTTCGACATAAATTAATATTTAATCATTTTGAGTTAATAATAAACTTCATATCAAATTTAAAATGAATCTTAATAATTTATTAAATTCGATTGGAAAAATAATATTAAAAATTTCTTTAAATTTAAAAAAGATCCCTGTATGATTGATTTATAATTATAGCATCTTTTATTTTTATAAATAGGTTTTATTTTAAAAGTGATACATTCTCAGATTATTTAAAGGAGATATAAATATGATATAACAGAATATATAGATATATTTTTAGTCTACTTATGTATTTAGCATTATTTTATTAACAGTAATATAGAAAAGATATAAAATTCTTAAGACTGTAATTATTTGAGTTATTCAAGTATTTCTAACAATCTATAAGCTTTAGTCTATGTATTAACTCTGATATTGGTATGTCTCTTTGGCAAGGTTATTTAATTTTTGAGTAGAAATGAAAAGCTTGGAATTTTGATTAAAATTATTAATCTTACATTTAGATAAGTATTTTCTGTTTTGTTTATTTTTTCATTAGATATTCTAGCATTTGCTTCGCTTCTGTATCTATTAAGTTCTTATCGCTTAGATATCTATGATAGTTTTGCTAATTCAATAAGGACCCTGATTGCTACCACTCTTGGTACCTTTGACTATAACAATATGGATCTGGCTGAATCAATTATTTAGACTGTATTCTTATTTACATCTAATGTTATAATGATAAATCTTTTAATTGCAATTCTAACAACAACTTACAGTCAAATAACTTAAAGGAGTAGTGTAGAGTATGCTTTAATATTATTTGAAGAATATTTTATTGGAAAATTTGATAAAAATTATTCTTTACTTATAGCGTTTCCTCCTCCATTCAACCTTTTTTAGTTATTATTTTCTTGGGTTCTGTTTTTTCAAAAGCTTGTAAATATAAATTAAGTTTTTTAGATGATTGGATATACTCTACTATTATTAATAGTGTATGCTGTATTTATTTCAATCAATGTAATTTTAGTTCCCTTGGCTTGGTTTAAAATGATATTCACTATAATAAAACATGAATATCAAAGTATGATCCTAAACTTAGTTTTAATAAAAAAATAATTTAATATTTAAAATAGCTGCTTCTAAAGTAAAGCATATTGTATTATTTCTTAGACATTGGTATTAATTTTCAAATTGCTTTAATGGATAATATTTGGATTGCCTTATCTTCTTTTTCATGCTATTTTTACAGATTCAATTATCTTTATAAAAAGTGCTTATTCATCAAATAATAATAAATATAAATACAATAAAAATTTACTAAACTCACCTCTGCCTTAAAGATGCTACTATTTATTAAAGTGCTAGCCTTAAATTATTGATTATAGATTTAAATCAGAGTCAAATATTTAGCATTTTTAACTATTTTAGAATTATTTGAAGTTTAAATTCTTATTGAATGCTGCTGAGAACGAAAGAAAAAATATTGATGGAAAACCATAAAAATTATTACAAAACTATTTTCTTAAAGTTGTAAAAAATTTGTTAAGGAGAAAAAACCTAATGAACAAATTTAATAAAGAATTTAACTAAGAATATTAAAACAGATAGCATGCCCTTAGTGATACTATTTAAAATGAGCATACAGACCCAAGCTTTTTAGCAATAATGAGAACTAAATAAATTTACCTTTCTACTGAATTTTGGTAAAAGAAAAAAGTTACAACACTAAGACAATAGAATTTTTACAATTTAGCAATTAACCCTTCAATCAAACATACTCTTGAAGTCTAATAAAGCTTGATTAAGAAAGTCCAAAGCTAAAATCAACACATATCATAAATTCGTAGCATTTAAAATTAAATGAGTAATATTTAAGGAGTTTAGCATTCAAATTAAAATTCTTTTAATAAAATTCCTAATACAATAAATAAGTAATAAACTCAAAGATAAAAGTTGCACACCTTATATGAATAAATTGAGGTAGAATGAATATAGATATCATTTTTTTTATTTGACAAATAAATCTATAAAATAAAATTTTTGTGAGTTGAGAAAAAATTTTGGTTAAATTTAAAAATATTAATTAGAAAATAATTAAATTAACTTAAAATCTTTAATTTATTTTCATTAAAATAATAAGAAAATATATAATTTAAATGAAACCAAAATAAATAATTCTTTTTTATTTTTTTGTAAATACTATTTTTTTACTAAGAACTATTTTAACTATCTTGTTTTTTTTCAGTTTAAAATCTGAAGTATATTTTTTTAGTATAAGATAATTATATCAATTATTTAAATTCTATTTAACCAAATAAAAAAATATTTTTATCAAAAATAATTAGCATTTCAATAAAATTTCGAAAAAAAACATTTTATTTGTTTTTATCAGCGATTGAGATTTGTTTAATTTTACATTGTAATTTATTTTAATTATAAATCTTATAAAGATTTAATTAATTGTCATTACCAGATTTTAAGATATTCGAAAATTAATATTTTTATGTATTGAAAAGTAGAAAAGTTTATGTTGCAATTAAAATATTTCAATTATTTTAGAATTTTGAGAGCTAAAAGTTCTCAAATTTATAAATTTCTTACTTTTAGATACAATAAAAATCATATTTAATAAGTATTTCGCTAAGTAGGTTTTCAACTAATAAATTTTGAATGTAATCTATTGTATAAAAATAGTACTTAATTACATAATTAAAAAGCAAAAATGCTTAAATTTAATTAAGATAGCATGAAAATTCATATTAAAAGGTAATAATAATGCTAAGATATTGCTACATATATTAATAATTGAATTGTCTATGCATGTTTATTGAACTATTCTTTTCATAATGCTAAAATACTATATGAGAAATCTACTTTAGAGTATTAAAAATACTTACTAATTATTTGAAATACAAACATTCAAAGATAATATGGATATTTTTAATATCTCTATAATTCCAAGTTTAACTCAAATATAAATGATTAGCTTTTTTATCAGTATTCCATAAGCTTGTTAAGAGCGAGAGAAGCGTTTCTGTTTGCTCTAGCAGCAACTCTAGCATAAGAAGCTCTAGATTAATGAGTATACAAGTTAGCTAAAGCAGCACCTGCAAAAAGAGAGGTGACTGATGCAAAGATATTAGTAGATTTGACGAACTTTCTCATAATGAATTAGGAGTAAGCGAAACCACCAACACCAACCCAAAATCCAATTTTTTCATCTTCAACTAATGAGATGAAAGCACCATTCAATTGGTTAACATCTTAGTTGTTGTATTCGAAATCTCTGGCTGCCATTTTAATTATCTAAAATTTGCTATTTTCCTTTTTATTATCTTTCTTTTGAAATATTAACCTTTTATTGTTTATTTTAGATAGATATTATTTGTATTTTATTTTATTTCACTAATTTTCTTTTTCCTTCATGCTTTTTTGTTAGTTGTTTTCCTAAGAGTTAGTTATTAAAATATATATATGTATCAATCGATAAATCCATTGCTATTCTGATGAGGATCATACCAACTCTTAATATTTCTTATTTCATTCTTAAATATATTATTATTGTATGTATAACCAATTACCATTAAAGAGAAGAGCAAGATGATTATGTTTATAAAAAGGAAATATTAGCATACCCATAATTTGTATTACATCTTTCATTTATAAAAAATTAGATAAATTGATTTTTTTTTTAATTAAAAATGTTATTTTTATTGAATTAAAATTGTTTCAAAAAAGTAATTAAAATTATGAATTTACAAAATTAAAATAATTATTTGAATATTCAAATATCACAACAAAATTTTCCATCACATTATGCTTCTTTTATATTGATAATTTTTTAATAATTTTTAAAAAGCTAAGTAGGATATTTCCTTAAATTAAAATTGAATATGATTTTTTAAATTACAAAATAAATTAAATGTTTTATGAAGGAGAAATAGTGAAATTTAATCTATAATAAAATGACATATAAGTAAATTTATAAAACAAACAAACAATTAAATATTATGTTTTTATTATATTTATTATAAATTTGAGTACTTTAAGAAAACAAATAAATTTAAATTAAGTTAAAGAAGGGTTTTCACTTAAAATAATTTTGTGTCTTTAGTTTTTAAATAAGATCAACCAATTATTTTTAGAATTTGTTTTGTTTTTATATTAAGCTGATATGATTATACTATCTCAATCTTTGATGATCTCAACAGAGTCTCCTTTAAGAAGTCCAATGCAAAATGCAATATTATTAAGCTCATTTTTCTCAAATAAATTACCTTTAAATGTTTTAAGCATCTTTTAATTGTTAAGCCATATTTCTAAACACTATTAAGATTTACAGGGTGAATCATAATAGAATATTAATGATATTATATCCCCTTATTCCAAATTTAAATTTTCTAATTCTTTTACTGGCTCTTCTCTGCTATTGTAAACATATCCATTCAGAGAAATTAGATATGCTTATAGTCCTTCTATATACTTTAAATTTTATTTACTTATAGCTTCTCTATTTCCTATACCAAATGCTATCCAAGTTTTATAGTTTAATATTCTAATTTTTACATGGTAGATTTTTTTATTTTCATCTATATCTTTAAATTGAGGGAACAAAAATGCAAAGCGCTATACAAATCCCTTTTATTCCAGATTTTTATCTTAATTTGATATTTCAATTTTATCTCCTACAAATCTCTAATCTACCTAAAAAGAACTAAAAGCAGAATACTCATCCCCGTTACTTTACTCAATTTATTTTAAAATATCAGTTAAAGAAGGTAATGAGTTGTTATTAATTCTGGAGTCGCTTTAAGTGCAGGAAGAGGAACTCATGCAATCTTTTTCAACACTTTTACTCTTCTAAAATTTATCCTTCTTAAATAAATCAAAGCCATTCTTTTCAGAGAAGAACTTATCTTCTTGGTATTTATTTGGTAACTTTTTAAATTAAAACTAATTTTTCTATGAAAATTAGCAGGATGTCTCTTCTAGCATCCTTTCGAGTAACACCTAGCAATGATTATTAATTTTCTACATTTATATTGTAAACTTTTTAAGAATCAAACTTTTTAAAAAGGAAGGTTCACTAACTCTGAAATCTTTAATGTGCAACTTTTAATTGTTAGAATTCAAAAATTTAGTACACTCAATTATATTCTTTCTTTTTACTTTTACAGAGCTTTAGAGAGAAGTAATATCAATACCTTACAAGACGTTCACAATCAAATCTTAATTGTTTTTCTTAAACAATTCTCTAAACTCAAAAATGTCCTCCAACTTATCCTATAAGTTTTTCTTTTCTTTTCTAATCTTTTATTTTAAAAAGTTCATTTTAGTTATAACATATTTTTCAAACTAGTCTATATGAGCATAAATAGAGTCCAACTTTTCACAAATACTTTAGTTGAGCTATTCGAAATGTTGATCTTCTTTTTCAGGGCATTAAATGTTGTCGTCAACTTAGTCTTCAATAAAATTACATATATCGTCTATCGTAAAGATGGATTCATGTTCTAAGTGAATTTAAGTTGCACACTTTTCACATATAGGACCCTTTTTATTGCAAGAATGATCTAAGCAATAATAGATTGCCTTTTCTGATGTATGGATATTGCAATTCTTATTTCTTAAACTCATTTAACTTATTCAATAATACACTAAAATCTACCTTAAATTTTATATAAAGACTTTTTATAATATTTATATTTGGAAACAGTAATAATTTGATTTTTATCCAATTTTTTTCTTTTTTAAATCTTATAATATTTAATTAGCGGATTTTCCCTCACTTAATTTTGATAGTATGAACTCTATTAATAAGTACTTTTTAATAAATAACTCTATAGTGATAATATTAATTTTTTTTATGCTTTTTTAAATTAATAAATTCTACTTTCGACAATTATATTATAATCCAATTATTAATCATTTTTGCATATTGACATAAGAATTTATTATTTCTGATATTATTAATAATTACTGATTTTGATAATATGCTAAAAATTTTTTTATGTTATTCTTAAAGTAAAAAATCAAGTAAATATTAGGTATAAAAGTAAAATAAATATTTAAAAATAGGATTTAAGTATAAAATAAACTAAAAATACAACCTATTTTATCTTTATTAACTCCTTAAATTTTCTTTAAGTAATAATGGAACTTAGAGTTTTATCTTATAATAGCTTTAAATCAGTAGAATAAATATTTTTAATTAAATAATAATCAGGAAAATTAACCAGAATTTTATTTAAATAATTTTTTAAATAATATGTGGCATATTTTATAATTTTTTTCAATCAATATTTTAATTTTTTCATTTATTTTGTTATTATAAATTATTTTTTTAATTTCCCTCACGCCTCAATTCAAAAAGTCATTTTAATTTAATATAAATTATTTATTCTACTTATATTTATAAACTATGCTAAATATAAATTATTATCTAAAATATTTAAGCAATGATGAGTATTTTTAGGGTTCAAAATGCAAAAATATTTTTATTTCTTTAAATTTTAATAAAATAAAATTTATTAATAAAAATATCATTCAAATAATAAAAATGCTTTTGTAGTAAAGAAAAACATGCCATAGTAGGTAAAGATTTTTTAAATTTTTCTCTTTCTATTTTATACCTAAATTCTTTATTCATATTTTTTAGAAATTTAGTGTTAAGCAAAAAATTTGATTAATTAAAATAATATTGATTAATCTATATATTATTATTTTTATTTCTTCTGTTTAAAGACATTACTTGAAAAGTATTAAAATATATATTTATTATAAAATTAAATATACTTAAAATAATCTTATATAAATTATATTAAGAAAAAAACTTTATTTTTAATAAAAAATGTAATTTAAATAGTTGTTTTATAGGAAAAATTATGATATCAATATAAAAATCAAGAAATAAAAACATTTATTTATTTATTTACATATCCATTTTAATTAGTTCATTTATATATGATTAAAAGTGGTATTCCAACTGCTAACAAAATAATAGAGAAAATTATGCCAAAGAGAAATACTTTTCTTATTTTTATTATAGTTTGTATAGTTCGAAATCCTGTGTTTTAATCTTAAACTATGTTTGATGTATCATACTATTAAATTAGATTCTAAGGATTTTCATTTATTTTCAAAATTGAAAGGAGAAGGTAGTGGTCACTAGCACAAAGACCTATTCCTATTTTTTCTTTACCCAAAATCTTAACATCTTAAATTTAAAATAGATTGCAACTTTTACGAAGTAAGATTCTATCTAGTCTCATTCTTCTATCGTCAAATATGAAAACAGAGTTAATAAAATTATTTTAAGCCGAATCCCAAGTATAGCCATCTTAGAAGGGATATATTTCTCTATAAGTATCTATAAATCCATTTTCATAAATATATGCATCTTCATGCCTCATATGAAGATTTAAATCTCCTTAAAGAATAATATTATTATTCTATATAGCAATATTAGCTATCTACTTTATTGTATCATTAATATGCCTACTATTTAGAAAATTTCTATCTAAAATACATTAATTTACAAGGCTTAGCTATTTTTATCTAGATCCAAAGTCCCCTTCACCAGCCCATAAATGCGTAGATATCAAAATAAAGCTCTTCCATACTTCTTGGTTATGGAATATGCTAAATTGATACCTTCCTTACTTACTGTCTACTAAATATATGCTAGTGAAAGGCTATTTTGAAATTACAAATACCTCAAATAAACGTCTTTGATAAATTTTAGATACATGACTTACATAATAGTTTTATCTTATATATGGATTTGATAAAAGCATATCCTTAAACTCTTGAGTTACTTCCATGAGTGATAGTACATCTGGATCTGTCTCAGGGATTATATTTTCTATTATGTGAGTGAACCTTTTTTTATTTCTACTGTAAATGTTCAAAATTTTGCTAGGCATTCCAAATAAAACATTATATGTGCCAATTTTCAAGTTTCTTTACTATGAAAACTCAGAAAGGCATTAATCTTCTGGTACTTACTACCATTCAAATTGGTTAAATTTATAAGAACATGAGATATCTTAGTATATCATTTTATAAGGCTTACAAGAAGTAGTAATGATGTTTATTATTTTATTGTGTTTATTTAAATATCTTTTGATTTTTTATTTTTTTGATCAAAATTCATAAAATCCACATAATTTTTCATCTTAATAATTGCTTTCTTAATTAATACATCAATATTATTTGTCTCAGAATATTTAATGATCTAATCGGTTTATCATTTTGAGCTCAAGCCTGATTAATTTTATTTGTTATGTTTGATACTGTCTACAATAACTTTTTCTAATAAGAATTTGTTTAAAATGAATTGCTTTCTTAATTAATACATCAATATTATTTGTCTCAGAATATTTAATGATCTAATCGGTTTATCGTTTTGAGCTCAAGACTGATTAATTTTATTTGTTATGTTTGATATAACTTTTTTAAATAAGAATTTGTATAAAAATGAATTAAAGTTATTTATTTTAGAATTTTAAATAATGAGGAAAATCAAACTATTTATCATATCAGTTAATTTAAATATTTAAAATTTTATTTATAAATTAATTAAATTTAAGCACTTAAAAAAGGGAACAATCTAATATTGTGTTTTTACAGAATTTTATTCTGTACTTGGTAGAATATTTTTTATTTTAAAATAACTTAAGAAAATGTTCCTCTTTCAACCAATATAATCAACTGAATGTATATTTTTATTTAATATCTTATTTTTTTAAGTCATAATACCATTTTTAGTTAAAATTTTATAAAAACCAGATAAAAAAGAACTATTATCAAAAATTATACTTTTATTGAGAAAAATACAAATGCGTATAACCATAGCTAAGTAAATTTGCTAAGATTTAATTAATACTCCTATGAATATAAAAGAATTTTAGTACCTTATCTTTGTATTAGACGAATGAAGAAAATCAAATTAGCTAACATAAATTTATAATATTTTATTTTATATGATTTGCTATAAATTGATAAAATTCAACAATTAAAATTAGTTAATAAAATAGAATATTAGAATAGTATCAAATAAGGTTTATAATATTTTGGATTGGTTTCAACAAATATAATTTTAATAAGTTCAATAATTTTATTTGGTATGAAAAAATTATTTAATTGATGCTTTATTAAAAAAAATAATTAAAAAATATAAATTAAAATAAATTATTTTTAAAAGTAAAATTTTCTTTTAAAAGCTAAAAAATTAATATAATTTTAGGAGCAGCAAATTGATGATATGAATTATTACATTTTTTAACATTTGAATACATAAAAATAATCATTTATTAATATTTAATTTATTTGATATTGCTTTCAAAATTTTAAAGAATGTATCATCTATTATTAAAGTATAAGAAGGAATAATATGTAGAATACATTTTGAATATTAAAGCCTTCTTCTAACGATTGGTAGATCTTTAGACATCAAATTTATCAATAAAAAGCTAATTATAACTAAAAAAATAACACTGATAATTATAAAATATTTTTAATAATTATAAGTCTAACTATTAAAACTCACCTGGAAATAATCCCTAGACTTAAGAATTTGCATACTGCTAACTAAGGTTGAGAGAGCTATATTATCATAAGTATCAACATCCATTTAATTTTTAAAGTTGATATTATAACTACTATCAAATTTACTAAATAAATAGTTCATGAAGGACTATAAACCTTTTGTTAGCTATCCATTGTACATTAATTAACAGTTTTACATGAATTGAGAATCTTAAATAATATTTCCATTTTAGCAAACGTCTTAGTTGACAAAATTATATAATTAGGATTAAAAATCGTTGTTGAAAAGCTATAATGAGTAGACTGATTGTACCACATTTTAAAAAGACACAATTCTAGAAGTAGTTTATTTATATAATACGTTTTTTAAATAATTTAAATCTTGAGAGTTAATATAAGGTAATTTTTAGCTTTGGGATAATTCTTATTAATGGAGGTAGTATTGCATGTTAGTAAGAAGAGGAAGCTGTAAATTCATGTCAGAGAAATCTCTATAAAAATTTAACGATTAACTTGTGTTTTCTATAAATTAGTTTGTCAAAGTATAAATTGATATCGTGTATGCTAGAAAAAACAAATAGACTATAATAGACGTAATATAAAACTTTGATATTTTCATTCTCTCGTTTTAAATTTAAACATTTTATTTTACTCTGTGGCTAGAAATTTATTTCTCTTTATTTACTTTTTACAGGAGTCTTCTTTTTTTTTAGTCCTCTGCAATTATTCTATATTCTTTTTACTTAATATTAAACTAATATGTAAGCAAGGGTTATTCAGTTTATTTGACTATTTCATAAATATTCTATATTCTTTCTAATTCAGTTTCAACTTAAATAAGACTAACATTCTGTATCAACTTTAAAATTATAGCAACAGATTTCTCAAATTTTAGAAATGTAATTAAATTAACTAGCTAAATAAAAAGCAGAGCTAAATTTAGTAAAATTGTTACTAGCAATAATTATCGTTGTTTATCTTCTAAATACTATAAAATAAATAATATTAATATAAAATAAGTAATAAATTAATAATAAACTACTTTCTAATCGGCATCAAATTAATTTTTTTAAATTTAATCAAAGCATTTGAAAAAATTAGCAAAATTTTATTAAAGAAATTAATAACTGCTATCATTTAAAACTTACATCCAATCTTATGGAGATTATCTTCCTTTTTTATATAAAATATAATATTGTTATAAAGTTAATTCTTGATTTTTCAAAAATTTTATGAAAGAAATTTAACAATTGAAAAAAAAATTGATAAAGCACAGCGGTTAAAATAGGGGAAGGAAATTTTTGTTTTATTCTTTAAAGTGACAGATTTTATGAAGAAGATATTTTTTTGTTGCCAAAATATTATTTTTAACAATTTTATTTTTATTTTGCAATTTCGATATTTCTACAAAATTTTATTTTTTTTCCCTAATTGCTTACGCATATTTTTATATTACAAAATAAATAAATAAATAATAAATAAATGTAAATTGTAAATTATGTTTTCCACCACTATTTTCAACCCTGTAAAGATGGTCAAATTTATTCTTTATTCATAATTGAAAAAAATATTTTTAATAAATCACTGAAAAAAAGATTGTAAGCTTGCTATAAAGAATTGAAAAATTATTATAAAAAAGAAAATATTAAATGAAAAAAAATTAAGTTAAAATGTCCTGAAAATATTCTATTAATTGCAATAATTAAAATTGATTGCTAGGTTTCATTATAATTAATTAAAATGAAAATATAAATGAATTTTAAAAATTGAGTGGAATGACTAATTAAAATTTGTTCTATTTTAATTAAATTTTAAAAGCAAACTAACTTTTTTGAATATTTTATTCTTTAATTATTTTTTGATTCAACAAATATAATCTTTCATAACATTTTTAATGAAATTTTTGACATTTTAATTATAATATTTTTTAATAGCAATTAATTTTGCTTAAAATGAAAAATTCATAATTTAACACTAACTTTACTTTGTTTATTTAAAAAATAAATAAATAAATAAATAATTTATTTTCATTTGAAAAGATATTTTAATAAAATTTACTTTAAATGATTTGCATATGATATACAATTTATGCTAAGGTACTTAAATTTATCAAAGATTATTGATTATCAGAATTAGAGTTAAAAGGCTAAAATGTAAGTATATAATTTTAAGTGAACTATACTTATCCATAGTTTTGTTAGTACTCTTATCTAAAACTCTCAGAAAAGTTGCTAAATTATGTTCCTAATCTATTAGTAAGAAGAGTAAACTCTTATTTTATTTGTTATTGAGTGGAGTAAAAATTAGATTAGATATTAATTATAAAATTATTAGAAAGAGCAAGAAAACTATAATAGTGAAAGGAAGAGTTCGAATTTAGATTTAACGAATTTAAAATTGAACTCAAAAAATTAAATAAATCAAATATCAGAAATAATAAAATAATGACAGTAGCAACTAAAATAAGATATTCAATTATTTTTACAAATCCAACTAATTTAATAGAAAATGCAGAATTTTTGCCTCTTAAAAAATGCTCATAGTAATCATACTTATCTATGAACTTGCTTATGTTACTAGTAGTAGATGCCACAGATGTAATTTCTCCTTAGGCTTTATCCTTTATATTAAATTATACTTTTTTTTCCTCTTAAGTGTCAGAAAAGGTGGAAGATGACCTTGTTAAAATAATTTTCTCTTCTTTTTACAAGTTGTCTTAATAAAGTTCTAATTCATTTTGAGCAATTTAACCTGATAAATCTATATTTTAATATATATTTGAAATTTGTTATTTTGAATATGATGAGATTGATGACGGCTTGTTATTTTTGTACAAGTTCGATGGGATCGATAACAGCTAATCATTTTAAAAAAATTAGCTTTGATCTTAGTTAAAACTTAATTCCTTATCTTTTAATTCACTATTTTATTATTAGATGTTTGAAAGGTTTTGGATAGGCTTGATGTTATCAAACTATAAAATTATACAATTATTTAAATATTATTAAATTAAAAATGAATTAATTATTTACACTTTCATTAACTATAAACAAATCTTTAGGTTAATCTTCATTTATTTATTAAAATTACCCATTTTTAAATTAGCGTGTAGTATTTATTTTAGACAAGCCTATATCTTCTTGTATCAATGATTCACTATCTCTAATTTCTTCTAAATTACTTTCTAAAATATTTTTTTTAAAGACAATTAAAATTTCAATAATTAAAATCAAATTTATGAAATTAAATGAAAAGTTCTAAATTCTTAAAGAAAAACTTTACAATTTTTATGATAGCTTTACTTGAGTGTTGAATGATATTCTTTAGCAGCCTTATTTTTTATATTTTAATTAAACTTAAAATTTTATGAGTTTTATTTTTCTGAAAACTGCACCACTTTATTGCTAAACTAGGATTAAGATTCAGGTTTTGATGTATTATCATCTTGGGCAAGGATGGCATTTTTTATTTCTATAACGAAATAGCAGTATTTTCCAGTTAAAATATGTAAATCTCTCTTTTCAACATTTATGTCAATATAATATTTAGTAAAATTTTAATCCTTTTGGTTTGCTTATTTAGTGGGACTTATATTAGATTCAAATAGCTGCTAGTTTTTTTTTTAATAGGCATTACTTTATTTACTTAAATTCATAAATTGATCTTCTGCATTAATTTCTGTTTAAGTGGCTTGGATATTTTCATTTTTATTTTGCTTCACCTCTGATTATTCGATAGAGTGTTGAATTAAAGACATCATTATTGGATGATTATTATTAGGAAAAATAAAAGGAACCTTTTCTTTTTAAAGATAATTCAACTGAGGGTCAATAGAGTTAATTAAACTATCATAGTTAGCAAAAAATTATCTGATATCAAAACTTATGTAAGCTGGAAGACAATTTATCTTATATTTTCCAACAAAGCCAAATTTTTCAAGAGTGTTTTAATCAATTCCTTCAATAATGCCATTGCTATTAACAACAAAAAATCCACTATAAGTTGGAATTATTTTAGCGAACGCTACATATGGTAACTCTTCCTTATAATGGAGATTCAAAGAAATAAATATTTAGGCTCTAACCAAGTAATTGTTTTTGTTTCTTAAAAAGAGATCTCTTCGAGAATGTATAATGTTATCTTATCCTGTAGTCATCAAGTATCTATCAAAACAAATAAATAAAAATAAATAAATAAAATGTAATTAAATAAATGTTGAGTACTTTATAAGATCATCATGAATTTTGGCAATCGTGACAGGCATTATTTCTTTAATGTGGTTAATGTATTAAAATTCTTACTTCTTGTATCCTAGAACTGAAGGCAATTAATCAGAAACTCTCTGAATCCGACCCCAAACTTTACCCATAGTTATAGTCGCAGACACAACATCAGACCCAAATATGTCCATTACATTGTTTTTATGTTAAATAGTAAAGTCACCTTCATAACCATTTAACCTAACTTATCTAGACACATCTAAGGCTTTTTTAAAGTTATTTTAAATTTCTGTCAGGTAAAAGCAGAGATAGTTTTAATTTTTCTTATTTGGAAATCGATTATATAAACCAACAATTTTTTTTTCTAATGACCTTAAATTTTCGTTTGTATTAAAATTAATTTCCTCTAATTCAGATATATCTTAAAACTATTTTCTCATTTTTTCATAAATTTAAATTTTCAAGTCTATACTTTGTAAAAGCAGTTAATTGATCACATCCTTCTCCTACTCATATATTACATAATTGTTGATTTATAAGATAGACTTTTGAATTTCATTATCATTTATACGTAGATGCAATTAATATTGCATTTGTTTTTTGATTACATCAAGCATAGTTAGCAAAGATATTTCTTAGAATACGTTAATTTCCCTTCTCATTTTATTTTATTCATTTAAAAAATCTATTATTTTTTAAACTGAGTAAGTTTCTTTGTTTGATTAACAGAAAAAGTCCATATATCTTAAGAATTAGTAATGAAATTTTTCTTAGTCTTTTAAATAGATAAATAAAATTAATTTTTAAAACAAAAGTGTTTATTGTAAAAAATAAATAAATAAATTAAAAATTAAAAGAAAAATTTTATTTTGGTAATAATTACAATATTATTTTTGTATCCTCAAATAGTTAGTTTAAAATGGAATAATATTTTAAGAAGTAAAAATTTTATTTATAAAATGAATAATAAAAATTTAAAAATAAAGAATATTATATTTATTTATAATAATTTTAGTAAATTAAATTAAATATTAAAAAGGCTTTAATACAAAATAAGCAAAGTCTCTTTTCAAATAAATAAATAAATTTTTGAATAAAATATAGAAAAGAAAATTAAGTTAAATGAATTGTTATAATTTCAATTATAATCATTTTTAATTAAATGTTAAGGAAAAATCAGTTGCCTTTGACTAAAATTAGATAATTTTACAATTTAATATATATATAAAAGCTGTATTTAATATGAATTCAAATTAATTAGTAGCAAAAAAAATTAATTAAAATTAGGAGAAAAAATTTTTTTTAGAAATTTTGTAATTAACATCAAAAATAATTAAGAAATTTCCTGGGCAATTTCTAAATTTAAGATAAATAAAATAAGTAAAAATAAAATTAAAACCTTGCTTTTTTCTGTTTAAGTCAATTCTGCACAAATGTCTTAGATATCTTTCTATTTACATTTCATCAATTAAAAAATTAGTTTCATCTTAGCATTTATATAATCCTTATCCACTCTTACAAAAGCAATATAGATCATTACATATTCCCTAATGCTTTTTTATTAAGCCTGTTATTTATACTAAACATTTTCTTATCAAATATTACTTACTATTGTACATTATTGAAATCTTTTTTTATAAAAATTTCATTTCTTCTTATTGACAAACTTCTTCAGTACAAAATACTTCAAATAATATGTACCCCAAAAATCTCTGCCAAAACATTTAAAAGCTTAGAGCAATAATTGGGAGTATTATTAAGCATAGCATAGTTAAACAAATAGAATTAATTATGTTAAACGTGAAGGAAATAGCAGCTAAAAATGATGAAAATCCACATATCACCAATGAAGAAATATATTAATTGCATTTTTAGATGTTTGTAAATGGTAATTCTCTCCAAAAATCAACAAACATAATAATGAAATATAATATAACTATAAAATTAATTGCAACATCTAACGTTAATGCTTGTGAACTTGCTTTATCTTCATACGAATTAGGTTCTAAAATTTTAAATCTAAAAGCATTTATAAGAGCAAGTATATACTTTAAAACGTTTTAAAAACTAGAAATGGATGTAATTTGAGTTCTGGTTAAGTTTTTTTCTGAAATTGAAAAACTCTATTCAAATAAATGAGAGCTTAAAAAACTCAAACCTAACGAAATCACACTAAATACTATTGAAAAGATTCTGATTATAGAACTTTAAATTTGATAGCTATTACTTGATAATAATTCTACATCATAAGTTCCTGCTACACCTAAAATTAAAAGACTTTCTGTTACTACCAAAAACACCCAATAATTAAATAGTCCTCCAAAGACACTTAAAAAATGGGCTATTTTCTTTAAATAAAGCAATATTTTTTGATTACCATTTTCTCTCTATGATTGAATTTATTATTTTTTTGTAGAATATGTAAAAATTATCAAACCCAATAGACCTAAAAAAAATGCTAATATTACTACACTAGAAGCAATAAAGAAAGGTAGCTCAGCCGAAGCTTATCCTATATAGATAAAAAGTAGGCATGGCCTAGCAACAAAGAAAATGATTCTATACCCTTCATACCAATTAAGAGTAGCACTAAGCAAGTTTGTTGTAGAAAAAGGTAGAAAGGTAAAAGAAACTACTTGTAAGAAATTTAGCCAAATTAGGATATAGGATAGCTTTTAAAGATTAATATTGCTAGTAATCATACTTTCCATAATAGTGCTATAAAAGGGTTTTAAAAAATGTTTAAGTCCTTCCATACTTTAAAGAGCAAATAAAATGGTTTTTTATTTTTGAGCAAGTAGATATTGATAACTTTTTTAATTAGTATGCTTTTTAATAACAGTTGAATACAAAAAAATAAAAATTAATTACACTTTAAAATTAACAAGTGAATATTTTTGCAATTTTTGTTGCCTTTTGTTAATTAATTTCAAACAAATTTTAATTAAAATGAATAATTAATGTTTTTGCAATCATTAAAATTAAAGGTTAATAAATTAAATTTTTTTTTAGTGTTTCTAACCTAAATAAGTTGATAAAGTTATAAAAACCATTTATTTTCTATTTTTAAAATCAACTTGTAAGAAAGAGAAATTTTTCATTATAATTTCAGTTTAAGATTATTGCCTAGTTAAGATAAGAGGGGAAATAACATTTCTTAAAGTGCATTTGTTGAGGACCAAAAAATTTTAATTATAGTGAAAAATCTTTAATAAAAATTTAACTTACTTAGCATCTTTCAGTTTTTCAGTATTAATAAAAATAAAATATTTATTTCATAATAAAAAACAGAAAAATTTACTTTATAAATAAAAAATTAAATTGAAGAAAATAATTTTTTTTTGTGTAAGACTTTATTGATTTTTTGTTGGAGTAAGTTTTTTTCTCTCAAATATTAAGTGTCAATTGCAAAGCAAAAATTTAGATTTGTTTAATAGATAATAAATTTAAAAAAATTATTCAGAAGTTTTTTAAATTATAGTTTGAAAATTATTGCGCATTTCAGTATGGCCTTATAATGTAAAAATCTAAGGTTAAAACGGAAAGATGCTATTTAATAATTAATATTTCTTAAAATTCTAATTTTTTAGAAAAAAAAATCATTTTTAATGATAATTTTTAGCCTTGCATTTTGTTTTTATGATGATATTTCTATTAAAATTTGTCTTTTAAAATATATTTTAATAATAAAACAGTATTATTACTATCCCTCTATTAAATTTATAAATGAATTAGATATAAAATTATTTGATTTAGAGTAAGAGTTTTTTATCATAAGAATGATTCTACCATTTTCTTTTAAAAAGTTATTTTGCTTGCTAATGCTGATCAATTAATTAAAAAAAATTTAGATAGTTAGATTATTTATTTTTCTTATCTTATTTTCATTGCAAACTATATTTACTTGATTTAAATAAAATTTATTTCTTACCTTAAAACTGTTTGATGTTACCTGATCAAGATATTTAAAAGTTATTAAATGAAATTCTTTTATATTTTTAACTCAACTTAAAAAAATGATCATTTACTAAAATGAGATAATAACATTGCCCTGTATGTTTCTTATAATAAAAATGATGAAAAAATAAATTTCTTTTATATATTTAGTTTTTAAAAAATTTTTTCTTAATCGTTATTTCAAAAATTTAAATTTGCAATAAAATTTAAATTTCAATGTGAAAAAATAAAATAAGAAAACTTCTTTGAATAGTGTTAGAGCAACTCTGATAATTTAAAAATAGTTATAATACTTTTACTCTGGCTAAAAAGATTTTTTAATTCTTAAAGAAGATTTTAAAAATCATAACTAACTAACAAAAATGTAATTGGTTTCTTTTTAGTAAAGATTTTTATGAAATTGGATAAGTTGCACTCTCTAGGATTTGCTCATTCATTAAACCTCATAGTATAGTGATTAGATTTGATGGTGAACCTTATTTTGTTGGTTTAGAGGAGTTGAAAATCTTCTTTTTTTACTCCCCACCAAAAATTAAAAGAAATATCCATAAAATTAAAAATGTTGAAGATATCATAATTATTATTAATTCAAATATCTTATACAATTAATTTGATGAAATTTTGAAGATTTAAATCTTTAAAGGTCGTCCACAAATGATTGATAATAATTTAAATTTTCTATTTTTCCATTACTTAAAGGAAAAATAGAATTTTTTTTACTGAGTAATTTTCACATAAACCAATTTTAAAAATATTATTATGGATTATTAATGATTTAGTATGAAGCATGATATATTATAAAAAATAACATTTTATATAAGCAATTAATAACATCTTTACTTTTCTTATACTTTTAAAAAGGTATCATTTATTATGGTTTTAAAAAATGGGGAAATGAAATTAAAGCTGTTGTTTGCAGTTTAAATTTTAAATGTGTAAAAGAGTCTTCTATGAAAAAAATAAATAAATAAAATAAAGAGTATTAGTATAGATATTTTAGTTGATTGTTGATTGCTGTAAAGCTATATAAAATCTAATCTTAGACATAAATAATATTCAAAATTTGATATCAATAATATCTGGGGATATTTATTTATTTGTTAGTGAAAAATGTGGTGATAATTATAAGGATAAAAATTAAGTGACTGCAAATTTATTATTCATATAAGTATAAAATATGTGTTTCGAGTTATTAGTTTTTTAAATTTAAAATAATAGAAATAAAATTTACTAATACTATTTAATGCTAAGTTAATAAAAAGCCATCAATTCGACTATCCGATCACTTAGGTTTATACATGTTTTTATCCATTAAGAATATTAGTAATGCTTCAGGGTTATTTTTAGACCTCGACAGTCTGACTAGGTAGAAATTTTATATGTACTTTCCTTCATATAAAAAATGATGGTTAAAATAAAAACACTAAAAATATTAGTTATAATTAAGAAAAAAAATGTTTTAATCAAAAAAATGATAAAATAAATGATTAATTATTGCAATAGTAACATCCCTCAAAAATAATAATCATACACAAAGATTAAAATTCTATTATACACACACATACTTTTTTAAGGTTAAAAAATAATGAAAAATGGGTATTATAAACCAATAATTATCATGATATACAACATTAATGAAAAAAATAAATTCAGTTAATTAATATTTTAAACTAGAAAATGTTATTTTATTCAAAATAATTTACTTTTTTAACATAAAACAAGCATAGAAATTATTTGATTTTGTTTGGTATTTCCAACCTTTAATAAAATTAACATAAGCTTAATATTTAGAGTAAACACTACAATATAAAGAAAGTTTAGTAAAAGAAGAGTCTCAAAAATAATCAATAAATTTATGATTATTGTAAGTACTGTTTTCTATCCATTATACTTTTATTTAAAACTTCTATCATTTTTTTAATCTTATTTATATTTTAAATGGCATACTACTTTCTTTACTCAATAGAGCTGAATTCTTCTTAACTATCGCTTTAAATTCTTTACTATTTTTCAAATGATCTATCACCATCTTACGCTTAATTATTGCTTTCGAAAATGTTCATAAAATATTACATTTCCATTTTTGCTTAAGTGCATATTTATTTTCTAACTAGAAATCCTCTAAAAAAGGCTTAAATCTTTAGAATATTTAATTGATCATTTAGATTAAGATCTATCATCACAAAAGATTCAATTATTTCTCAATTAATTTAAAAAATTCTCAGATCAAGCTTGCCAATTATCTATCTATTTATTTATCAATCTATTTTTTTATTGTTTTTCTTTTTGATTAGTTTTTTTTAAAAATTTGAATATAAATTAAGGGTAGGATGATGAAAATTTTATTAAGTTTTCAAAATAGAATATAGCTAGATTAAAACCTACCCAATATCTTCATCTTCTTCCACAAGGTTTAAAATAGTGGACAAAGAGTATCTTGTATTGTTAATAATTAAATTAAAAAAAAAAATCAAAACACAGAATTTCAATTAAAAATTGAATTAAAATACAACACTAAAAAAATTGTTGAAAGAAAAAAAAACTAGTTGCTTTTATCAATAAATTCAACAAAATGTCCTACCTTTACTAATCTCCTCTGTCACATGATGAAAATCGACAACGTTCTAATTCATACTCATAATCCTCTTCAACTTATTAAATTTTTAATGAAGATAGATCCTCTTGTTAAAAGAACTCTGAAACCTCGAAAAATAATAAGTCTGTTTCCAACATTATTATAACAAATTTTCAAAATAGCAAACCTTCACAAATCAATAAAAATGTCTTTTCAATTTACTAAAAAATGGAAGATTAAGAAATGAAAAATCTCACTCTTTTCTTTGAAATCCTGACTGAAATTCATTCTCAACAATCATAGGACTAGATAAGAAAAGAAGAGTCTGCTTTAAATGAAAGAAAGAGAGAAATAAGAAAACTGAAAATATAAAAATACAGAGAAAAGAAATAAAATCGTAGATGGGATGTGCTCAGATATGAAGTGAGAAAAAATATAGCCAAGGGTAGACTTCGCATAAAAGGAAGATTTGTCAGAGAATGAAGAGTTTAAGAACTTTTTAAGAGTAAATAATCTGATGTTTTATTCCAGCTTTTATTTATCTGAAAGCTAATTACAAAAATAAAAACAGCTTGCATACTAAAAATTTCTCTCACCATAACATATTAAATATAATTACCTCATACCTAAAACCTACTAAGATAGATTTCTCTCTTACTTGCTTACATATCAACCTACATACTACTACTTCTTCTTCTTCAATTATAAAAAATTATATAACAACTATTATAAAAATTAAACTAATAAATTCTCATTATATGCATAAACATCTTTACAACTTATCTCATCTATTTATATTCGTTTATTAATAAATTTGTGATAAAATTCTATTAACTATTCTTTCATATTAATATTGAGAATAATAAATATATAGAGAGCTTTTAAAATCAAATAAACATAAATTTCTTAACAAAATTTATTAGAAAATTATTTTAGTGATGAACTATGTTTCGTCAGATCAAGCTTTTAGAATTCGAAGAGTATTTTTCATGCCATTTTTTCTAATAAAAAAAACTATTTATCCAAAAAAAGCTTAATCATTTCATACTGTTATTTGGCATTTTTAAAAAGTAAAAGAATTATATAAAAATGTGAATAACTAATTATATTTTGATTAGAAGTTCTGAATGGTTTTGTATAATATTGACTTCGAAAAGTAAAATAGGCATACATACTTTAGACTTCTATTTTAATTTTGAATTTTAATATTTTGGCATTTAAAAATGATACCTTTTATTAATTAAAAAATAATTCTATTAGTTAAAATACCTAAAGACATATTAAAAGAAGGTGATAGATAATCAATAAAGCTTTAAAATTATCTAAAAATTAACATTTAAGAGTATACTTCCATTTTATTATATATTTTATTTATCTTTTTATATTCTCTATTCTTGTTAGAGAAGTCTAATTAAGTAATAATGTTAAGGCAAATTATTTTTTGTAAAATCAAAATGTAAATAGATATTTAGTGGGTTACAAAATTCTTCTCAAAAGTTATGATTGAATTTGTTTTTAGAATGTTGTTTGTTGTATATTTCTAATTTTTTTTGTTAAAAAAACTTTCTAAACTAAATTTTATTTTATAAAATACAGAATAGAAAAAAAGTGATTTTTTAAGGCACGAAATTGACCGCAAGTATTTATTTTTTGCAATATATTTTTATGAGTTTTTTCAAATCAAATTGTTATAAATTATATTTAATTTTTCTACTTTTGATTAGATATATTAAAATTGGGAGATTTTATCAACTTTTCACCACACATCCTAAACAACAAGAATCCTATCCGATTTTTTGTTTAATAATTCTAAATTAAATATTCACTGAATTTTGCTTTCAATAGATTTATTTGATTTTTTAAGTTTTCATTTTCAAAAATATTTTAGAAAAACAAAAATAGAAATGTCTGAGTGAATGTGAAAAAATAGTTATAAAGATGGATGTCAAATAGAAAAGTCTTGAAAGATTAATAAATATATAATATAAGTAGAGATATTAATTCAATTTTAAAAAGAGCTGAAATCTAATAAAGATTTCTGAAAATCAATGTGATATATATTTATCTTATTGTAAATTAAACAAACAAATCAGGATCTTACTAAATTTTTATACAAGAAAAAGAAGAATCTTCCATTTAAAAATAATTTAAGATAAGCAATAAAATATGGAGAAGGATTATAGAGGCTCAACTAAATTTTCTGAAGAATAAATGAACATATATGATGTCCCCTATTCTTACCGCGATTTCTGTGTGGATTAGTACATGACTTATTTAATATGTGTTCGCCAAAATCCTTCGATAATCGAAAATGGTCTAGTCTACAAGATTCCATTTGCTAATTCTATATCATCTTGCAATGTTTTGAAAAAATAATGGATGGATTGCTAAGAATATCGTGAGAATGAGCTTTATGAAGAAATTCGTAAGGTTTACTTGTAATAAATGAAATAAGCACAAGCTGAAGCAATTTCAGAAAATTGAAATTATTATAATTTTTTTAAGAGTAGATGTAGTAAGAAAATTGATTAGAGTAAAGAATTTGATTAATTGATAAATAAAGTAATCTAATAAAATTTCAATATTGTTTATTATATATATATAATTGTGATATTGGAATATATTTTAATAATAATTTCAAATTATTTTTTATTTTAATCTATTTACAATACCAATACTAGATATTTTGAAACAAATTAATTTTTTTCTACTAATCCTATCATAAAAAATCAGACATAATTTATGTATAAACTCAATTAACCTAAAAACTTATTTATTAAGCAATTATTTATTGTACTTATATCTTTAGAAATAAAACATTAATAAATAAAATACAAAAGACAAAAAACCCCTATCTCATGACAAATAAAAAAACTGCTTTTGCTTACTTTTTTAAAAAATTCAAGAATTTATTATTTATCTCCAACATTTTTGGTAGCAATAAAAATAAAACTTATTTTTAATAAAAACGTTTATTTGCTAATATTTTATTTTAATTGTTAAAAATATGAATAAATTTTGTTTAAAAATATTAAAATCTCTTAATTTATTGCTCTAAAAATGCTAAAACAGTCGAAAATACCACTTCTGAAAATTTTCAAAAACAATATTTTCCAAAAAGAAAGAAGAATATGTTTAAAAAAGATTGTTTTGTTGCTTGCTATTTTTAGATAGGTAGGTAAGGCAATATATTAATCAAATGAATTTTGATATTTTTTTGGAACTTAACTACATTAAACAGTATTTGTTATAATATATTTCGTTTACAAATTACAGATTTTTAAATAAATATTAAGTAATTATTTAAATTATTTATCATTATTTTTATAAATATTGATATACGTATAAATACTTAACTTGTTTTAATACCATAAGATAATTTTTTTTATCTCGTTTATTGATTATATCTAAAAAATCTTGCAAAATATTCTTACCAATAATTTATAAAAATACAAGTAAACAATCTTTTACTCCTAATTGGTGAAATAGAAGAAATATTTACAAAATTGCTTAAATTTTTTTAAGAGTAAGAAAAAAGAGTTTTATAAATTAACAAACATGCATACACCTTATGTATTTTAAGCAAATTTAAGCTTTAGTTTATCAATAATTTATTTTGATAAAAAAATTCTAGATTGTCAACTAAAAAAATTGATGAAGTGATTAAAACTCTTTATTAATTAATTAATTAAGTATTTATTTGATATTAGTAAAAGAAACAAATTAATCCACACATATACGACACTATTTATTTTAGAATTTTACAGATTGATCATAAAGAGAAGAGAAGATAAGATAAGGATATTTTTTCTTTAAAAATAGTAAATTTCAAACCTTTATTTATTCTGTGATTTTAAAAAAAGTAAATTAAATAAGCAATATTTAAAAATAAGAATATCATTTACTTAAATATAAACCTTTATATTAAGATGGTTGGTTAGAAAGTTCTAACTATTCATAGCGAATTATTTTTGTAATACTGGAATAAAATTATAATTTAAATCAATCACAAAATAAGTTAATAGATAAATAGTGATTACTTACATACATAGAAAAATAATAGAAATTTTATTTTTATGAATCGAAGCTCTTTCTAGCTAATTATGATATAAATATATTGATAATTTGCAATTTGTAAGCATAAATGAAAGAAAGTTTGATATTTAGTAATTATTTTATATTTTATAGAAATAATCATTTTTTTTTAGTTATAATACAGTTGGTTGGTTAGTGAGTTAGTTAGTTAGTTCTACTTTTACTTAAAATTTGCTTACATTGATTGAATAAAATTGGTTATAAAGGCTAATACTTTTATTTAGTTGATTGTTGGTAGTTAGTTATTTATATATGTTTTGAGCTAAGAAGCATATTTTATATATTTTATTCCTACTAACTTATTTATTAGTTGCTGTTTTAAATGAATGAAAATTTTTTATTTCAAAATTGAGATTTTGTAGATTTTTTAAAATTTATTTATATAAAAAATATTTGATAATTATCAAATTATTTTAATTATAAATTAATGAATTTTTTTTAACAATCTTAATAATTTTGGCTAATTACGCTCATTTGTTTATTTATTTATCTATCTCGAAGGTTAATGGATATAGTATAATTATTTATTATATGAGTTTCATTTTATATTCGTTAAAACTCTTGAAATAGTTAAGGGATAAGCTTGTGAACTGAAAGATTTTTAACGCAAAGAAGATTATTAGTTAATTGGAGTGTTATTGTTACTTTGATTTGTATTTTGGTAAAGTTGATTTGATCCAAAATACACACTATTTTAAAATTCTTCTTCTAATTATTATTAGTTTTCAATCTACCTTTTATTTTAGACAGAAGGTGAGTCTACTCCTCCTTGCCCATTATAGACTGGCGAATCATTTCCTGTATTTTATTTGATATAGCTCTTTTATCTATAATTGAATGAATTTTTATATTGGAAAAGAGAGTCTTCTTCTTCTTTTTTCATTTTAATTTGATATATTTAATCTTACATAACATCATTTGGGATAATTTAGCTTAACTAATTGTTCATTAATAGTTATTAAATGTTATAATTTTTTTCATTTTTATTATTATAAATATTTTAAAAGCTTTAAAGAGAAGAGTTTGAGACACTTGTTTTAGATTTTCCTAAACCATTAATAAATTGTTACAAATCTTATTGTAGTGATACTTTCGTAGCTTAAGGATTATAGTTTTTAATTTCATTTAAATTTATATGGGATTAAGCTTTTCTGTTCATTGGAGTCATAGAATTGTGGTTAGGCGATTTACCAGATTAAAACTCGCTAGCAAAAGTATCTAGTGGGAAATATTCCTCTTACTTTGTTGAATTTTATTACTCCATCATGAGGTTTGAAGGTATTCTTTACAAATTTAATTCATTCTCGTTAGAAAAGCCGTTGCTGGTATCTTAATTAAAGCCATATCCATGTTCTGACATCTACTGCATAACACTTTTATTTGTTGAAATTAAATTTTTTTCTATGTTTTTTTAACGTTAATTGTTCATAGAACTCTTATTTAATTTATTTTTAAGGATATTTTAGTCCATTTAATTTAGTTTACTTATTATTTTCTCTCCATCTTCTTTATCTATTTACTATAATTAATTAATTTAATATTATTATAATTCAAGTTAATCTAGATTTCTAATTTTTATTATAAATAATAAAGTGAAGATAATAAAGCTAATGTGAAAAAATGAATGAATAAATAGAAAAAAAAAAAAACAAAGTTATTTATATGTAAAATTCTTATTTATTAATGCTTGTATTTTATTAGGATTTATTAACTTCATTTAATTAAAAGGCGTAAAAAATAGGCCTCTCTTTTCTTTGATTGGAAGAGAAATTTTAGTGAAAATAAGAATTAAAAAAGACAAATTAAGTTCTAAATGTTTTTTATAAAAATTTGCACCTTGACTGTAATTTATGGAGCGTTATTTCTTAAAATTATAATTTCTATGCCATTATCCTAGGTGTTTGAAGGTTCAGTTTATTGTTTTAATCCTTTAGCTAAGTAACTTCCGACTCTCTGAAAATTGTTACTTTGTGATCTTTCTTTTGCCAGTCTTGCCTAAAGAATTTATGATGCACTGGACTATTGAAAACTTTAATGATCTAGCTTTGCTGGGGAATTTTGCAGATTATTATCAGTTGCTCCAAGCTTAAAGTTATTGACCTTAAAAATGTTAGGTGATTCTTAAAATTTACTTTTCTCCATATTCTTGTCAACTATTTACCTTCTAGCATTTATTGGAGAAAAGGTATCAGATACTGTTTCAGATTTATCAAAATTATTCTGCAATGCTGAGAATATTGACTGTTATTATCGCTCATTGGTAGGGGTATATAGCTGATCACGATGTGTTATCAATTTTTAGCTGACAGATTTCTTCGAAAATACTCCTAAATGCATTTATTAAAAATTAGTGAGTAATTTTACATCAACTCAAAAATTAAATTCATAGTTTCATTAATCGATCAAACGCTTGTATAAAAGTAGAATAAACTCTAACTAGACTTTGTTAGAGTGCTTTAAAAAATAAAAATTTGATAGACAAACTATGATTTTTCTAAAAAAAAAAAAAAATTATCATACCATTATCGGTAACGCTAAACTGGCTCTAAGGTTTCCTTATAGGGACTGCAATTTCAGATTTAACGCTTGGTGTGTAAGAACGAGAAATATCAAATACATCACAACGTTGCATATTATTAAAGTCTACTTTCATTCTATCATTAGTATCAGTAATAGATGCAACTAAATCTTTGCTAATCTATGAAGTTTTACCTTTAAATCTCTCTTAAAAATTCATTTAACTAGGTATTCAATGTTTTTTCGTTTTTAAAATATCTATCTGGTGTTGTAAATAAATATGCACTGTGCTTATTTTTCTCTTCTTAAATATCTACTCTATTGATTATAGACTCTTTATTATGTTTTGTATTTTTATATTATTTTTTTCTTTTTTTTTCTTTAAAATAGTATATACAGCAATTAAATGCTTGATGTATTAAGATGATTTTTGATTTAATATTACTATAATTCTTTGCATCAAATTTTTATTAACTATTAAATCACATAGGATTTTAGATGAGTTAGTTTGATTTTTTTTATTTTACTTTTTAGTTGTATGAAACATTTTTTGCTCATCTTTTATTCATTAAGTCACTGATTCAGTCATTCTCTTTTCTTTCCAATCAATCAATTAATCTAGCAACTTAGACAGACAGATACATACATTTTCATACATATATTAGTTTAATAGAAAATTTAAATTACTGATAACATATTTAAACTATTTAATTAGTTTTCCCCCACAAATAAACTTGATATTTGATAGTTAGTATTATATTGAGTTAAAAGGTGTTTTTCCACCATAAAATTTAGATTCTCATATTAGCCTTAATTATTTCCTGTATTAAAAATTTGAAAAATTATATTTTAAAATTAAAGGAAATTTAAGTTTTAAAAGTTTTTATGGCCTTATTTAGCATTCATGTAAAAAATTTCTTTTACTTTATTCCAAACTTTAATATTATCTTTAATATAATAAAAAGTTATATTATGAAAGCACCATCATCTTCTCTGATCTTATTAGAATGAAAAAAAAATAAATAAACAAGGTAATCAATTTATTTCTATTCATATATTGCTTTTAATACAAAATATTTAAAAAATAAAATGATTAACTAAAAAATAAATAAATATTAATAAATAAGGTCTCAATAGTTGGCATAAACATGCTTATTTGATATAATCTAATTCTAAGAGCTTGTTATACTTTTTATTACTATGAAAATAATTATTTTTATTTAAAGCAAGCATATTTAACTTGTTTGCTTCTTTTATTAAGATTTCATTTATAAATATTTTCACATAAAAAATATAATTTTTAAAGACTGAACTAATTCATCTATCTTAATGAAGCTAACAGTTAATACTTAAAATTTATTTTTTTATGTACTTTTCAAATATATTTTAATTAAAATATTTATAAATTTAGAATTGAGGTAAAATTCATAAAAAATATATTTAATTAAAAGGTTTTTAAAAGTTAAAAGTATAAATTGAGTATCTTAGTGGATAAATTTTATCAAAATTTTACTGAGAAAATCAATAATTAGATAGGAATTAGTTTTTTTTAAGATTTAATATCTCTACGTAGAAAGAATTAATAGAAGATTTTAATAGCCACTCTTATTGATAAAATTAATAATATTAGGAGATACAAGTAAAAGATCGACTATCATTCAATTTATAAGATAACTCACTAAACTCAATTAAGTAAGTATATTATGGGAAAGTTCACAAAGGATAAGAGAGTACATAAAAATATATCATATTCCAAAAGCGTAATTCCTTCTCAGTGCTTAATTCCTTATTAATATTAAATAGGATATATATTACAGAAAAGCCAAGGAAGATTGTTTTAGAGCTAGATCTGCCTATAAGCTTTTGCAAATAGATGAAGTATTTGGTATTTTTGAAAATGCTGAGAGAGTTATAGATTTATGTGCAGCTCCAGGTAGTTGGAGTTAGGTTGTATCAAAAAAGCTGACTGAAAAAGGGTTATTGTAATTATCTTAAATTTAAAAAAAATTGCAAACATTTCATATTTTTATTTAATTTTATACAGAGTTTAATTTAATATAAAGCAGAATTTTGGTTTTTTATAGTTAGCTGTATTTAAAGGTTTCTATTTTACATAGAGCTTTATCATGATATTAATAAGATATCTGCTTACTTGTTTAAAAGAATAGATTTAATTTTAAGTTAATAAAATATAGCAAGGATTCTAATGGTGAAGATGTACGTATTATATCAATAGATTTACAAGAAATGGCTCCCATAGATAATGTTGTATAATTGCAAGGTGATATAACTAAAAAAGAAACTGTAGATGAAATATTACATAAATTCAAAGGTAACAAAGCTAATTTAGTTATCGATGATGGTGCCCCTGATGTTACAGGTTTCCATGATATAGATTAATACTTACAATCTTAGTTGATGGTTGCTGCACTTAATATTTGTAACGAAACATTAAAAAAGGGAGGACATTTTGTTGCAAAAATTTTTAAGGGAACAGACATTAAATTTTTGTACTCATAATTTAAATTATTCTTTAAAAGCGTATATGTTGTTAAACCTAAAAGTTCTAGAGCTTCTTCTGTAGAAAATTTCTTAGTATGCCTATAATACGATCCTCCTCAATCATTTGAAAACTCTACTACAAAAAGTTTATATACCTTTTAACCTGAAATAGAAAAGATATAAGAAGTTAATGAGTAAATTTCTAAACAAACTAAGGAAGATCAAAAGTATTACAAATTTGTCACATGTGGAGACCTTTCAGGATTTGATGAAGCAGATTGAAATATTATAAAATAAATATAAAATAATTTTTTATTAATTAATTAACTAATAAAGTGAAAACAATATTTTTTATTTAATTTTTTTTAGTAAATTACAAATAAAGTATTAAAAATGTACAAAATAGTTTTTTTAGTAAATTAAAAAAATTTTTTTAAATATAATTAAATATTCAAGAACTTTTAGTTTGTTATTAATTTTTCATATCAAGTATGAATTCTAATCCATTTTCAATAATAAATTGCTTTTAGATGCATTCAGTGTTGTTTTCGATTACCTTTTTTATATTTAAAAATAAAATTAAGTAACTAAAATAAAATAAGTTTTAAAACAATTACCTTTTGAGATTATTGAGGTTTTTGAAAGTATCCAAAAAATTTTGATACATATTAAATAGCTTATATGAAAGATTCTTCATTTAAGGCAGTTGAAAAGTGAGCGTTATTGATAAAAATGAATTGCTTAAATGATAACATTAATTTGTTATATTGCTAGAAGTAGTCTCTATGGTAATACATATTTATTGAAGAGAAATAAGTCACTACGTCATTTAGCAGGAAATCTTAAGAATAAATACCATAAACCAAATAGATCAAAGCAAGAACAATGTTTGATTTATTATAATTATTGCTTTCTTCATCTAATTGTATTAAATCTATAACTTTTTAAAGCTGAGAATATCTCAGTTTAGATTCTTCAGTCTTATTATTGAAGTAGATTTTTTAGTGATATTAAGAATTCTAAACTTAATTTATAAATTCATCCCAATATTAGCAAATATTCTATAACCATTCTTCAAAGCAAACTCCATTAATTTTAAAATTGAGAATCTATTTATTATAAGTTCAAACAAATATGAGTATTTTATCAAAAAATTAACCATAAATTTACATTGAGTATATCTAATTCTTGATTGAGGAATTAGTTGACAGTAAAAACATTTTTTGTAGATTCTATAAAATGTTTTAGCTTAGGACTGACTTATTCCTATAATTATTAATTAAAAAAATCTTTAAAAAAACATTATCCCACCTAAAATGTTTAACTTACTTCTTTTTTGGAAGAAATATAAACACAAGTTGCAGCGATCAACTGAATATTTTATTTATTTATTGAGCTAATTTTTTTTGAAATATATCTATCAAAAATATTGATAGCTGTTTAGCATGTTTAACGATTTAAATTATAATCTGAACAAAGTTCAAATATCCAGTTAATAACAATATATCTCATTTTTCTGTCAATTTGACAGTTTTTGTTTTCAAAAATACTGCATTCAAAATAGTAATCTTTTTCTAGCTTCATCAAGTTATCAATATATTCTTACTAATAGTTTAACTCCTTCTCAGCACTTTAGATTGTTATATTCTTCTCAAAATCATCTAATTCATTCTTATGAGATTGTTTGCTGGTAGAATCAATAATTTTAAGACGATTTTTTAAAGATAATTTATTATTTTATTAACTTAATTGTAGTTTTTATGTTTCGCTATCAGATTAAGGACTTTCATTCATAGCAAAACAATTAGGAGAGAGAGTTTCTGTGCAAGTAAAAAGATCTTAAGCTGCTTAAAAATTATCATTAAATGATGTAAAGTAGCTTTCATCATTATCACAAGTATTTTAAGACAAAAAGCTAATTTGCTTTTTTCTGAATTCAAAAATTTACTACTATCCTCCCTCCTAAGTAAATTCTGGAGAAGCTTCAAAGATTTATTGTGAACTTTCTTAGCATTTTTTTTTGCAAAAGTTTATTTCAAATTCGCTGACTAAAATATCTTCTTCTTTTTCAAAGCTTCTTAATTTTGTTTTCTATTAATAAAATAAAAAAGATATTAATAAATTATCAGAAATAACCAGTTTGTTTTTAAATTTTTTATTTATTTTTTTAATTAAAATATTTAAATTATTATTTAAAAACTAAATTTATTTATTTATTAAAAAATTAATTAAATACCTTTAATTTTAAATTTTGATTATTTGATGAAGATATTTAGTAAGGTGGAGAGCAAGGTGAATCATTTGTAATTTGAGTCTCAGTTTCTTAATTTTATAAAGATGAAGAGGAAAATTAATCTATTTGTGCTGGTTTGTGGTTAAGCTGTTTTACTTATTATTTCTCAACATATTATTATAAATTATTTAGTTGACCCCCTTTTTCTTCTTAAGTAAGCATACAGTAAGGAGGTGAATTATATATTGTTTAATCAGTTTTTTATTATTAAGAAGTTTAAATTATTATAGAGTTTTATTTAAGTTTTTATTATTATTATTATTCTTTAGGTTTATTATTAATGATTTTTTAGCCGCATTTGTTGATTTATTGAAAAGGTTAAGTAGGTTGACTTTACTTAGTATTTTGCATGAGTTAAGTAATTTTTAGCTGTCTTTTACATTCAGATTTTTATACCTTTTTATTTTTATTATTATGGATATTTATGTTAGCAGATTATATAATAGCAGCTGAGGATTAATTGTTTTATTTTTGAATTGGCACAGCTGGATTAGTAGTTTTTGATGAAATATTTTATTTAAAAACAATATTTGATTGCTTGTTTTCAACTAAGAAAAAAGAAAGCAATTTAGACATTTGTAATAGTTTTATATGTATTATTTAATGAGTTTTTAGTGTGACTTAGAGCTTGGTAGTAAGCGCGAGTTAAGGAAAAATGAGAACTCCTTTGAGTAATTTATATAAAGTTCAATATTTTTCTAATCAAAAGAAAATCTTTTTTCAGAAAAAAAATTATAGATTGATCTCCTGGTCGTATCTTTAAAGGTCCACTTTTGATAGTACTTTTTGACCCGCGCTTTTGATAAAATACCTTTTGAAGAGCAATATTTTTAACTTTTTGGCGGATTTAAGATTTATAAAATTTATCAGAAATATGAATTGATATGTCTCTTTCTTTGTAAAAAATTAGCATTTCATACATTGAATCAGAAATATCTCCCAACATTTTAATGTTTAATCACCTATTTTTATATTTTTAAATTGGTATTTTAAAATTTAACGAATAAATATCTTTTCAAAAAATTGATCTTCCCGGTCATAAAATTAAAAATTTTTCAACAACAAAAATTAGAAGATTCTATTTTTGATGACGAATATAGTTATTATTTATTATTTTTATTTGTAAAAATCAAAATCTAATCTTTTAATAAAATTAACTTCAATCAAATCTATTTTTTTATTCTATTTGAGTAAATTTATCAAGAAATCTAAAAATATGAAAATAATTTAATTTAAAATTAATTAAAATAAATAATTGATATTACTTTCAAATATAAAATACAATTAAATAAAATTTTATAATAAAATGTTTTTCATTTATTAGATTAATTATTGTTATTATGAGCCAAATTTTTTGCACATGATTCAACTATTTATGTTATATCTTTTTTCATTTGTTTTTTAGATTGCATCGAACCCAATGTTTCTTCTAGGGCTTTCTCGAAATTTTCATCCAAAAGTCCTTCACACATATCTAACATCTTATTTAATTAAAAAATTAAGGTTAATTTTAAAAAATACTTTTAGAAAACATTACTTCAAACAACTTTGTATTTATTTTTTACATCTTTACATATTTAAGAGAAACCTCCTAATATTTATCCTAGAATTCTTTTTACATCCTTTCAATTAAATTTCTCAATTAATTTAATTGGTCATCTTTTTCCTAAACAGTAGCTTTCTTAAATAAAATTACTAATAAATTTAAAATTACTTCCTAATATTTGGTGTACGAAATGATTTAATTTTCATAATTTTATTACTCTAAAAGCCATTACTCCTATCTATTTTGAAATTACTCATTTATTTCATCCTTTATAATTTATTGATTTATTTTTCTAAATAATAATGGAAATAAACAAATGATAAAAACTTACTATATATTTATTTAATTCTCTTATTCTTTACAAATCCTCTTCTTTTTACTATGAATTAGTTTCAATTAACTTTTTTATTTACTAATTCTTTTATAATTTAAAACATTTTTCAAATTTTATTTTTTCTTAAATTCTTACTTCATCCATTAGCCCCTCATGTCTTTACAAAAACTAATCTTTTTCTGACATCAAAATTTTATTATCTTATTAAACTTTATCAAGAGCTTCCTAGTATTATTCAGCTTCCATTTTTAAATTTTGCAATTAAATTTAAAGTGCTTCATTTGCTTTATATAAACTTTAATTTATTGCTTCACAGTCCTCTAATTCAAGCATAAACTTTTCTTTCTTTTTAAATAAATATTAAAGTTAAATAGTCAATAAAAATCTCTTACATCAGATTTCATTCTTTTTAGTTCTTGCTTTAATTCAATTAACTCTTCCATAAAATCTTGTTTAACATTTGATTCTTCTGCTTACTCAGTTTATTGTGATTGTTATTGCTACTATTCCTAAATATAATTTAATTAAATTTAGTAAATGAAGGAATAAACTAACATAGTTTAAATTTTACCAAGCTTGTTTTTAGAAATTCTATCTCTTTACTATTGATAATATCTTAATTTTTAAATTGCAGTAATTCTTTCATAAGTTCATCATTTTTTTTCTAATTTAATTTAAAATTTTATTGGAATTTTTTATTTTATTTTAAAATCTACTTTAAGTTATTCTATTTTTTCTTCATTTTTCTTGTGAATATCAATACTATTTTTTGAGTTTGATCCTTTTAATATTTAATTTTCAAGCTATTTAACGTATGTATTTTATTTTTTAAATGAATCCTCTTTCTCTTTAATTGTATCGTTAAGTCTAATTTAATAAAATTATTATAAGCTTTAAAATAAGAATACTTTTAAAATTATAACTTAATACTATGAAATTACAACATTTAGTCCTTTAACTTGCTACTCTAATTTATTGATTTATTTTTTCAAGTTAAATATCTCTATTTTATATGTAGTTTACTGATCGTTTGCCTATGTAAAATTAAAACAGATTTATTGCTAAATACTATAATCATCTTTTAATTTTTACTTATATTAAATTTTCTTGAAGCTATAATTTTTCTTTTTAAACTAATTCTAAACTTTTTTTAAGCTTATTTTCTATAGTTGAAGCTTGACTTCCTATTGCTGGTTATGAATTTTTTGCTTCCTTTTGACTATTTTGAGTATTAAGCCTACTAGATTCTTTACCTATAAAAATTAGATTATTAATAAAACAAAAAATTATCAATACAAACACACCTTCTTAAGTTTTCAAACGAGGAGACAAGATATTTTTATTAGGAGCTTCATTTTATTTCAAAATCTTATTTAATTTGTCTGGCGATACTTAGTTGGTCATAAAATTTTAGCTGTTATAATCATTTTAAATAGAGGAAACCTCTTCGATCTGAAAAGATTGTGGAAAACCATCAAAATGGTTTGAATTAAATTATTATGAATTATTAGTAATGTTGATATTCTAATTTTAGATCTTATCAGAAGCTTAAGTCACTTAGCCAATTTATTATTCTGATTTTGCTAATTCTTAGGCTTGCTATTTATTTGTTAACTTGCTTGTTGGGCTTTAAATTTTCTATTTCATATCAGTATTCATTTATAAATAAAAAATATGCAATTTTTAAATTCTTTTAAGTAAATTTAAAATTTTTTAACAAATATGTGATCATAAATAATCTTGCAAATTTTTATTAAATTTTTTATTTTCTACTTTAAAAATACTTTGTAAAATTTAATTTACAACAAAATGATTCACTAAAATTTAATATTTTCTACCAAAAAAATTATTTTAATTATTATTATAAATCCTAAACTAATTATATTTAGCTTTTTATTGTTTTAATTAGTATCATTTTTCTTTAACATTTATTATATATATGCTATTTACACATTTTTAATTGATGGTAAATAAAGATAATTAATTACTTTCTCAAGATATAAGAAGGATTTAAAATAAATATTAATGAATTTAAAATGTATAATTGCAATACATATATAAGATAAATTATTTTAAGCTACCATATTATTTATTACTAATTTATTGATTTATTAGCAAATTCAATCATGAAATCTAATATTCTCTGCCAAATAAATAGATGTAATTATTAATCTAAATTAGTTATTTTAGGTTATAATCATTTTATTTAGTATATTTTTTCTTTAACATATATTACATTTTTACTATTTTTTTTTTATTGATGGCAAATAACAATAATTACTTTTTCAAAATAAATATTAATAAAAATTTTTAAAAAGCTATAATTAAAATATAAATATATATACTAGATAGGTTAATTTAAAGCTACCATATAAACCAAAAAAATTAATGATATATTTTTTGACTTCATTTAATTTTTTAAGTAAATTAATTACTAAGAGTCTGCTCGATAGAATTTTTTGTGCAGTAAAGTGTTGCATGAACGGGCTTGGATTATCCTACTCTCAATGCTCTTCCTATGCATTGGGCATATGTACTTCTAGACTTTTCATAAGATACCCCAAATATAGGGTGCATAAATATAACATGGTTAGCTTCAATCAGATTAATACCACTTGCAGCTTATTCTATACTCATTATCAAAATGCGAACTTCTGGTACTTTTTTAAAGGTATTTAAACGAATATTAATTTCAGAAGGTTCTCCCAGTAAAACTACATGAGGAATATCTATTTTTTGTAACTTTTATGAAATCTTTTTTGTTAAATCATGGAATTAAGTAAATACAATCACTTTATCTTCAAATGGAATTTTATGGAAGTCATCTAAAAATTTTTCTAACTTGCTCTAATTTTTTTGACTTAATTCAGGATGTATTAACACTGTTTACTTTGAAATTTACTAATTACAGTAGGGACAATCTGGTACAGAGAGACTTTTACATAAGCTCTCAAAGCAATCAAAGCAGAAATTATGAAGGCAATTTGTTACTACAAGCTTATCTCTAAAGCACTAATTATAACATATGTTGCACTCAAACTGTTAATTCTAAATGATTTTTATGATATCATTGTAAAAATTATCTTCACTAAGAAGCATTTCAGCTCTTATTTTCAAATTATTTTTATTTTTTGCATCAGATTCTATTTTTATTTATTCATTAATTTTTCTTAATTGCAATTCTTGCATCTCACGAATCATTTTTATTGCTTGAGGAAAAGATTTTTCATCCAAATCTTCTAAAAACTCATATTATTAAGAGAAAAAACTTAGTATTTCTCTGGCTTAAATCTCATCTTTACAAACAGATCTCATCTTTCCTTGAACTAGAATATTTTGAATTTATTTCATGTATATTTATTCAATATGCTTTTATAGGTCTGGTAGAGGTACTGACCTAGGATTAGATCTCATATTATTTTTAATAAAACTGTCTTATAACTAGTCATACTAGTTCAGTGTATAATACTCCTCACAGAGATTTAAGAGAAAAACCATTGGAAAAGAATCATTAGAAAAATTCAAATTATCTGGTGTGCCAGTTACTCCCCAGCTAAATCTTCTTTTTATATTTTAAATTGCACGGAAGAAATGCTCAATATTTTTTTTAAAAAAAACATCAATTTAATCTAAATCTTATTCTTTTCTTTCTTCATTTTATTTTGAACTAATTAGAGTTTAAGAAATTTCGTGCATCTCATCATAAACAACTCTGTTAAAGTGTACGTTAAAAAGAGTTTTGAGATTAGGATTTTCAATTTATACAACTTGTATAGCAGCTCTATGAGTTAAAATGATATCGTAATCTTAATATATGTTATAGCTTTTTTGAGTTAAAGTTCCATTCACGGTTATTATTTTTAAATTTTAGAAATTTGACCAATCTTCAACAACCAAAACTCTTAAATTTGGAGCAAATTATTAATATTCTTGTTACCATTAATAGAGGATGTTTTTAGTAACAATAATTAAAGAAGGCAAATATACTCCATCATAAGCGATATTTAACTTATTATAAACTTCTGCTTTAGATTCAATATCAAAGCGATCACCAGCTGGCATACTCATTAAGGCGTCTTGGCTAATTTAATTACGTAAGTCCCAAGACTTTTTGAAAGATGGATCATTAAGCTATGATCCTATCGTAGTCAATGCAATAACTGTTATAGTTTTTCCACTGCCTATTTCACTAGCTAAAATTCCTCCAGGCATGTAATATTTCTTTGATTTAAGTTAATGCTTTTTTAGCAGCTTCTTTGGATTTGAAGGATGGAAAAAGAAACCAGTATCTAATAAAGGTATGAACTATAAATCATTATTAAACGTTAAAAATGGATTGAACTCTAAACTGCTCATCCATCCCACTTCCTTCTTCTAGTGTTCAAAAAGGTTATCATAAAATGTAACAAGTAAAGGATTTACAGTAGTATCGTCGTAAGAATTAGGTATTTCTCTTAACTAAAGTCTATTATCTTCATCATCCGTATCAGAAACATATTAAGCATACCTTTTTATAATATCCTAGAAGTAGAAAGTTTCCAAGAGCTATTACCAAGCAGAGTTAATTTCACCCTCATAAAAAGAGGAACAACAATTAATGTCAAGTAAGAAACCCCATCTTTATTTGTGAATAATAAATCTGCCAACACCTTTAGAGAGAGCAAATAGCTATTTGTTAAATAATATATCTTTAGCATCTTCTGTGATATTAACTTCTCTACTCAATCTTTCATTTTTTGGGTTTACTAAAGGCTCCCATATAAAACTATATGGATTACTGTTTCCAGCTTCCTCTAATATCAATATATCTTCGCTATGAACTTTAACACTACTAATTTTAAAGAAGATTGAGCTTGCATAATTCTACTTTTCATTTTTAAATAAATTCTTAAAAAGTTATAAATTGTTATTTTATTCCAATTCATTCATTTTTGTATCTGCAAGTAAATTATATTTATTCCTAATTTAATTTGAAGCTTCTATTCCTACCTTTACATTTAAATCATTTTTGTATCTGCTATTATCAATTAATAACTATTCATATTCCTGCTCAATAAATTATTGGTATAGCTAGCTCTGTATATTATTGAAGGCAAAATATTTGTTTTAAGCATAATTTAAATTATAAATTAAATAGTCGATGTAATTTAACCCTTTATTCTTTAAACGTTTCTATTGCTTTTACTTCAATTATTATTAGTCTTTGTTGATCTACTTATTTTACTAAGCAATGTTAGGTTATAACTATTATTAATTTTAGGCAAAACCAATTTATTGCTACTACAAAACATTTGATAAAATCTAAGCATTCTATATTCTACGTTATTATTCCTCATGATATTATTTTTGATGAGAAAAAAAGCATCCCATTTTTATAATTAAGTTTAATATTTTATTATTTCTAATATGTGTTTAAAACTTATATTTTATTATAAATACTGTTTAATTAATCTTATCCTAAGATCTTGGTCATAGTTATATATATTAAATTGTAACTAAATTAAAAAAAATCTTCTATTACAAATTTGTAAAGCATCTATTCTTTTGATTTGAAAGCTATTTTAAGTGTCGCCAATATTTTTTTAACAATAGGCCTTATCAGTTAACAAACAAACTTCTTTTCTATAGGTAAGGTACTTATTAGTATATAATATAAAATTGCAAACTTATTTTCTATTTTATTTTTTTTATTATTTTTATTATAAATCGTACTAAAATAATTTTTTTTTCCATTTTTTATTTTTATCAAAATTAAAATTATTTTTTTTTTGTAATCATACTTAAATTTCATTTTAAAAATATCTGATCATTTTTTATGAGTTGAAATCTCTAATCAAATTTATTTTCACTTTTTCTCTTTAAAGTAAAAGAAATTAATTATTTTTAGGTTTGGTTTAAGATATTTATGAAATATGGGAAAAATATATAATTAATAATTATTTAAAATTTTGATATTTTCTAAAAAAGAAAAGTAAAAGGAAAAATAAATAAATAAATAAATATATTAATAAAAGCTCTCTGAAATACAGAAAATTTAATAAATGAGCTGAATTTCATTTGAGCTGATTATTAGTATATAAAAATGATAGATTATCTATAAAAAATGAGACAAATACATTAAAAATATTTATTTCAATTAAGTTTTTTAAAAATAATTCCCCTGTTTCTATTTAAAAGCTGAATCTAATGGTTATACAGGCTTTAATCCATTCAAACAGAATTAGCTTTTAAATTAGATGCGCTTTCTCGATAGCAAGAGATAAATATTTTTAAAGCTCATAAAATTCAAATATTTTATTTTTTTTACAATTTTTTAGCAATAATACATTAACATATATTATAAAAGCTATTTTTTAAAGAATATTTAGATTTTGAATTATGAAATTTAAAAAGATGTGATTGAGATTCTGCTGCTGACTTTGATTTCCTTCTAATTAAAAATTTAAATTAAATATAAATAACAATAAAAATTAAACAAAAATAAATAAATATTAAAAATAAAGATAAAGATAAAATTAAATTAAATTAAAATTATCAATTAAAAACAAATAAATAAAAATCAAAAATTAACAAAATAGAAATAAATAAAAAAGATTAAATAAATAATAAGATACATTCAAATTTTTTAATTAATAAATTTTGAATACTTACTTTTCAAATAAAAAGAAAGCATTACAGTAAAATTCAGAATTTATTTCATATTTATTTTTTAGCAAATATTAAAAGCTTTTAAGAAATTCAAAAGGTTTTATTGCAAATCTGAGATAATTTTTGTTCTTATTAATTTTTATGAATATTATAATTTTTAAAACTAATACATTTAGAATAAATATAATTTTTATTTATTTTTTTAATAATTAACTAAATAAACAGTTAAATAATAATTTCTCAAAAGCTATACAAAGAATTTATAGGATGAGATATAGATCGAATATATATAATAATCTTTCCGATATGGTTACTTATTTTTCAATAAATTTAATTATAAAAATATTTAGAAATAGATGAAACTAATTATATTAAAAACTAGTTTCATACTTTCTATTTAAAGATTAATTAGTAATGATGGTAAAACTGAGTTAAATTATTGTTGTTTTTTATAAAATTTTCAAAAAATTATAATTGCATTAAATTAAATTAGAGATTGTAATTTTAGGTTTAGTTTATAATAAGGTACAAAGAAAAGATACTATATTTTTATTAAATATTAAACAAATGGATATACAATTCTGATTACTTTATTTATAGAAGTAAATCTTATATTATAGTTTTAATGATTATAAATATTTTTAAAATCTACAAAGACGAACATATAACTGAATCTAATATTTTTTAATATTTAAAATAACCAAATGACATGATTATTTATGTATATTCTTATTAAAAATTTAATTAGTAATGATAAAAAAAATATTTAATTACTAATTTTATTTTTTAAATGCAAATTTTATAATTCCATAAACTCTAAAATGAGTAATTAATATGATTAATATGTTTTACATATATATATATATATATATTCAATAATAAATATCTTAAATATTATTTTGTAGTATAAATTTAATTAATAATTTCATAAATTATATCATATATCTTACTTGCATATTTCGCATTCTAAATCATAGTCATAAGTAAAAAACTGTTATTTGCATGAAATACAAATTTTTTCTATTTCATCTAATGAACCACGTCTTCTTTTTCTGTTAATTTAATTTACTAGGGATGTTAAATAATAATCATTTTCATAATAATTTAAATCATTTATATTTTAGGTTTAAAAATCTAATTATTGTTATTGTTCTTGCTATTATTATTAAAACAATTGACACTCATAGCATTCAAATAAATAATTTAATAAATCATATTATTTGCTGTACTAAATAGAATTAATAATAGTTATCATATTTTAATTATTGTTTAAGTTTGCTTTTCTACACCATTTACATTACAAATAAGCAAATTAGAGAAGATGATAAACCTATTTTTATCCTAAAAATATTTTCAAAGGCATTGGAAAATCTTTTATTAGAACATTAACACTTTGTTCATTTGCAAAACTTATTTTAAATATACAATCTAAGCATATATTAAATTACTTATCTAAGAAGGTAAATTCAAAAAAATTTAACTAATTTTAGTTTGCTTCATTAGTTTAGATGTTTTGGAATTAGGTGCAAGCTAAACATTAATCTTAATTTATTTTTTAGCACTATAAATGATAAAGAAAGTATTGAATTTGAAAAAATTATTGATTATTTTGATTATATAAACTATTTAATTACAATAAATTTGTATTATATAAGCATTGAGAGCATATTTTTACAGTGTCTTTGTTACAACTTTAAGCAATATCATCTTACAACTTAATTTATATAAGTTCATTATAACATATTTAGCAGAATTATTGAGTTTCAATATTTTAAATCTTCATCAGACATTCTTCATTTATAAAATCTATGAAATATTAATTGAGGCTAGGCTTAAAGCAAACATCTACTTCTCCTTATATAGATTCTAAATAAATTTAATAGTCTTTTTACTAGTGATATTAGTTTTAAAAAAAAATCTTTTCTCTTAAACAATTTAAACAAAATAAACAATCTTAAAGTTTGTCTATATTTTCTTCAACATTTTAATCGTTGTTTTCGTCTATATTAAGATTAAGAGAATCTTTAATTTATTAAGTTTTCTCTATATTTTAAGTATTATTTTTATTATATGAGTCTTCCTATTGACATTTTTACTAGTTATTGATGGTATCTATCGATTCTTTCTAATTTATATGTAAATCGCTTTGATTTTAGTTTAAGTTATTTTTGATTTACATTTCTTAAAGTTATTTTGTAAAAATAATATGAAGTTTTTAAAATTCATAATACTATTGTTGAATTTAATTGCAACAAATACATTATGATTAAGCAATATTTTACTTAACCAATTCATAGAAACATTATTATATTTAAAGAGGAGTAAGCATAGAATTACTGGGTCCTTCAAGTCTAAAAATAGTATATTAATTTTAATAACAGCTTTTACATATAAATAAATCATTTTGTAATTGTAAAACTACATCTTAGCAGCTATTACAACAGAAGCACACATGTTTTTTTATTATTTTATTTATGCTTTGATATTTATCATCATCTTCTAAAAATAAATTATCATTTAAATCATTTTAATTATAATTATTTTAATAAAGGTTTTCCTCAGAATTTAAATTATATTACTCATCTACTTTTCCTTCATAAAAACTAGATTATTTAATATTTATAGGAGATTCATTTTTGAGTAAATTATCATCTATTTTGTCTTCATACTCAATATTTTTTTAATTTTATTACTATTTTTAAAGAATAATAGGTTCATCAAAGCAGAAGTACATGTGTTATTAACTAAATTGCTAATCAAATAGTATATCATAATGTCCTCCTGTATACCACACAGAAATATTTATTTATAATTCTTATCCAATCTTTTCATTGCTATTTTCCTAGATTTCCTTTGAGCCAAATGTTAACAAATTGTGAATTAAAGTAGTATCATCATTGTAATAGATATTTTGAAGCTAAAGTTTGCACTTAAAAGCCTTTTATTAATTTTATAAAATACTTTTATTTTCCATTCATAGATATATATTTTATAATAAAATATTTTCTATTTTAATAAAATAGTTAATCGTAATATTAACAAATTGAAAATCATACCCTTGCTGCTAACGAGAATACTAAGTCTGAAGCACTTTATCCATATATTAGTAGCATATTCGTAATTTCATTAGTCATTGAGTCATCAATGAAGAATTTAGAATCGCTATCTTATTTCATATTTTCATATTCTACTAGTAATAAATTTTTACAAACAATAATCAAGCTGAAGTCTAACTAAGGATTGCTGTTATAAAATTCTAAAAAATTAGCTACAGAAAAGTGATTTTATTTCTTTTTGTTTACCAGCATTTAAAGCAAAAAACTTATTGCTATTGTTTTTATTTCTTCACTTTAATTACTTGTAGAGTTTTTGCTAATTTTTTCTACTATACAAGGTTCTGTTGTTTCGGTTTATAAATTATAATTAGTTTATTTCTAAAATGTTTTTTGATTACTGCTTATGATATTCTCTCTTGCTTCATCAAGAGTATTACTTGATTCAAAAGAAAGAACTGAACTCTTAAAAGTTTCTTCTTTGAAATCTTCTTCTTTGTTTTATTCTTATATATAATTTATTTCCTTTAAGTTTTATATTATCTTGATTAGCTCAGTAAGATATTCGCATGATTCGATCAATGATATTTTTAAAATATAAGATACAATAAATGATCTATAGAAGCAATTTCCATCTCCTCTTACAGAAAGATAAGTCCAAAAATTATTGCAAATATTATCTAGTATGCTTTTTTATGTGCTTTTTAAATCTTTTTCATCTTCTTTTAATAATTTTTTTAATTTTAAATCAAGTAATCCTGACTCATAAATACTATTGACTCTATTATCTACAATTTGACTCAATTTATTTTCAGCAGGTACATTTTCATTAAGATGTTTTAAATTTAATGCTGTAATCCTGGCTATATCTTCTAAAGAAGGATCATCACTAAAATAATTGCTAAGATTTTCTAGATCTTACAATTAAAATTGAAAAAACTCATCATTTCTATTTTGCATTTTTTGAATTTTGCTTAATTCTTTTGAAATTTAATACACTCAAAATTTTTGATAATGTTAATTATTTATTTATTACTTTTTAAACTTCAAAGAAAAATAAAGTAATTGTATCTATCAGATATTTATTGATGGATGACTCATATTTTTACAAACTAATATAAGTTTTTAGAATATTATGAACAAAAATTTAAACAAACATTTCTAAAACAAACAAACAATCAAACTCTAAAATTTAAAATATATTAATATGCTTATTTATATATCAAAACAATTAGATAAAGCAAATATCTATATTTTATTATATTTATAAATGAACTTCAAGATTTATGCAAATTAAATTATTATTCATACAAATCTAAAAACAATATTTAAAAGTGGAAATATTTTTTTTCTATTATTTGTTTTGTGAATTTTAATCAAATTATTTATTTAGTTAATCAAATATCAACATTTCCAAACTAAAAATCAAGAATAAAACAATTTTCATAACCTTGAATTAATTTGATTTATTTTATGATTTTTGATGAAATAGTCAAAAATTTAGTACATTTACTAAGGAACTTCATAAACAGGAGCATGGCTCCCACCGTCAAGAGTGAATAGGTATGTTTTAGGATTATATTTAGCTAAAGTTTGATAATTATATACTGCATTATCATAAGTTATGACTATATCTTCTGTTCCATGATAAATAAGAATAGGACATTTAATATCTTAGCACCTATCTGAAATATCCCAAATTCCTAAATAAGCAGTAGCATCAACATAATTTCTTTGGCTAAACAATTAATCAAAAATTATATCTAAAAATCCTTCCTCACATTAGTTATTTTTAGGAAGTATTCTGTCTTATATTATATTTTCAAAAACGAATTGCTGATTTTCTCTTGTTAACAGATTGCCAATTTTCTGTAATCTTTTTTTAATTTCTATTACATCCTTTACTCTTCCTGCTTTTGACATAAATGGAAATCCTTAAAGATTTACTGATGCCATTAATATCATTGTTTCTATAAGCGTAGGTTATAGAAGAGCAACAGACATAGCTACAGCGCCTCCTAAGCTCCATCCTATAATTTAAATTTTATTCAGATTTTGCTTTTCACAAAAAGATACCACATCTTTAGCAAAATCAAACAATGATTCAATTTAGTGATTATAAGTTGACTTGCCAAATCCTCGAAGATCTAAAGTGTATACATTGTACTCTTTCAAATACTTTAAAAAAGGATCCCAATTTCTTTAGCCACAAAAATTACCATGGATCAAAAGAATATTTTTAGGATTATTAACACTTGAGATAGCAGTATATTTACGATACGATAGAATCTCACCTGAATCAACTTTTTAATCCATCATTTATCAATATTTTTGATTTCTAAATTAAAAAACTGAATAAAATTAATTGTAAACAATCAAATAAATTATATGTTAAATTATTAAATTCAAGATTTAAAAACAAAATCTTTTTCTTAATAAGGCTAATAGGGCTCTAAAGTAAATAATAGTGGTAAAATAATATTTATCAATTTTTAAAAAAGCAAATTAAGCATATTGAAAGTGCTAATAAATATAAAAAAATATGCTTTAAAATATTATTTTACTGTTTTTTGTTTTATAAAAAAATTTTTGGAGATATTTAAAAAATATTTATCTCTTGGAGAGTTATTATTAATTTAAATGTTTGATAGTATTCAGTTCTGATAATTATTAATAGATCAAATTAAAATAAGAAAGAATTTATACCTTCAATTATGAGTATAGAGTAATATAAATAACAAGCTAATTATTCATACCAAAAGAAGAGTCCACTCCCTCTACAGAATGTGACTTAACAAATTTAAAATACTATTCGAATAAAAGAAAATTTTGAAAGCCCTATATCATCTTCTAGCAACTATTAGTTCAGTACTAAAAGTAGATAGAAGTCAGAGAATTGTAGTTAGGGAAATGTTAATTAAGTTTTAAGTTCATAGGAAATCGTTAGTAAATATAACATGTATCTTTGTTCAACTAAATCTGCAAATAGAGAGTCATTAAACTCCTTCACCAAGCGAAACAATTTTTTAAATAAAGAAACACTATAAGACAGTTTAAGTACCAAGTTGACTGATTCTTGTAATGTAAATCCTTTGCTATCTTAAAATTTTAGCAATTCTAAGAGTCCTGCGAGAAGTTTATTAGGGGAAAACGCACAAATAGAAAGAACAAAATCAGAAGACAAAATAGCTAGTAATAAAATATTTTTGTAGTCTAGCAAAAGTACTGCTGCAATAGCTTTTCCTTAGCAGTAAGACTTTAAAATAGAACACGAAAGCAACAATTCCACTAATGAATTTAAGTTGCAGCTAATTAGAAAATTAGGAGAGCTAGAAATAGAATTGAAAAAAGAAAGCATAAAAAATTAAAACCTAGAATATGATAATAAAAACTTGCGTACAACAATCCATAAACTACAAGACTAATTTAAATCTTAGTCAAAAGATAATTTAGATTTAAGGAAGACTATCGATAGCCTAAACAAAGAGATAGCATAATACATAAAAATACAGAAAGAGTAATTAATTATTCGTTATTATTACAATTAATTTTATAGCATAAATCTTCAATTAATATTTTGAAATAATACTTTATCATATCCGTTAAACTCAAAATTTATTGAAAGCTAATAAAGACCAAATTAATTTAATCTAATATTTACTCTAGTGCTAAACTTTCATGCACGATAAATTGTTAAATAAGCAAATCAATTTGAAATATTTCATTGTAAACTGAAGCAGTTTTATTCAATTCATAAAATATGATTCTAAAAAAGTAATAAAAATTCATTAACCTAATAATTTATTTGATGTAAAAAAAAGAGAGTAGCAATTAGAGATGTAAGAAAAGAGATTACAATAAATATTTGAGAAAACAGAAATAGAATAAAAATTGAGCAACGAGTGTGATAGGCTTACAAGCATTATTGAAGACAAAGAAAGTTAAATTGCTAAATGGATGGAAAAATTTATGAACTTAAAGGAAATAAAGCAGTAAATAATATCAATGTATTATAACTAATTAATACTTATTTTAAATTTAAAGAAAGGAATTATCTTCTCCTAAAAGTTCTAAAGTTGAACAATAATTGAATGTTCTTAGAGAGTAGGTGTCAATAGATTAAAATGAATTATTTTAACTGAAATAATAAAACAATTAGCTTTAAAACTAGCTAGAAGAGACTGGAAAAGAAAAAGATAAATTAAAATTAAATAACTAAATGCTTATGGAACAAATTCGATAAAATAGCTAAATTATTCACTCATAATAATAAAAATTATAAGATTTAGATGGATAGAATAAAAATAGTGAGAAAAATAAAAAGGTAGATTTTATGATAATTAAATATTTTTCTCTTATGAAAGATAATAAATTGCTTTTAAGTTAAGAATTTATATTATTTTAAATTAGGTTTATGAACAAAGATTGGAAGAAATTCAAAAAATAAAAGAAGATTTAGAGTTGAAATAAATTGAATTAGAAAAGATAAATGAAGATTTAGTATATTAAAACAGAGAGCTGAAAAATCTCTAATAAAAAGGGGAGAAGCAAAATTAAATTTAAAAATAGAAATATGAAGAGAGAATTTCTGAGTATTAATAAGTTTTACAAGATTTAAAAAAGCAAATAGATGATTTAAATTAAAAGAATATAGAATTAAAGAATAGTTTAAAAATAAAATGTGAAGAATAAAACAATACCAAAGACTAAATCAGCTAATTTAAAGAATAGATTAAAATACTTTCAGAAGATTTAAACGAGAAGAATGATAAATTAATTTAAATAAGCAAGAAAGAGAGTTCAGAAAAAATGAAATAATTTGGATTTACCTAATCAGCTGAGGTTGAATAATTGCGTTTAAAAACAAGGCTTCAAGAACTTGAACAAGAGCTCTAAGCTTAAAGATGTGACTATGACAGATTGATAACAAAGATTTCAGAAATTTAAAAATAAAATGATGATTTATTGAATCAACTTTAATCTTAGCAAAAAAGTCATAAAGTATAATTGGAAGAATTAGAAAAAAATTACTAACAGCTCACCTAAACTTAAATTGTAAATACAAAAATTAGATTTTTAGAGTTTAATTTTTCTATAAAATAATTAGTAATATGATTTAATTATGTAAATAAAAGGATAGAGAAGTAAAAAAAGTTGTCCTAGAAAGTGAAAGAAACAAATTTTTCTCTGAAAACTAACAAAAATTAACAGAAAAGCAAATCTAAGCATATAAAGAAAAGATTTAAGAAATGGAGGGAGAGATCTAAAACTACTAAAATAAACTCTAAAATGAAATCTAAAAGGAACAGCTAGCTAGTTCAAGGAAATAAATAGATAAATTGCTTGAAGAAAAAGTATTTAATAGTTTTTAATATTTAAAATAATATTAAATCAATAGAATAATTAATTAAAGGAAACTTTAATATAAAAGGAGGAAGAAACTAAGAAGTTGAAGAAATTAAATGAAGAGCTTTAAATCTAAGTAAGAAATTAGTAAAATATCTTAAATTTAGCAAAGGAAAAAGAAGATGAAAATAAAAGATAAACTGAATAATAGTTTAATGATTTGAGAAAGCAGATTGAAATTCTTCATTTAGAGTCGAGAAATAAGTAAATAGCCCAAAAAGAATAAGAAAAAAAATTGCACGATGTAAGTTAATTTTTTATTTGCATTAGTTTGTAAATTATTTTATAAAGAGGATATAGGAGGCTATTTAAAAATTCAACAGAGACTTAGGCTAAAAGGAATAAGATATTCAATTTTTTGAAAAAGAAAATGAGAATTTGTAAATTTAGTTTTTTTATTTTTAAATTAAATAAGGTAATTAATTTATTTTTAATAAATATTTAAAGAAACAGAATTATAACTTAGTAAAAGATGACTATCAATTAACTTTAAAATAGAGTTTAAAAAAGTATTGCTTCCTAAAATGAGGATGAATTGCTTAAATCTTTAGGATTAAACAGTTTAGTAGAAGATAGGAACAATGAGGATACTGATTAAAAATAATAAAGCTTCAAATAATTCTAGATAGTTAATTCTATGAAAGAAGAAAAATTTATGAATAAATAGCCTTCTTAATCAAAGCTTCATAACTTTCCTACTTTTAGAGAAGATGCTTAAATACCATAGCAATTGAACTAATAAAAATCTTAGAAAAGTTTATTTACATAACAAAATTTTAATATTAATAATGAGATTAATACATGGAAATGCTAAGAAGAAACACCTATTTCTGACTCTGAATCAAAAATTGAGAAACACGAACTCTCTAATTGGAGCTAGGATGAATAAATGATAGATAAGTTACAAGATTAACAGTAAGTTAGTTTCAGCTTATAATAATAGTACTTTTAAAGAGAATAAGCAGAAGGCTCTGAAGTATAGAGCGATGCAGAGGAATTCCATATACCACTTTATCAAAAAAATGAATGAATATTTGATTGATTTGAATAATTAATACCGTTAAATAAAAAAATTTTAGAGTTTACTAAAATAATAAAATTAATTAATTTACTAAATAAACTTTTTTGTATATAAATATAATTTAAGCCTTTTATATTAGAAAATTATTTCTTTGTAATAATAAAATAAATAAATTTATTTTTATATAATTTTAATCAAAAACTCAATTAATTTTTAATTTATTTCTGATTTTTAAAACTTATAATTTAAATAATATATAAATAAATTAATAGATAGATATGCTAAGATTATTAAAATTCTAAACCAGTTATTTATTGATTATTATTAAATAGTTCTTTTTTAGATATTTTATAGTATTTGAATTAATTATTAAAATAAGAAAGACATGTCCAGAAATTAGGAAACGTTAGCTAAGTTCAATGAAGCAAGTGTTGAAGAAATACCTGAAGATTCTCATGATTAATATAATGAAGAATTTGAAAAAGATTAGTCTCATTAAGAAGAAAAAGAAGCTGAAAAGAAAAATGAAGATGATGATGCTGATTAATACAATTAAGATGAATTCGATTTAGAAGATAATTAAAATGATAAATAATAGTAAAGCTAAAAGGAAATTGAAAAAAGTAGAGATAATCTTAGTGTTTCTAGTAAATAGAGCTAAAACAAAAGTAAATAAGACATTTTATAGGCATAGGTTTCAAATAAAGCTTTGCCAAAAGTTGAGTATAGAAAAAATAATTATTTAATTTATCTTCGTGAAATTAGTGGAGGTAAATTTGTGTAACAAAAAGAAAGGGCAAGATAAATTAATGATAGAAACTAACTCAAAACATTGATTTACTATAGATTTGGAGATAAAAACTGGATAGAAGGTAAATTGAGAACTATGTTGGAGGTTCCGTTTGAGAGGAATTAAACTGAAGAAGAAATTGAGTTTAAATTGATAACAATTGATGAGGATGCTGAAGTTTAAGTTAAATAAAAATTTAAATTGCATGAATTAAATTTAACGAAAGAAAAACCTTTCGATACCTTTACATGTAAATTTGATTCTAGAAAAGATGGAGAACACAAATCTACTTATATAAAATTTGCTCTTGTATTTGATGCAACAATTCTTTCTTATGTAGAAGACTAGAATGAGTAAACTTTGTAAATATTCAAAGATAAGAAAAATTAGTAAGCAAAAAAGCTTGGCATACAATAACAGCAGCCTGGTAAAAATGTAATATTATTGTCTTTCACTCTGAAAGATATAGAGAAGTATACCGAATTTGTAAAGCAAAGAAAACAAAGTCTCAGAGATTAGATGATTTTAACAACTTCAACTAACTGGTTTTGTAGATATTTGATACAAATATAATTAGCTAAGTAAAAATGTTAAGTGTATCTTGATGATCCAGTACATTATTATATTTTATGTTTTAATTTTGGAATTTATTGACTCTATTTATTTTCATCATTTATAGGAAAGAGATGATTTGTACTTATTTTATACAAGAAACATGGGATAAATAACAGTTCAATTATTCGAGTAAATATATGAAACTTTTCAATTGGATAGCTATGGATAAATAACATATAAAGAAACTAAATTGAAATCAGAATCACTTTTAGGAAAGCCAGTGGAGATTTCTATAGAAGATTTAATCTCGAAAGGAAAAGGATATTAAATGTTTAATGAAACATTTGATTAAATTTTACAAACAAACTTTACGATATCTATGATTCCTGAAAAAACCTAATTTCATAATAAATTTCTAGGCTTTACTAGCATTAAAATATTAGAAACATCTGTATTCAATGAAACCTAATAGCCAACACATATGGAGATTTCATTGTACTCCATGGATAATGAGTTGATTAACTAAGTCTGGAGGCTAAAACCGTTTGCACATTATAGTTAAAATGTATAAAAAATATCGACATGGGACTATCAGCATGATTTAGTTTATAAAAAGAATTTTCAAGATGCTGAAGAAAATGTAGATGCTGCAATTCCAGAAGAACTATTTAGAAGAATATTGGTAAGCATATATATAAACAACAAACTATTGAAATTTTATAATTTATTATCTTTTCGAAATAACTTAGCAAGATGAAAGTTAAAATAGCGTCTCGAAATTAGAAGGTGACTTCCCAATAGATGAAGATTTTAAGATTTACATTAAGAATTACTAGCACCTAATGAGCTACGAGCCTATTTTAGTAGATTCTAAAGCAGATTATAAAGACTTGAAATTTTCCTAAAAAAATAATCATATTTTCTTTAAGACCTCTTGTCCATTCGACTACATTTCTATCAAATTATATAGTGGAGATCATAGAAAATCAGATAACCTGATTGGTGTTTATGAAGAAAGCTTTTTTAAAGTACCTGAAAACAATTTAATTTTAGGATATATTTATTTAGATAAAGATGGTAGAGTGGAGAGTAATTTTAATTAAATTGAAGCAAAAAATAAACTGAGTAGCAATAAACAAGATATTTTAGACAATGATAAGAATGATGATATTATAGGTAAACTAACTAACTAACAATTTTATCATTTATAAACAATTAAGAATATTCATTTAAATATACTTTATAAATAAGGTACTATAAAATTTTCGATAGATCATTTTGGATACAACAAATTTTTAATTGAAGACAGTGTAACTTGGGTAAAAGAAATTATTAATTATAAAGAAGACTCTGATTAATTAGTTTCAGAAATAAAAACTTCGATTAAGAATGTTATTAGCAAATAATAAAAATTGTAAGTTTTAAGACTCTCGTTAAGTGAGATATGGAATTTAATTGATTTAGTTGAGTAAGTTATTCCGTAGAGTGCACTCTCTGAGCAATTTGATCTCAGAAGTAAATAAAAACAATAAATACCATTATTTTCATAAATTTTAATTTTATATTTGAAAATAGTTAAATTAGGAACAATTTGCTATACAATCCGTCTAGTAGTGAATAGGTTTGATAAAAAGAGTTTCAAAAAATAAGATGTTTTGTATAAGTTAGAAAAAGAAAATTCAAGATGCTATTTTGAGAGAATAAACGATAAATTTTATTCTTATTCTAAAACAGAGGACTATGTGATTTAAATTTGTGTTGATACTGATATTTCTTCTTCTCTAATATTTTAAATTACTTCTAGTTTAGAGTCTCTTATTATAGAGTTGAGGACTATATCTAAGAATGATGAAGTCTTAGCCTTTTGCTCAGAATAAATAAAAAATATCTACTTTTTTAATACAGAAGGGTTTATTATATTGCCCTTAAGTATTCCCGATATTAATAAAAGATATGCTAATAATAAATATACAAAAGATAATTCATAAAAACTTGACTTTTTTAACAATACAGTCTATTTTAAATTTAACTTTGACTTTATTGAAGTTGACAATTTCAATTAAACACCCTAAGATAATTCAGCTGGTCTTTACACTTTAGGTTTATACATACCACCATAATAAAATTTAACAAAAGATAAATAAAAATTGCTTAGATAGTTTGTGTACTAGCTCAACATTCATGAAATCAATTCTGACAAAAAGTTTGAAAAGAATATAAATTTTAGTAGCATTATCCCAAAGTTTACTATTGATTACTTTAAAAATTTTGAGTTCAACAGATCAGGTGATCTATTTTTTGTAGTTAAAATAAAAAAAGTGTACTCAGGTGATTTAGAGGAAGATGATGAAGATAACGAATATATTTTTTAAAAGCAATATCATATAAATTTTAACTACTCTACAAATTAAGAAAATTATAATAAAGATATTAAATTAGAAAAAATTAAACTGAAATTGAACTCGTTTGAGTAAATTATTTGCTCTTTTTATGATGAGACTATTAATTAAAAGCTCTCTCTTACTCTATAAGTTAATTATAAATATAATTATTTTATTGAATATCCCCAACAACTAATCACTATCTGTATTCCTTTTGGACTAGAATAAAAAATGATTACAAGTGATATTATCGATTCTAATTATTCACTAACCTTAAAATTAAGTAGTTTAAGTAGAGAAGCATTAAAGTATAAAAAGAACTCTCAAGAACATGTTATTAGTTTTGGCAACAAGAAAAAAAGTTAAGACCAAGAGTACACATATGAGTCCTTTGATTTCAGGGTAAAATTTATTAAAAAATAGTATAAATAAAAAATTTTATTTTAACATGAATAGGACAACTTAGTTTTATAAATTTTTTCAGATACAGATTTAATGGAGACTTCAATTATTAAAATTAGCGATTTAATTTTATTAGATGCTAGTAAATCACAAGAAGATTATTCAATTCAATAAATAGAAGAAGGAGATAATGAGTCAGTTAATAATTTATCTTAAATTTCAATTAATAAAAAAAAAATGTTAACCTAAAAATAATAAATGCAGCCACCTTCAAGCGATTATTTATGGACTTTTATTATATTCTCTAATAAAAAATTTGAATTTTTTATAAAAATGAAAGACAGAGTTCCAAGAGCTGAAAAATCAGTCTTTTTAAAATAAGAATAGTCTATTGCACAATCTAAAAAAGACTCAAGCATTAATAAAGGAGGAGCAAAAGCAGCAAATCAATCAGTTTTAAAAGAGGAGAAAAAAGAATATGATTTATATACCATCAAAAAGATGATACAAGATAAGTAAAAAGAAAATCAATTATTGAGTACAGAATTATAAAAAACTTAGAAAGAGATTATAAAGCAAGAAAATGCCATTAAAGAACTAGAAGACATTCAAAAAAGATCTAATGCAAAAGCTATGGACCCCTAAAAACCAAAAAGAACCACTGCACCTATTTAACTTAGTGAAGAAGCAAATAAGGCTAAAATTTTGTTTTAATCTATTTGCTAATGTGGTGCTCCTAGCCCTAAATATAAGTAAATCATTATTTTATATATTTAATTTAATATCTCGAATTCATTATTTAGGGGCTTTTGTGAGAACTGTGTTGAGGAAATGAAAAATGAATACAAAAAAAAGTATGATGAATATAAAATAGTTGCAGACAAATATGAAACTCTCTATATAAAAAATATCAATACTGACACAAAGTAAACAAAGATTAAATATTGTTTTTATTTTAAGAATTATTTTATAATTACAGAATAATTAAAATGAAGAAGAAAATAGAATCTTTGTAAAAAGAAGCGGCCTTCATGGATTCTGAATAAACAAATGAGTAAAATGGAGATGAGAAGTTACTATTAGACGAAATAAATTTCATAAAATAAAATATTAAATTGACATAAGCCGAGGTAAATTTTCTAATTTATTTAATTATTAGATTTAATTAAAACATATGTTAAACTGAAATTAATATCTTATTTATATTAAATTTTTTCTCATAAAATTTCATTAATCTCTAACAGATTAAAATGATGCAAAATGAAAACCAGAGAGTTATTAATGAGAAATACCATCTTCAAAACTCATTAGAAGAAAAAATTGCTAATTAATTATAAAAAATTACCAAGCTAAATCAAGAGGCATCTGAGTAAAATAAATTTTTATTTTAAATTAAATATTTAAAAAAATAATAATAATTTTTGACAATAAAAAAACCTTATGCCTTTAATTAAATAATTTTATTAAAACGATAGATTTAAAAAGAGAAGAGAAGATTTAGAAGAGAAAATAGATTAAATTAATAAAAATTATGCTTAACAAAGATAAAATATTTGAAAATAAATTAAAATTTAACCAAAATTGATTTTATAAATTCTTTAATTTCTTTAATTAATTTTTGGAAATCAAAAATATTAATTTACATAAAGTTGCATATAGCTAATAGTATTATTTAAAAAAAAAGTAAAATATTGAATTTATGTAAATGCTACTAATTTTATTCTATATAACTTAAGTAGCTAACAATCGAATGTAAAAATACATGTTTTAACTCACTAAGCTAATCTAAAAATTTTTAATTGTAGGAAATAATGAATACCAAATATCAAATTCTATCATGTTTAAGATGTAAAAAATTATTTACAAAGAAGGAGTATAAAATAGATTATTTAGTTAATAGCTTCTATTAACAAAATTAAATAAATAACATAATAAAATAAACTTTAATATTTTTATGTTAATTTAAATAAATAATCTTTCATTTAAATCATATAGAAAAAGAAATTTTAATTTAATTTATTTAATACTTACTTTCACTTCTCAAATTATTAATTGTAGTTATAAAAATTTTAAACTATCTAAAAATTTATTTTTGTTAAATTTAGATGAGTAATCCACATAAAATTAAAATAAAATATAAAATAAATATAGGTTTATATTAAAGTATTAAAAATATATTGATCTATTTTCTTTAAACTTAATTACAAAATTATAAATAAAGTAATCTTATTTTTCTTAATCATTATCTTTTATACCATCATATATTCCATTTGATATTGATAAAAGAAGAATATAAAAAGAAAAAAACTAGAAAAACTTTTAAAATATTTAATTTTTTCTTTTGCAAATTTAAAGATTATTTGTAAATAAAAATGGTACTTGTAGCTTTAAAATTTGAAAGAAAATATTTAGTAAATCAAAGTAGATATCTATGTTTTAATATGGTGAGATTATGTAAAAGAATAATAAAGTATTTATAACATTTAGGTTATAAATAGATAGGCTTTCTTATCCTTTCATACATTCATTTTTTATATGGTCATTTGACTCTTCAGGTTAATATATAAAAATAGATTGATCATTATAGTATAAACAGAGAATTGAAGATTTCTTATCAGCCAAACATACAACAAAGAAGATTGACTTCAAGCATTTTTAATTTTTGCAAAAAATAATTGATTTTATAGCTTGCGTAAAAAAGAGAAAATTAAAACAAATAAACATTATAATTTCTAAAGAAATTTTTAAGGCAAACCAATCTCATTTTCAAAAAATATTTTTTTAAAAACAAAGCAGATTTAAAATAAGCACTTTTTAAGCTTTAAATATTCTGAAAATCTTAAACTCTAATTTATAAAAATATGAGTGAACCTGTAAAAGAATACTACACACCATTAGCAAATACTGATTAAAATTAAAATAATATCAAATCAAACAATTAGTATTAAAATTATAATGGCAATGCCAATAATATAAATAACAATGTGGGATATGAATAAATGAGTTAGCCAATTGGATAACCTATGATGCCTCCTCCTTAATATGGATAAAATGGAGTATATCCTGGCAATAATTACTATCCTCAAGCTTAAAATAATGGCTATTAAGCACAAAATGGGATATAAGGTGGTTCTTATTAAGGATCATCATCTGGAAGTAATTAATTCTATTAACAACCTCCCTATGTATAACCTCTATACTAACCTCCAGGTTATGCTTAAGGTGTTCCATTAGAAGCCCAAGTAAATAGGATATAAGGTTCAGGAAGCGCAAACCCTTAAGTTCCCATGCTTACTAACTTAGATAACTGTGAATATCCCACTGCATTTAGATGTAATTTTTGCTAAAAAGAGAGTGTTAGTACTATGACTAGAGAGCCTGGAACTGGAACATGGATGGCTTGTTGTTGTCTATTCTTTTGCACATTTGGTGTACTTTCATTTATTCCTTTTTGCACAGATTCTTGTCAAGATAAAAAGCACTTTTGTCCATTCTGTGGAGCCTAGGTTGGCTTTAGAGAATATAAACCTTGTGGCTGAATTGAACAAGGATCAGCTTATATTTAAAAAATCCAAAAAAAAACAAAAAAACAAATAATACAATACATATCACAAATATAATTAAGGCATTATGGATAAAAAATTAGTTGAAAGATAAATAATATTTTTAGATAATTAGTTAGAAGAGAAAAACAAACAAGAAAGGATAATTGCTAAATTCTTATTGATTGATGAATATTTATCTATCTATCCATTTATATCAAATTAAAATTAAAAATAAATATATCAAATTATAAACTATTGTATATTATTATATAAAATTTAATAAATTTAGCTAAATATGCATAATATAATTTTGTTCAAATACAATTAATATCCTTTCTCCTTAGCTTTACATTTCAAAATCAAAAAAAAGCTATATATTTATTTAGTAATGTTAAAGGTAATTTTCAATAAATTTTCAAGCCAACCCTCATTTATTCTTTGATTTATTTAGTAAATTTATGCACTTAAAATAATATTTTATTCAAGATAATTAAGTTACTATAAACTCAATTTAAGATTTTGATTATTCGAAATTATTTTTTTAATTTATATCTTAATGAATAATTTTTGTTTTTTTTATTTATTTATTTTTTCTTTTTACTTACTTAACTTCTCTTATAATAAAAGATTAATATTCTCTAGAAATAAATAATTACTTTGCACTCAGAATATTGAAAATTAATGTTGAAAAATGTAATTATCATTTATTATTTTGTAATATTAGCTTGAATAACAAATTGAATAAAATTTATATTTTTCTCCCAACTTGAGAAACTTTTTATCTAGATATTACTTAAAAATAAATAAATATATGCCTATTTTAATGTAAATTATACAATCAAAGAATTATTTTTCCAAGATAGCAAATAGTACATTAATTAAAGTAAGTTTAAACTGAAATATTTTATATTAGGAGTCTGGTAGGCATCAAAATTTTACTTTTAAATTGTAAAAAGATATTGTTAAATTACACAATTAAAAGAATACAAATTCCTTATAAACACTTAATATTTAAGTATTTTTTTATTTCTTCTAACTCCCTAATCAATTTGATTACAGAAGATTATTTATAGTACAAGTTCAGTGGTTATAAATTATCTTATTTAATTTATTTCCACTTACATTAATCAACTACCTTAGATTTTTAAGTTTTTGAAAAATTTCACAGATAAGCATCAAACAGTAATTATGTTTATAAATTTTTTGTAATATTGTATGTATAGTATACAAAGTTTATAAATAAATCATTTCTGTGGCTGTTTTTTATTTTAATGAGCACATTTAGAAGGAGGCAATAAAATTTTAAGAAAAAATTGACGTAAATAACCTATGCATTTAAACTAATTATACAGATAAATAAATGTGAGGAAATTTTATTCTTTGTAATCAAGATTAATCTAATAATTTAAGATAATTGTATTTGAATATAAACAAAAAATTTTTTAAATAAAATCAAAATAACCAATTATTATTAGTATAATTAATTTATTAATAATTAAAATCGAGTCTTATCAATTCTATTAATAAATAATTAAAAATTAAGTGTATAAAAGGAAAGAAAAGCAGGATCGATAGATAAATAGATAGATAGTTAAAAAAAATAATATATTAGATGAATCTTTTTGAAGATTACTACACACTAAGCTTAACTTTAATGGGTTTGCTGTTTACTTACATTTGTTTTTAATCTATAATAGAGCATAAAAAAATCCATGTCCTTCACGAAACTGGATTCGGGATTATCGTAGGATTCGTGTTGGGATTAATAATGAAAGCATTTGGTCATTCTATATCATTTTCAGGATAGAATTTCTTTTAAATCATGCTACCTCCAATCATATTTTCTGCGGGATACAATTTAAAGAAAAGGAAGTTTTTCTCCAACATTTTTTACATATCCCTCTATGCAATTTTAGGTACATTGATAAATTTTATTATCACTTTGCTCATAACTGATGGGTTTCTTAAAGCAGGGTTAATTGTGGACCTAAATAACGATCCTGTTAACTTAAGCACCTAAGATATTTTATATTTTAGTGCTACAATGTGCGCCTCAGATGCAATTGCCGCTCTAACTCTAATTAACAGTGTAGCATATCCTAAATTATTTAGCGTTGTATTTGGAGAAGGTTTACTTAACGATGCAGTTGCTATCATATTATTCAATGTAAATTTTATACCTTTATATTTATATTAATGATCATAATTCCAAATTTTTCCTAAGTAAATACTTACTAAATATTGAAATTATTATTGTTTTTTCCAAATTGCGTGTTATAATTTATATAAAAGATTAAAACAAAAATTATATTTTTTTAAATTAAAAGTCAGTAGGTACAATAGTTAACAAATAAGGAGAGGTCAATTTAGAAGCTTCTACTTTTGGCAATCTATGTTTATTTTTCCTCAAAAATTGTTTTCTATCAATATTTATAGGAATAGTTGTAGGTTTATTAGCAACATATTTTACTAAAGTATTCCGCCCTCTTGTAAAAGATCCTATTAAAATTAATGTATTCATATTAATTGTTGGATATTCTTCGTATTGCATAGGTGAAATTGCTGAAGTTTCAAGTGTTATTGCAATGTTAACTTCAGGTATTGTTATGAACCATTATATGAAGTATAATTTCGAAGAAGATGGATTAAAATCTACTGTTGTTACTGTTGGAACTTTATCTTAAGTAGCAGAATCAATATTATTTATTTATCTAGGTATTTCTTCATGGACTTATATTAGTGACAAAGCAAAAGTCTCTTTTTCATTTATTGGGCTAAGTTTTATAATTACTATTGTAGCACGTCTAGGATGTATATACTTTACTTCAGCTATTGCTTGTCTTTTCATGGGGAAAAAATGGGATTTAAATAAATATGAGCTCTTTATTATTTGGTTTGCTGGTTTAATTAGAGGTGCTGTAGCCTTCGCTCTTATTATAACTATACAAAATTCACTTAATCCAGTAATTACTAGCACCATTTTGTTTATTGTTTTCTTTACAACTGTGTTCTTAGGAGGATTTATGTCATCATTTATCAAGTATTTTACAGGATTAATGAGTAAGTCACCTGAAGTTTAAGAAAGAAACAAGAAAAATTAAGAACTTGCAAATGAAAAAAAATTAAAATCCAAAAAGAAAGTTTCGAAACTAAAAAATCTCGAAGAAGGATTCTTAAAACCTTTCTTAATTTACGATTATCTAAATAGAAAAAAATCTATTCAAGAAGAAAAAAAGAAAAAGTTGTTAGAAGAAATGGAAATGTACGAGTTTGAGAAGAGACAAAGTTTTGAAAGCTCCAAAAGCAATGTCAGTTCTAGAAATGAATCTTAAAGCAGCGAGCTAAACCAAACTCAAAACAATATTCTTAATCACTTAATATATAATAATTAATCTTAAGATTATATCATAAAATATAATAATAATATTGTGTATTCAAGTGAATTAAAAAATAAAGAGTCAGATTAGTAATAAAACTGTGATGGAGTTGAAAAATAAGATTAAATGTGATTAATAAGAGAGCAAACACACGCATCCTCACATGTTAGTTATTATCTCTACATAATTTTTTATTTAGAAAAATGAAAAACTAACTATTTTTAATTATATTTTGCTTATAAAAGCTTGATTACATCAAAATTATTAATAAAAAAGCGATAAAAAATTTGAATAATAATAATAATAATAATTAATGTATTTAAATATTCTGAATGTTTGAATTTATGTTTTAAAATTATTTTTATTAAATTTAATTTATTCAATTTTACTTTGAAAATTTAAAAGCAATTATTTTTTATAAATTAATAATTACTAATAATTTTTTATTAAATGTTTTTTTAAAATAAAAATATTTTCAAATATTATTTTTTTTACAAATATTTAATAGTGTTTATAAAATATTTAATTAAAGTAACAATATTTTTTTAATATTATTTTTTTTCTCTGTATATTCTTTTTACCTTACAAAAATTTATTAATGTTTTTGAAGATTTAGCAATTGTTTATTAAAAGTTAATCAAAATTAGAATTAATGGCTAACAAAAAAACAAGAAAATTTAGATTGGAATTACAAATAACATTTTTACACTTATAACTTATTTAATATTCCAAAAAATAAACAGATGTACTTTTAGATGAAATAATGAATGAAAATTATTCAAGACAAAGAAAATTTTAAATTGAAAAATAAACTTTAATTATAACTAGATTGAAATCGTTGAAATCATAAAAATATTTGAGAAAATAAAAGAGAAGTGCAGTAATTTATTTAATTGCTAATCTTAATTATTAAGAAATCCAATAAATTAATTAATATAAAAAATAAATAAATAAAAAGTTAAAGAAAATATATCACATAAGAATGAGCTTTTTTGATGACTTTTATGGTATAACTCTCTCATTGCTATGCTTGCTCATATTTTATATTTGTTTTCAAGCACTCATAGAACATAAAAAAATCCATTTAATTCATGAAACTGGCTTTGGTATATTAGTAGGGTTTTTGCTTGGGTTTATTTTAAAAATTTCTGGTTTTTAGATAACATTTTCAGGACAAGAGTTTTTTTAAATAATGTTACCTCCAATAATATTCTCTGGAGGATACACCTTACAGAATAAGAATTTTTTTTCTAATTTTGGTTATATATCTCTCTATGCTATTTTTGGTACTTTAATAGGTTTTGCGGTAATCCTGTTATTGACAATAGCATTCCTTAACTAAGGTATGATTACAGATTTGAATAATAATACAATCAACCTCACTGCTAAAGACATTTTATATTTTAGTGCTACTATGTGTTCTTCTGACACTATTGCTGCCCTAGCTTTGATAAGCAGCAAAACATATCCTAAGCTTTTTAGTGTAGTTGTTGGTGAAGGCTTGCTTAACGATGCTGTTTCGCTTATTTTATTTAATGTAAGTTTTATTATTCCTTTCATTAAAACAATCTTTGATATGTTAACTTTATATATGATTAATACTAAATATTTTATAATACATAAAATAATAAAAGTCGATTAGTAAAATTGTGAATTCTAATGGTGAAGCATAGCTTTCATCTACAACTTTTTGGAGTTTAATTTTCTACTTTATCAAGAGTTTAGTATTATCTATTTTAATAGGAATTTTTGTTGGGTTATTTGCTACATACATAACAAAAGTATATCGTCCTTTAATGTAAGATCCTGTAAAAGTAAATATATTTTTGCTAGCTATTGGCTATATGTCATACTGTTTAGGAGAAATAGCTGGTGTTTCAAGTGTTATTTCAATGTTGGGTTCTGGTATTGTTATGAATCATTACATGAAGCATAATATGGAGGAAGAAAGTCTTAAAACGACAACTGTGACAATTAGCACTATCTCTTCTATAACAGAATCAATTTTATTTATTTATCTGGGACTTTCTTCTTGGAGTTACATTGGAGATAAATCAAAGATTTCTTACTCGTTTATATTACTAGGCTTTTTAATGACTTTAATTGCCCGTTTCGGATGTATATATATTACATCTTTGATTGCAAAAACAATTATGAAAATAAAATGGGGATTAAATAAATATGAATTGTTAATAATTTGGTTTTCTGGGTTAATTAGAGGTGCAGTTGCATTCGCATTAATTATAAATGTCGAAAATTAACTAAATCCTGTGGTTACTAGCACTGTTTTATTCATAGTATTCTTCACTACTATATTACTTGGAGGTTTTATGTAGTCGTTTATAAAAAAGACTACTCAAACTATGGAGAATTCCTTAAAAGTCAAAGAAAATAATTTAGTTTTATTAGGAATCGAAATAGAAAAAAGGAAATTAAAAACTGTGTACAATGCTTCAATATTTAGGCTCTTAGAAGATGGTTTTCTAAAGTCTAAATTTATATTTGATTATCCTAATAAGTAAAAAATTTTTAAAGAAGAAAAGAAGAAAAGACTTCAATAAAGAATAGAAGAATATAATCAATTAAAACTGTCAATTTAGTAATACAAGTAATAAAATGAAATAGTAAAAAGCAATTAAAATAATTTAGATTAGTCATTATAAAATGGCATAAACAATTTAATGTTAACATAGGCGAAGGAATGTGGACAAAATTATAACGTTGAATTTGCCGATAATTATAAAATATCTACTACTGATACTTAAAACAAACAAGAAATAGATTAATATTAGATAGAAAACAAGCTATGAAGAATTATCATTGTTAAAAACTTTAAAATTACTTCAATATTGTAATATAAAATTAATAACATTAAAAACAATAAAACCTTGTATCAAATTTTATTTTAAATTCCTAACCATTAATCGAAATCGTTAAATAAAATTACTTCATACAATATACCAAAATAAAACATTTCTTCTCAATTTTGATGTTCCTATGATAAGATCATTTAGTTTAAATAAAAAAATAAATAATAATTTGATCTTATGGCAATTTAATTTTAATTTCTTTCTAAGATATTTATCAAAAATTTTCTTATCAATTTTTTTAGTTTTTTTTGAAAAGAAAAGAAAGAAAAAACTTAACTTAATTTGGAAAGTTTTTGTAAATATTTGTTAATTAATTTATTTACAAATAATTAATCTAAACCGTAATTATAATTGTGTTAATTAATTAATCATTATTTAATGAATGAGTAAAAAACTGGAGAATTGAAGTAAGGTAAAATAAAAAATTAATAAAAGATGAATTTTAAAAATCTAATTACAAAGAATAGTAAAAAAGATTAATATTCTTTTAATTGCAAAAAACCATGACGCTATAACCAAATATATATTATTTACCACCAAAACAAATAAAAAAATAAAAAATATCTAATTAATTCTACTATTATTGTAGTTTTATTGATTGAATAGCAAAAATATGAAATAAAATTCATTACTTTACAAAATTTCTTTTATATTTCATTTTTATTTAGTTGATATTTTAAAAATTACATTTTATGTTTAGTTTTATCAATAACTTATAATAAATATATTTATTGATTCTTCATTTATTATTTTCTTTATCAATCATTGAATATAATATATAAGTATATATGATTGTTTTCAATATTATTAAAATGGATAGATACTTAATTTTAATTTTTAAGATAAATCTAAAATAAGTCTTTGTTTTTCACCAAATTATTTACATAAAGTCATTTAAAAAGGTGAAAGCTTAAATTATATAGTAGGATATCAAAGAAAAGTATCAGAAACTTAAGTTTGGCTATATAGTTTGAGAATCAATATACTTTTATTTTAATAGAAAAATTAATGTAAATTTTCTTTAGACTTTGAGTTTCTGTGTTGAATTTATTATATTTATTCTATTTGAACTTTTTAAAAATAATAAATAAATAAATTTACTTACTTATTAATTATCTTATTCTCGTTTACTTCAATTAAATTCCTAAATCTTTTATATTATTTTTAAATGTATATTTTTATTTATATTTTAATTATCTTTTGACAACCCAAATGCTTTGATAAAAACTTTTGTATATTACTATAATTTTGAATTAAATTTTTTATTAAAAAAGATCTATCAATTGGTTATTTTTGAGAAAAATATATTATTTTTATATTGCCTCTTAATAAAGTACTTAACAAAAAAAGAATTACATAATAAAAATAATGATTTTATAATTTAAGTGTATCAGATGTTACTCAAAAATAATCTATTATTTTTTCTTCAAAAGTATTTAATTAAATAAAAGAAACGAGGTGCAGGTCCATAAAATCTTTATCAGTTATCTCTGATTTTATTCTTTTCTTTTTCTCTGTTTTATGTTAATTAATTTTAAAAAATATTTTCATCAACTTAATCTTAATAAAAAGTCTTCATTTTTTAAACATATTAAATATAAATAATTAATTGTACCATCCCCCTCTAATATAAGATAAACTTTTATTAGCTCATTTGCAAAATTTAACTATTGAATTAAATTTTTATAACTCAAATGTACCCCTATTAATTAACAATAAATTTAATTTCTATAAAGATTACTTTTGTTTTCTAATTTTTTGATATTATTATTATTTTAAATATTAGTGGAATAAGAAAAAACACAAAAATATTTATATTTTAAGTAATATTATATATATAATTTATTAAAATTTAAAATATGCTTCAATGAATTATAATTAATTTAATAAAATCAAGATTCAAAAGATTGTTTTTAATATTTTTTTTTTTTTTTACACTTTAAGTTAATATTATCAAAAGTTAGATGAAAAAACAAAAATATAAATTAAAACAAATAACTGTATTACTTTAGTTATAAAAGTTCTTGAAGTGTGAATTTACAATAATAATATAAAACATATAAAATTACTTTAAAAAAATATTTGTTAAGATTAGTTAAATATAAAAATTTAACTAACAATTTAAAGTTATAGATTTGTAATTTAATTCAATCATTGTTATTAAAATATTTTAAATGAAATAATATAGCGTGAATAATTTTAATTCGTTTTTTTAACTTTAAGATTTTGTATTTACAAATTCAAGGATCTATTAAACAATCATTATATTAGTATAAATATACATTAGAGAAATAGGCTTAAGATGTACCATTTACATAATTTCTCAAAGTAGTCGAATTAAAACATTAGCTAAAGTAGCCTTCATAGTTTATATTTTAGTTAAAATCATCATTAGCAACGTAATTAAAGAATTTTGCACATTCTGGTAAAAGATGTACATTCTCATTGATTACATCTAATGATTCTTGGCATTCTTCAAGACTGATAGAAGGATGTGAGCTATTGCAGTATAGATCATACTAGCGTTAATAACAGGCTTTCCATTAGTCATAACTTACAGTAGCATAAGATAGATTGAAAAGCATGCATATGCAAATTAAGAAAGTAAATTAGTTTTTTCTCATTTTGATTATAAAGTTTTTTGATTTTATGATATTTAAATAATTATTATTTTTATGCAAAAAAAATAGAATTTATAGCTGATAAATTTCTATTACTATTCTTTTAATTTCTGATAAATTAAATTAATTGAAAAATTAATATGTAACACTTTAATACTTATTAATAAAAAATAAAATCTAAAAACCAGCAATTTAATATAAAATATTATAGTTTATATTGGAAAAGTTTTTTTAAAGATAATTTTTTAAGGATTATTTTAGATATTTTAGAATTATGCTCAAATTTAATGTTTAATCAAAGATATTTTATAAAAGAGACAAAATTTATACCTAATTCAAGAGTAAATATATTATTTTATTTTATTTTATCCAATAATTAAATGTTTTACAATTCATTGTAAAACTTTCATAAAAGCCTTCAATTTCATTTTTTGAATAATCTATTTGCAAATTAATTAATATCTTTTGTGAATTAACGTAAAAATAATACTTCCTTTTATTTTCTAACACTATAAATAATTAATAAATTAAGCCTAAAAGCAATCATATAAATTAGAAAGAAAACCAGCACTTTAAAACTTAATTTTATATCTAAACAATTTCAAAAAAATCTTTTAAAAATTAATTTTTTGTATCAATTTTAGCATTTTCCGACTTTTTTATTTCAAAATAGATAAGAAATATATATATATTTAATAAGAAATTTTTAGTTTTTAAATTAAACAAACTGAAAAAACAATAATAAGACTTTAATTTCAAACACTCCTTCAGCTATAAAATAGAAAAATCAAATAAAGATTATATGTATTAATGATTACAATTTAACCTTAAAAATTAATTTAATAAAATTCTATATTAAAATAAAATCTAAAAAATATTGATTCTCTCTTATTTTGTTTACTCAGATTTTTATATTTTTTCTAGTACTTTAAAAGAAAAAAATATATTTCCCCAAAGAAAGGAAGATGTAATTGATTTCCTTAAATATATTTTTAATAAAATATAATAAATTCAACAATTTTGTGTATTTAGAACTCAAAAGCTTAACTTTCAAAAGAAATCAATCAAAAATTTTATTTTGGTTACTAGAAGTGATTAATCTGTTTTTTTAAGAATATAAAATCTTTTCAACATAAAAATGGTAAGTAATTATATATTAACTAAAGATTTTAAATAGTTTAATTTATTTTAATCAACATCTATGTGTTTTAGAATGTTTTTTTTCCTCTAATTATTATCAACCCTCTTTTGTAAGATTAATATTTTCAAATTTAAAAGTTATTGAGTTAATCAATTTTTAGTTTTTATCTATTTTTTTAGAAATAAATAAATAAATGAATGACGAAGAGATATTTAAATATTTTGATAAATAAAATAAATTTTATCTTACAAAACATGAATTAAAAGTCAGTTTGATCTATAAATTTGGTTATAAATTTCCTTATGATGAAATAAAAAATATTTGGAAAGGTAGATTTAAGTTTGAGTAATCTAGAAACGATTATGATTAGTTGTATGATAAAAGTATTGCATCAAAAGGAATTTCATTTAAGTATTTTAAATATTTGATCAATTTATTAGATTCACAAATATCATGCGGTAAACAATACCATATCAAAAAATCCTTTTCAATCATTTTTTTACTATTTTATTAATAGATAAAAAATCAACTATTGATTTTTAAATTATTGATGAAGATGATAAAGGATATATAACTTTTGATGACTTTAAATAGTTAATTGTGAAACATAATTTAAAATTCATTTAGCCATCATAGGTGAAAGAAGTGTATAAAGAAATGGATTTTGATGGTGATGAAAAAGTATCGTTATCTGACTTTCGTAAGTTTGTAAAGGAGTATAAAGACTTGTAATAAGTAAAATCAATTGAATGATGAAGAACCTATCTGTTGCAAATCAATAATATTAAATAGAAAAACGATAATATTTAATTACAAATATATTATTAAATAAAGCTTAAATAGTTAGTTTAAAACTAAATATGGTCTTCTAAATTGTTTATTATTATTTTCTTTTATTGTTGAAAACTAACATTATTAAGATTATTATTTTTTTACACCTTTTATAGCTTTGGTATTTTATTATTCAATAATACGTAATATTTTTCAAGTAGGTAAGTAGAAAAAAAAATAAATACAAAAACAAAAAATTGTAGCAATAGTAGCAAAAATGTTTAAGATTAATGATATAGTAGATAAGTCAATGTAAAATTTGGTGAAGCTTATTTCACCTGATTCTTTGGCATTTAATGAAGAAAATTTCAAACAATATACTATGAAGGAGTTCATATAAAGTGAGGAATTAAAAAAAGAAATATAGCCTGGCGATATAGTATTAACAAAAACTTCAAGCAATGTTTATGGTATGTTTAGAAAAATGATGGATTCAGAGTATGATCATGTTTCTGTGTTTTTAGACCAATAAAATGTGTTGCATATTTCTCCTCCTAAAGTTCGTATTATTCCTTCAAATATTTTTTTGATGCGCAGGATGGAGCCATTTATAATTAGACCAAATCTTGATATTTAAGAAAGAAATTACTTTATAGATCGTCTTAAAACATTTGAGAATTAATCATATGACTACAAGGGGTTAATAAGAATATTTGGCTTAAAAACTATATAAAATTTATTTAACATGTCATCAAGTTCAAGCTACTTGCTTTATAATTTGGACAAAGCGTAAATTTTTTTCATTATACTATTTATTAATTTTAAAAAAAGACATTATCATAATTTATTAGAAAGGAAAATAGCTAGTAATTAACATATTTTAGCCTTTTAATAAATGGATTTTAAATATAGCAAGACATATGATTATTATTTTAAATTTAATAATAGAAAAACGATGAAAAGAAAGATTTGTACAGATCTAATTATTTTTACTCTGGCACAGAGCTCGAATAAATTTATGGATGCCTTAAAAAAAAATATTTATAATCTCAATTTTGCATTTGTTGGAGCATTTAGCCCAGATGACTTCAAATACTTAACAGTAAAAGAAAATAATTTATTTAAAATTATATATCCTACAGAAAAAGATTTGTCAATACTGCAAGAAGAGTAAAGGAAAGTAAAAGTAGAAAAAGTAAATCAATCATATCAAGATTAAAAAGAAGAAGTTAAAATTGAAAGTTAAGATTTGATACCAGTGTATCCTAAAGCATTTAAAAAAGCAAAAAAGGGTAACCATGAATCATTAATAAAAGTAGTTGCTAGATTAATTGCCGTAGCCCAAGTAAACAGAATATTTTAATAGGGATATTTGTAAAATTTAAAAAAGAGATTGGATAAATTCTAATTTATTTAAAGTGCAAAACTTGTATACTACCTTTGGTCTTTGAAAAACTTCTTATTCAAAAAAGGTGAAATTTTGAACAATAAATTGAAATTCATATAGACAGTTTACTAAGTATTTAGGCTTCTGAGTAATGCTGATATCATAAAAATTAATTTTGAAAAAGTGTATATTCCAATTATTGAATAGATGCTTAAAAAGCTCTATAATTACTTTTTCTAAAATAGACCACATCTATGATGCAATAGTTAAAAATTGTATATATTTTATCATAAAATAAATTCATTTTCAATAATAATATCATAGATAAATTTATGTTAAACTGTAATAAATTTTAATTTTAGCTAAGAATATTCTAAATTAAACAATCATGCATTTATGCATGTATGAATTTTTTTACAATTAATTAACAAATAATCTATAATTATTTATTTATTTTAATTTCCAGAAAATCATAAAGGTTCATTTACCAACCTACCTATCTATCTTAAATCAGAATGTAAGAATCAAGATTTACTTTTCTTTTTTTTGTCCTTTTTTTCTTTCTTTTCTTTTTTGATCTTTTTATCTTTCTTCTTCTTCTTTTTGCGATCTGAGGATGATGAGGAAGAGCTTCGTTAATCTTAATGGCTCTTTCCTTCTTTTTTATGATTTTATTCTTAAAGCTTTTTAGAATTAAAAGCCATCAATTAAACCATTTATGAACTTGTAAGCTTATTTGTAAGTTCTGAAGAGTTTTGTGATGTTAAGAATGTTAACTCATTTTGATTTTAAAAGAGCGAACTTTACTCCTTATTTTCTAGCTCTGTTTCTGCAACAAACTTATAGGTATTATCTTAACCATTAAAATTCAAAGCGGCATTGTTCTTCATTTCAAGTTTTTGTTTATCAAACGAAAGCTGCTTTGCTTATTTTGTATACAAAAATCTCTATTCTTCCTCATACTTTTTCAAAACTCTCTCTAAATATTTTTTAGTAATTTCGTCATCTGGGTCCAGCTGCAGTCCTTTTTTAAGCTCTATTATGCCCTCCTTATATTTTCCCTAGAATTTTATTTTATTAATATTTAATCTACACTATTTGATAATATTACTAAATTTGCTAAAGCACATCCTCTTGTGACGTAAATTTATGGCATGTAAGGATCAAAGTCTTGTGCTGTGCTGAGATATTATAATGCCTGTGGATGCTTATTCTCTTTGATTAGTCTTGTTGCTTCATCTAGAGACTACTTTGCCCACCTTATGTTTTGAAGTTCCCTAATCCTGTTTATGTTGATAAAAATATTAACTACTCGTTTCTCATTCTAAGAAGGATGATATATCAAGAATTTAATTTCCTTTTATAATCAATTTAAATCTCTTAAATAAGATTTTTATTGGTGTAATGATTGTTCAAAGAATCGTTCTCCTTCAATTACATGAATTTAATCATGTTTTATCTATTTGACTGGTTGGTTTTATTGTTCAATAATCTTACTTAAAAAAAATAATATCTATTTTACTATATTCTTCAAGGTTGTAGATCTACGAATTTATAAGTCGTATGGAAAAACACTATACTTTTCTAGATATAGCATATCATCTTATGTTGCTTTTATATTATTATCAGGCTTGCTTCCAAGTCTGATAAATAAATCATCACTTGGATCATATGTTCGAGGATCCAAAATGTTTTAGATGGAAAGAAATTTAGAATTTTAAAGTACTTCATTTTTGCAGCTTAGTTCTAAAAGCTAATACCTTTAATCTGAGTTGAGAGTGCTCAATTATTCTTATTAAGAAACATTTGAAAGCCAATTTTTTGTGATTACTGCATACAATTCATCTCCTTCATTGATTTTATCATAGTTAAAATCATTGCTAAAAATACTAAAGTAGTCAATCTAATTTATTTTAAATTAGAGTAATAAATAAATAATTAAATTTTTCTGTATTTTTCATATTTTATTGAAATTTACCAAATCACTCTCCTTGATAATAGCTTAGATTTTGTAAAGATAAACATACTGAAGCTCTATTAATTATTATTACTTTTCTCTGTAATTCTAAAAATCTTATTCACTCATTTGTTATAAATTACATTAATCACAAATAGAGTGAAATTTATTTAAACTAACAATAAGGGCTCTTTATTTTTCATCTTTCCTTAAAACAATTACTTCAAAAACGAAACCTGTATTAATTATCTTAAATATTTTAATTAAAACATTTAGCTTTATTAATCTTAAGGGTTTACATCATAAATTTTAGTTATATCAATAAGTTTCCTTTCCAATAGAATATTAGTATCTGCAAAAACGCGTTAGACCTACTTTGAAAAGAATTTTTTTCAAAAAAAAACTCTAGAACTATGTTAAAATTATCTTACTTATGAATTTATGCTTGATTAAGATGATTCAGTATTGAGTTTATTTAGTTATGGTATGGCTAATTAATTTAATTCCTGATTTTCATCATTCCTAAAATTGAATCTAAAAAATTTTTTTAATGCTAAAGTGTTTTTTAAGCCTTAAATACGATCTTCAACATCAAGTTAGGCTTATTTATGAGATTGGCTCATTTCACTTGACTACAAGTCCATTTGAAAATTTATAGGCTTTGCAAATATTGTATTAACCAAACTATAGAAAAAATTGCTTACAAAACTATTCTATATCTTAAAAAGTTCTATTTATTTATTAATGTTTACCAAATAAATAAAAGTTAATTAATGTTCCTTATTTTAACAATCATAATAAAATACTTATGTCTATTTTATCATTTATAATAAAGATAAAATTAGTTTATTAACCAATCTTAATTAATCATAAAATTAAAATTGTTTTCTAAATTTTTTGAATTAAAAAACTTTGAATTGTATTTTAAATTTTAAGATATGAAATGTTAAACTGTTATAAATAAATAGTTAAGCATATTTTTTGTCAGATTTTAACATTTTTTCCCGCAATTTTTTGAAAAGTTTTGCAAACAGATTAATATTCGCTAAAAAACTATTGAAAATCATTAGTATCAATTTTTAATAAAAAAATTTCTTTCAATTAATAAATACAATATTTCATTAGAATTATAAATAGCTAACATCTTTGAGTAAAATATCATCTTACTAAATAAAGCTGTACAATCTTTACAAAATTAGTTACTATGGCTGAATTTGCTTCTAATGATTAGAGTAATTAAAATCCTAAAAGGCGTTTGACTGCTATGGAAATCAAAGTAAGCTAAAAAATAGATACATTTTTTATACTATTTTATAATATTTTTTTGTTAATAGAAATAGTAGAAGTAGAGGAAGAGTCTTGGATTTTCTCTAGCAAATACAAATATAATATCAAGCTAATAAACAAATAAGGAAGATGAATGTACTCGATTTATTTTCTTATAATGTATTTATATTTAAAATAATATAAAAAGAAGATGAATTGATTAAAGAAAAAACTATTTTCAATGAAAGCAGTGGTAAAACAGTGAAAGAAATTTTAGGCAAGGGAGAAAATTCTTCTAATGATATAATAAGATAGAATGTAGGATAAATGTCAGGGGAGAATTCAAACAGTATGAAGATGTTTAATTCATAATTCAACAACTTCTACTAAGAATTCTATTAAAATAATACAACAATATATGAACTATAAAAAAAACAATCAAGTTAATAAATATAAAAAAAAGACCAAAAATAATATATAATAGACCAGAAAGGAAACTATCAATTAATAAATGAAGTTTCGTTGATATCAGCTGTCAATTTTGATTGGTTCAAAGATATTTTCTCTTCAACACAACAATTAAGTGGATATGATACATCAAAATTATCAAAAGAAAGCTTACAGCTTATAAAATAATAAATAAGAAATTTACTTTCTACATATAAATACGAAAAGGCTTAGAGTATACTCTCAGGATTTAATTCTTAATTCAACAAAGAAAAGTCAATCATGAAAAACTAAGAAGTGTATTTGACTATGAGGGATTGCTACCAAAATTTCTTACAAAATAAATAACACTTTTATTATTACATAAATGCATAGTTTATTATACTTTTTATTCATGTGTAAAATGAAGACTCGGGAGTTAGTCATCATAAAGCTGATAAGGATCGTATTGTTGCAGTTGTTTGGGCCAAAACTTTAAAGAGTTTCGATAAATATCTTGAAAATTCTGGTAATTTTTTGATTAAATATTTTACTAATTGTTTAAATTAATAAATGTTTTTATTGATATTTTTTGTTAATAACTTACTTTAAATAATTAGGCATTGAATTTACAGATATTTCAGAGCTGTAGAGGAAGTAGTAAGAAGTCTTTTTATTGTAAGAAAAAAAGAAAAGACTTTAATAAGAAAATTTAGAATACTTCTAAGATATTTTGGAAGGAGATAAAAATCTCAATTAAGATTTAAGGATAGCTGAAATGGAGGAAAATTATAATCAAGCCTTCTTAAACAATTAAAATTAAAAATAAAATAAATTGATGCAAGATGAAAATAATGAAGACACATAATCTAATATGCCCTTTTCAACTTTAATTGATAATTAATCTACAGTTCTCCTAATCAAAAAGAAATATGTATTAAACTATTAGTTTAAATTTTAAAAATAATTTTTTAAATTATTTATTAGGTTTAAAGCTTGTGGAACTGCTTAATTAACTAAAATTTAGAAACAGATTAAGATAGTCATAGCAGTTTTTAGAAAATGGAGATCATTAGTAACTTTGCTTTTGAGCACTCTTAAAAATGTAATTTGAAAGAGTATTTTAATGGATAGATAATATCAAGTGATGTACAATAATACTCATACTTGCTAGATGAGATGGAAGAAAATTAATTTATTTAAAAATCTTAATGCAACAATCTAGAATAGATTTTCTAAATAGATAATTCGAATAAGTTATACAATCTAAAGTTAAAAGGAGAAATTCCATTCCCACAAATAAAAGTAAGATATTTTTATTTAGAATAATTTTATTTATTTATTTATCTTTTTTATATAGGAACTAGTAGGATTATTAAATAAACTTAATATTAATTTTGCTATCTTTTACTAAGAAAATCCATAAACAAAATATTTTAAAGGAGACATTATAAAATTTGATAATTGATATTGAATGTTAAAAATTAAAAATAAAAAGGAATAAATAAATAAATAAATAAATAACATGCTTAAAATAAATTTTAAAAACTTTAATTTAATACAAATGGATAAACAAACTTATATTAAATTCTAACTATCTAATTTATTAACTAATATTGCAAATTATTACTGCTTTTATATATTTTATAATGTGAGTTTATAAAAATTAAATTAATATTAATTTTTTCAAAAATTATAAATGACTTCATATTCCTTAATTAGCTCTTCTTCAGTTAAAGAGTCTAAATTTTTAAGTATTTATTGCTTTTATCTAAAGAATGTATTTACTTTTTTTAATTCTGTAGATTTTTTTGTTGGTTTTTATTAAATTTATTATTGTTATTATACACTAGGTTACTATTATTACATTTAAAGCTATTACTGTTATTATTTTTAAGGTAATTATTATTGCTATTATAATTAAATTTAAGATTATAAAATTAGTTATTATTATTGTTCAAGAAGCTTTTATTGTAACTACAACTAATTCATTTGATGTTGCAATAATAACTCTTTTTATTTGATTTATTAATATATAATATTTTATTGATTATCTTTTGAGGTATTGATATAATCATCAACATTATTTAAATTTTTTAACATAGTATTAGTATTATTACTTTAAATAAAATTTATTTAGTTTTGTGGATAAACGGAATATTCTTACATATTTTAATTAATCTTAACTTGATATTAAATATTTTATTTTTAATTATTTATTTACTAAAGATTATTATCTTATTCTACTTATATGACGTTTTTATTTACTGCTTGATTTTTGCTTTTAATATTTTAAATAATATTTTAATTAGTTTTTATAATGTTTTAGTTTATTTAATTTTATTGATTATTGGTAATGTTTTATTATAAGTTAATGGCATTTTAAACTTTTATATTTGTAGAGTTTAAGTTTTCATCCAAATCTTCATTACCATCATCAACAATTACAATATCAATTCTTTCTTTTAATGTTGGGAGTGGAATAAAAGAAAGAACCTGATTTTAATCGGAATTATCATCTATTTAAATTATATTACACTATTTTATTTCATCAAATTCATCTTTAATCATATTATCTTTTTCTGGAGTGAATACGTTATTTTAAATAAATTTGATTTAGTTTTGTATCAGGGGAGAATGTATTTGATTTTACTTTTATTATTCTCCTTCTATTTTTTCTAAGCAATTTTAATTTAATCCAAACTGATAGTTTAATGAGTTTAGTTAGTCTGTTATTTTATTTTAATTGATTTAATTATTACATTCTACACGTTTACCTTATGGAAGTATAGAATGCTGTTCATGATCTTCCATAAAAATTATTTCATTTGACACATTGCTATGTTATTAATCTAGTTTTTACTCACGTCTCTAGTTGTGATATTTTTGATTTTCTTCTTTTTTATTATATTTATTTGTTTTAATTTAATTGTTTTGATTTTTTGCTGATTATTCATCAAAAACAGTTTTTGAATTGAATGAATTTTATTCATTAAAATTTTTTTAATCCTCTACTTAAACATCTGTTGTATGTTAATACTATTCATAAAGTTAAGGATCTTCTTATTAAATTTTAGAAAGTATATCATCAAATATGCTTTTAGTATTGTTATTTTAATTAGGATCATACTGTTCTAAGATATGCACATCATTAGATGATTTATGGTTGTTTTTGAAAAAGATTTTATTCATAAATTTTCCAGTCCTAGTCTTAAACTTACTTTCTTCAACACCTCTAAATTTACTTTAATAATTATTTTCTTCCCTGCTGCTTTAATCATTTTACTATCTTTACCATAATTTAGCTAATTGATTTTAATTGCTTGAATAATTAGAATTAGATAACCTTGAAATATTCACCTTGATATTATTTAAATCCTATTAATATTAATGCTCTTTTTCGTTATTAAAATTATATTATTACTGTCTATCCTAATCTTCTATATAGGAGTACTTTTAATCACTTGGTAATTACTTCTAACTATTTAGATTTTAAAATGCTATGATTTATTTATTATTATCCTAAATATTATTTTATTCATGTTTAAATTAATCTTAGTAATTATTCATTTTGATGTTTGAGGGTTTATTCTATTCCTAAACACTTTTAGTCAATTTTTCATGGATTTTATGATGTTGGTATCTCCTAGACTGTGAATCATAATAGTTTGTAATTCTATGCTTTTCTTTTTAAATATTTTTCTAAATCTAAGGGTAATAATTGGGATTATTATTTGAACTACTTTCATTTATGAATCTATTTTAATTATAGTATGAGCAATTTTGATTGTTACCACTTTACTTTTAAAAATATCCTGAATCTGTAAAGCTCATATTCTTTCTTTTTTTTACAAGTTATAGTTGAATTATTTATTAGATATTATCTTAAAGTTATTTGATCCTTTTCTTTTTTTATAAAATTTAATTAATTTCAATGTGAAACCAAGATTTTCTTAACTACAATAAGCAAGACAATTATTACTCATTAAATCAATGATATAATTCGTTTATTTTTATAAAAAGATCTTTACATTTTTATGTTTAATGGTAAATCTGTTGATCTTTTTATAGGCGCGGGTATTTAATATCTTTTTCTGCTATCCTTTAATATGAATTACTACAAATAAACACTATTTTGGAATATATTATTCTAACTCAGATTATTGTTAAACTTATTTAATTTCATTTAAGTACTTTATATTTAATGTGGCTAGATTACTTAAAAAATAATTGTCTTTTATATCAAAAATATTTTTTGCTGACTTTTTTATTTTTTCTGAAACTAATTTATTGAATAATATTTAAATTAAAATCATATTTTCAATTAAAATATTAACTTAAATCCCATTTACATTTCATTAAATGTTAATGAGATTGTTGAATATTTTTAACAATTAAATAAAAAAAATATTGATCTGATAATTTGGAATATTTTTAAAACAACAAAAAAGAATTTATAAATAAATATATTTTCTTAATTTATTTTTTTAATAGAAATTGAAGTAAATTAACTTTGTTGATTTTTTTAAACAATTTTTAAGTATAAAGATATATATACAAACATAAACATATATACCAAATATTTAGGAAGATTCAATAATATAATATAATATAATATAATATAATATAATATAATATAGTATTATAATTCTTAGTATTTAATTATTTTTAATAAATACTTAAGATTTTTGATAGGTAGGAATAAGATTAAAAAATTAAATTGAAATAATTGATAAGAGGTAATAAAATTCTTTGATTTAAAAAACCTCTTTACTGAAAAATTAAATAAATATTAATATTTATTAAAAAACAAACAAATAATCCTTTAAATTAAATAAAAAAGCTTTTTATTAAAAGAAAATCTTATCCTATTTGACTAAAGTGTTTCTATAAATTGATATTCATACTTATATACTTTCATTCATTAATAAATATATTTCTAGGATATGGTAAATCAAAAAATCATTTTCTACTCAAATAGCTAAAGATCAACATAAATATTATAATTAAATAGGATAAATATGTCTTTTATGAAGTAATAGGAAAAGGATCTTATGCTGAAATTTATAGAGCGTAATATAAGATTATAAATATTTATTTATTTAGAATATTAGATCTATTTATTTATAAAGTTATATACCATTTTTAAATTAAACACTCTAGGCTTAATAAAGAAAATAATATGATAGTTGCGATCAAAGTGATTGAAGTGCAGGTAATTTAATTTACAGCTAAATATATTTGAATCTAGTTAGTTATAAATCATTATATTTATTAAAATAGCTATCGATAAATATGATTTAAAAGTTAATAATATAAAATAGGAAAACGAAAAAGTAGATGATTTTGTTAAAAAGGAAATAGATTTAGTTAAAGAGTGCAACCATCCAAACATTACTTAAGTTTATGAGCATTTTTTTGTGGGTATTACTTTGTCTTCTATAATTGAATTTTTAATAAACATTTATATTATTCAGCATAAATGTTTATTTTACAAATTTAAATAAAATATTTAAAATCTTATAATTTACAATTTAGACAATAAAATATATATAATCATGGAGTATTGTGGCGGAGGATCTTTAGCTTAATTAGTAATATATAATAGAACTTAAAAATCAATTTAAATCAATTTGTATTTTTATTTTTAATAGATAAAAAAGAAAGGATAATTTTAAGAACCCTATATAACTATTATTTTAAAAGAAATACTACAAGCATTAAGTTATTTACATAGCAATTAAATGGTTCATAGAGATATTAAATCAGCAAATATATTGATTCAAAAAGATGGAAAAGTTAAACTTTGTGATTTTGGAGTATCATCTAAAATAACAAACAACAGTTAAAAACTATAAACATTTGTTGGAACTCCTTACTATATGGCTCCTGAGGTTATTTAAAAATCAGAATATGACTTCAAAGCAGATATATGGTCTGTAGGTAAATAAATTAATCAAATTTTTTTGGTGTGTGGTAAAAAAACTATTTTTTTATTTCCAAGGGATAACTGCAATAGAAATGGCAACAGGCCACCCTCCATATTATGATAAGAAACCTGAAATTGCTATGAGTAGAATAGTTTCTGAAGAGCCACCTTCACTTTCAAAAGAGACCTCTTCTACGTAAAATATTTAAAAAAGCATCTAAAAAAATTTAAATAATTTTGAAAAACTTTTCAAATTAGAATGCTGATAAATTTTGTAAATTGCTGTTTGAAATACAATCCAGAATAAAGATAATCTGCAAAATAATTATTAAGTCACAGTTTTATTAAGTTAGCCAAAAAGCCTTCTTATTTAATTGATCTTTTTGACATTGATTTGTAAAATTAATCATTTATATTTTAAATTTAAGAATATAACTATTATTTCAAACTAAAATTATAGAAAAAGAGGAAATTTTTTGTTTAAGCCTGGAGCTCCAAACTAATAGATAAGAGCAAATTCAATGGTTACTGGATCTGCTATTTTAATTCCAAACAATAAACCTCAAGGAGGAAAAACTGCAGACTCTGAATTATTAATATAAAGTACTATGAAGCAAATAACTATGGAGTAACGTTTAGAAGAATAAAAAGATTTAAAAGAGTTCTCTAACTACTTAAATAGTGGTAACAATCCAATAGATGATAAATGTAAAAATATGGATTAAATTGTAATTGATATATACAGAGGAGATAAACATAAACAAGATAAAGAGAAAAAAAAATAAGTTTAAAGTAATAAGCAAAGCAACTAACCTACACAATCAACATTTTTTAACAAGGGATCAAATTAGAATATCACTTAATAGCACTCCGATTCTGATAATATAATGAATTATTTGCAAACTGATAGTGATTCTTCTTAAGAATAAAGTTGCAACACAGATCATCCAAGCAATCATTATATATAAAAAATGAATAAATGTACAAACGAACAAGAAAAAAGAAAAATTCTTGAAGGTAAATCATGTTTTAATAATAAATTTTTCTTTCTTTTATATATCAAAAAAGTTTAAATATTAATTTTAATCTGATTGAAAATATATGGATTTAAGCAAAAATAGATAGAAATAGCAAAGAAAATATAAATCAAACTTAAAAATTTGAGAAAACGTTTTCTCTTAGTTTTAATTTTAAATTTTCAGATTTATTTTTTTTGTCTTTTTTGACAAATAAAAAAAAATTTAAATTAGAGATTTTGAAAAAATAATATTTTATTTTTCAGAATTTATTTTAATTCAAGATTTTATTGATTGAATTACTAATTTTTTTTATTTTGCTATTAAAAATATTTGTAAAATTTAACAGGAATGAGCAAAAATAATATATATTTTAAAGGAGCATTAGATAAAGTGTTTGAATAATATATAAGTTATTCAAAAAACTCTCAAAACCATGAATATTTAACTTTAGCCCTTTAATAATTACACTGTGCTTTCGATGAAATGGAAAGAGAGGAAAATGGAAGCTCTAAAAAAATATTGTCTGAAGTTTATAAAAACCTTTGTACTGGAAGCAATACACCAAACAATAGGGGATAAAATAATAATAATCATATAGCCACTTCAGTTAACAGTAATAACAACTTAAGCCATTCTCATATTCATAATCATAATACACATAGTAGTAATTAGGATAGCTATGGAAACTAACATTTAGTTTAATATCCTTATAAAAATAGTAATTGAATAATTAAAACTAGATTAGTCTTCATTTAATATTGATAGTCTCAATATACATCAAACATACATTCTTTAATGCAAGTTATTATTACAGTAAAGTTAAAAAGAGCATGCATACAAAAAATAATTTAAAATCAATCAATCAATAAATATATCTATTTATCTCATCATATTCTAATAATATTAATTTCAATTAAAAAACTTGAAACACTTAATAAAAAATTTACACACTAAAACTATCTAAAACTTTTAAAAGACAAATCTTACTAATAAAAAATAAATGGCATTTTATCCACAAAACCTACTAATTAATAATATAAAAAATATAAGTAATTTATATATTTTTTCCAGTATACAACTTTATTTTAATAATTTATCAATATAAAATTTAACAAATATATTTTTGTGTTCTAAATATTTGATTTTTCGCGGGTATTGTTATTCCATTATTATATACGTTAATATTTACAAGCTAAACTAAATAAAAAAATTTAGATTGAATTATAATTTTTAGTAATTAAAAGCTTATTAAATTTTGAAAAATGAACTAAACTATCCATAATATCTATAATAATATGTAAAATAATATAAATGACATAGAATTTTAGAAGTAAAAATAAGAATAAAGCAGGTTTCTAACTTAAAAATAAACAGATCCTAATATAACTCAAGCTACTGATTGCAAATTAGAAAATATATACCAAAAATAAGATATTATGAATTAAGTTTGTAATGATCAACTTTAACAAGACTAATTGAATAACAATAAATAAAATCAAATAAATTCATAGATTATCTAAAAGGATAAATAAGGTAGGTAAAATAATCAGATTTAATCATTTCTTTAAAATTTTGAAGATAGCCTCAATGGTGACTATTCAAAAATGGTTTAAAATATACAAAGTTAAAAATCATTCGATAATGATAAAATTAGCGATAACATCAGTGGATCAGATTTTGAAAAAAAGTGTCAAATAAGAAATGATTTAAAATAAGTAAGTAAATAAATGAACGAGAGTTTAATAAATTAGAAACTTACAAGCTCATAGTTTTTAAGCTAGGATAAATCTTTTTTGTTTAAAAAAACAAGTGTTAGTTAAAAAGAAATAGATGTTAGCAAAAATAATTAAATTTTAGGGAATAATATTATGAATTCTAATCCTTATTAAGTTGTTAATGTAGGTTTATCTAAAGTAGCTTTAAAAAATAAATTAAACCCTTCTATGCTTAAAAAATTTTAGAATGTTGGAGAACAACAAGGTTACAAATATTTTATTTTTTTATCATTTTAAAAACATTAATTAACTATTATATTTATAGAAGACTATTTGGTATAACTTTTTGATGATGAGAGTCCAAAAAATGATCAAAGATAAGTTTTTAATTTTTCTGATAAAAATATTGATGTAAATGTTTAAGATTAAATTTAAAATGAAGAGATTAAATAATTCATCTTAAATGGACATATTACGTAGACTTATTAATAAAGCGAATAGTAAAAATAAACTAGAAAAAAGCTGGAAAGCTAAATAATTAATATATTGTAAAATCTAAAAACATCTAATAATTAAAAATTGATTACATTATTATCTTGTATTGATGATGATAATGATTAAGATTATGATAATAATTTAGATTATAAGATGTAAATAAGATAAAAATATTTATAACAGTGATAAAATTAAAATTCATAAAACATTTTGATATTACTAAATAAAAAAGATCTAATTACTCAACTAGGAAATTAAATTTATTTGTTTATTGAAATCTTTTTTTAAATTAAAGATAGTAGTTTAAATTATACTAAGAAAGTTTAATAAATTATTTCAATTGAAAATAATAATATCTCATTAATTATTGAATTAGTTTAATTTTAGGGGAAAAAATAACTTAAACGGAAGTAGCTTTCATTTTAAACTAATAAAATTAAAAAATTTTTAACCTAAAAAAAAATAAAATTTCACTACTAATTTTATTATTTTTGTTGCTAACTCTCAAAAATTACTCACAAAAAACGAAATGCATGTCAAATTACTTTTTTTTCTGCTTCAAAAACCTAAAAAATAAATTTAACCATGCTTACTGCTTAATTAAAAAATATGAAAATTAATATTTATATTTATTTTTAAATGTATTAGCTTTAAATTATCATCACTTAATTGCATCAAGTTATATTAAATGATTAAGTTTTAATAAAATATAGTCAATTTTATGATATTTTTAAAAAGTAATTTTTATTTGTGAGATAATATGTAAAATCTGAAATATGTAAAGTGATCCAATAATATAATGATTTACTAACTTTATTTTTATTTATTTATTATAAAGCTATAATATAAACTTACAGATAAAAAATTAAGTTTTTTTGTTTAACTTTTAAAATTTATTTTTGAATAATTTTAGTTTTTATTTTTTAAAAAGAAATTTCCTTCTTATGCAAATCAAAATAATTAATTGAATAAATAAATTTTCTTTACTTTTTTTATTTTTTATTCTAAAATTTCACTTTAATTGATAGTAAATTTTTTTTTTTCCTTCAAAAACTCTCAATTATTGAGTATAGGAGCAAACGAAAAGGGAACATTTCTCCCAACTTGAATTTCATTACTTCCAACATTTCCATCCTTTGATTTTTGTATAGGAGCAAATTCAAATGGTAAATATTTTTTAGAAGATTATGAAGGTGGAGGTCCTAACAGTCTACTTCCATCTGCACTTCTTTGTGGTTGATTAAGTATTTAGTTTTCTAAATTTTTATAATGTGCTTCAGCTAAATTCATATCATTCATCATTTAATCATCAACTTAAAAATTAAATGGAAGTTTCGACATCTTTTACAAAATTGATAAGGTTTTTTTACGTTATGGTTATTACATTTATTTAGATTGTTCTATATCATTGTAGTTTTTTTCTACTTTTTAGCTATTCTTATTTTAAGGATAAGAATTATTTTCTTTATGCTATTCAATTGTATTTGATTTTTTTTCTTTAGCCTTTTATTAAGATTTTAGATCTTCTTCTAATAGCTTATTTTTCATTTACTCAAATAACTGTAAGTCGTTTTTACTTTAAGAAAAAACACTTTTTTCTAAATCTGATTCTGAGAATTCCAAAAGAGAGCTATTTAAATGAATTTCAGATATATTTTTCATTAGTGATGCTGACGATTTCTTGCATTTTTAATAAGTTAATGAAGCCTTAGGATCTGGGTGAGATTAAATATTTAATAAAACATCATCTATTTTCTTTTTATATCTGTCTTTGATAACCTCAATTTCTAATAACATTTCTTTTTCAAGCTTTTAAAGTTTGCTTTAAAGTTAATCAAGTGGCACTTAGTTTTTATTTTCTTATTTATTTTGAGATTAAATCTATTGTTGTAAATGGTTTTTATTTTCATTTTATTATTTTTATGATGCTGCTTTCTAGTTTTCTTACTTAAAATTACCAAGCATACCTTTACTTTCCATTTATCTAGCACATTCCACAAACTCTTTATTTATTGGCTAATCTACATCTTTATTTATGACCATTGTATTGCTGTTATATTATGACATATCGTCATCATCTAATTCATCAATATGTGTAATTTTCTTCTTATTTCCCAATTATTCATCTTTACTCTGCAAATTTTATTTATTTTCATTTTTTTATTATGTATTTTACTTTGCTTATGGTTATTTATATTTTTCATTTTAATCTATCTCAAATCCTTACTTCTTTTTGTCTTTATCCATCTACTAAGGTTTTAGCTCTTTTGAATCTTTTAAAATTTATCCAAGTTAATCAAGATCGTATTCACTATTTTCTTTAGATGTGTCATTTAATTCTTAATTATTTTTGCTATATTTTTCAACTAATTCTTTGCTTTTACTACTTAATCCTAAATTCCCATTTTAGTTTAATTTTCCTTTTGAAAGCTAATTTAAATCATCTGACCTTTCATTCAATTTTTTTGATAACTGCTTTAAGTCTGTTGCACTATCATCCTATTTTCTTTTGGAGACAAGTTATTGCAGATTGTTTTCTATTAGTCTATCTTTTTATAATATTTGTTTGGAAGAATCTATGCTATATTTTTCCTATTATTTTTTTAGCATTTATTATTTTAAAGATTTCTCATCTAAATGCACTTGACTCTCTTATTAACTTTCTTAATCAGTTTAAGAGTATTAGCCACTTTCTGAATATTCTTCTTCTTCTTCTTCATCATCATTAAATTATGATGATTTAGGCTATTTTTTAAATTTAGTACTTTAATTTTATGAATGAGATTTAGACTTATTATCTGTCATGCTCGAACTTTCTTCTTCTATATAATTCTCTGTATCTTCACTTTCTTAATCACTTACATTCTCTTTTTTATTTTTAGCACGAACAACTTTTTCCTCTTCTTCATCACCATAACGTTCTCCTTTCTGTCTGTGGTTTCTGTAATTATCATCTTCTTCATCTTCATCCTCTTAATCTTCCTCTTCTTCTTCGTCATCGTCTTCATCATCTCTGTTAAAATTTTCTCTATTGAGTAAAAACAATTTATTTTAGTAAAAGTAAGTAATAATTAATTTACTGTCTATATTATTCAATCAGTTCTTGATTTTCTATAACTAGCTCTGAAAGAATGTATTGTGAGTAATTTATGGCCTGCTTAATAAATGGGTGAGATAAAAGATCTTTTGCACTTGGTCTTAAATTAGAATCAAGAGTCAAGCATTTTTTTACAAAATCACTAAATTCTTAACTCCATTAAGTAGGATTGCTAAGTCCTTGAGGTGGATTTTTTTTTATTGCAAACATAGCTCTAAAAGGATGGATATTACTATAAGGAGGTTCTCCTTCTGCTAGTTCTATTGCTGTAATACCTAATGACCATATATCAGTTTTATTGTTATATTTTGAATTACCCAATACTTCTGGACTCATCCAATAAGGTGTGCCTAATAAATATTAATTATGTAAATAAAATGTTTATCTAAATTCTAAACTATTTAAAGTAATTTTTTTTAAATCTCAAAAAGTTTAATCTAATTATGTAATTAATGCAAAATACCCATCAATGTTTACTTTTCTGCATTTGTATAAGTCTGTTCTGCTGATACACCAAAATCAGCCAATTTAGCTTCTCCTTTTTCATTTAGTAGAATATTTCCTGCTTTAATATCTCTATGTATTTTTTTATTATCGTGCAAATATTATAAACCCAATAGAGCCTGATAAAGTATTGCTGATATTTCTTGTTCATTAAAAGTTCTTTAAATAATTTTAATCAGATCTAAGGCACTACCACCTTCACAATATTCAGTAACAAGCCAAATAGCATTATCTTTAAAAAAACTACCAAAATAGCCCACAATATTTTGATTCTTGCAATTTTATAAGATTGATATTTCTTTGCTAATTTAAAAAATATCTTCATTTACTAGCATAACTTTTATTGCATATTCTTTTTTATCTTATTTGCATAAGGCCTTAAATACTTTTCCATAATTTCCCTATCCTTTTTATATGATAAATATGTTATTAATATTTTAAAGTAAATAAATGATAATGCTATGATGAATATAATATGGAATAAAGAAGATACCAAGAATACAAATAATATCAAATATTTCCTCAGGATCTTGTTTGTTAAAGGAATCCATTATTTTAAAAATAAGTTTTAAACTAAATTCGAAATTTGATTTATTTATTTGTTTTTTAACAATCAATCAATTAATTTTTTGAACGATAATTTAAATTACTTTTTTTAATGTCATTACTTTCATGATTAAAAGTAAATTATACAAATTAATCATTTTTAGAAATGAAAATTAAATCATTTAAGTGATCTTATTTATAAATAAATAAGTGATTATTCTACTTATTTTAAACAGTTAAAAAAATGTAATAGTTTCTACTGTGAATGTAATAGATTTGAATTTAAAATAGGGAAATTTTTTTGAAATTAGAAAAAATTAAAATTCTTATAATGATAAAAAATTAATATTCTTTAAGCTTAATTGAAATCCTTTTTGTAATTTAAAACATGGTATTTATAAAAATTAAAATTTATTTTTAAGTTTTTGTTACGTAAAAACAAAAATTTTATTTTGATGGATTTTAGTTTTTTATTGAATTGAATTTTAAATACAATCTTCTTATCCTATATATAATATAAGTAAAATTATAAAATGACTATATAATGTATACAGCTAGATACTGTTTTAATATCTGACTTTTTTAAAAACAAATCCTTTATAATTAAAAAAAATAAAAAAAATATATATTTGATATGAGTAGTGAAACATCAGCATAGTTTTTTAATCTAAAAGATAGTATAAATTAAATGCTCTAATAGTAATTAAAATTATTATAAAGGAGTATTTTAATTTGTGAGTAGTTGACTGGTAAAGACCTCAAAGAGTTAAGTTTTTTAGAAGATTTAATAGATAGCTGTTAATATGCATAAGAAATTAATAGTGATTGCGCAAAAATTATATAAAATCTTCACTCTCTTTTGAAAAATACTTTTTCAAATCAAAAATCTAACTAAAATTTAATCTCATAACCCAACAAAAATTTATCTTAATAAAATTCTGGTAATTTAAATAGCAGCTACAATAACCAAATTGAAATTTCAGATTAAAGTTTGATAATTATCAAACAAGAGGATATAGCATAAACTTAAATACCTCTTTTTGCTACAAAATAGCTTGTTAAAAATGTGTTTGGATGCTATAGGTATCCTTATGATTACTTTTATAGAAAAATTCTTGGATACTCAAAGCCTTACAATAATTGGATTTATTTGAAATTTGTTCCAAAAGATTAAATTAATGAATTTAGAAGATTCAAGCTTGAAGAGTTTTCTAAATTTGAAGAATTATCTGGTTTAATTGTACCAAATTTCTTTAAAAAAGAAGAGTATTATAACTTATATAGCCAACATTCAACGAGATAATATAAATTGACACTGATAGAGCAACAGTAGCTATATTTAATGTATCACAGTAAATATTTTTCTTCTTATGCAGATATTGCTAATTTTTTCTGCATATAATGTAAGTTCATATTTAAAAAAACTAATTTATTTAATAATTTACTTTTAATTTTTTTAGCTGCATCAGGTATAAGCAAAAACATATATCTCTATGAGAAGCACTTAAGTTAAAGTCAAAATGAATAGTAATGATAAATATTAAATAAGATAACACAAATCTAATCATATTCATTCAAAATTTAACAAATTAATTATATGAATTAAATTTACTTGTAATATATTTTTTTATTTTGTGGTTTTTATAATTTAAATCTTATTATACTAAATTTAATAGTATTTTATAACTCTTAATAATTATTGATCAGTTACGATCTTCATCGTCTCCATTTTCATCTTAATCATTTTAGCCATCATATTCGTTATCTTAATTACTTATTTCAATAACTGTCCAAATAAATATACACCTATCTCTTTCACTTGATGTTACAAGGAATCTTTTATCAGGCGAGAGTACACACTAGTTTACATTATTTAAGTGATCTGGATAGCATCTCATATACCCATTACCTGTGCCACTATCGCAAGGATAGTTAAATAGTCTGATAGTGCCTATATATAAAATATACATTTTTTAATTAGAATAAAAATAAAAAATATAAATTTATTTACCCATTTCGTCAGTAACAGCTATACAATTAGTAGTAATAGGAGTAATTTTTAGTATTTTATTCTCATCAGAATAGTGACTATGAACTCCCTTAGTTTTTTCACCAATTTTGATACCATCAGAGCACCACTCAATATCATGTTCTATAAATATAGTATTAATCTTTTTCTAATTTGATAAGTCAATAATAGAAACTTCCTCTAAGGTGTCCTTGTATAGTAAGAAATTATCATCTTCAGTGAAATCTATGTACTCAACTGGAGAAGCAAGGTTAGAAATAGTACAAAGTAGCTTGAGATTAGGAGAAGTTTCATCACCTACAGGAGAATATATGTTAATTTTATTTTAAATAGCAACAGCTAACAATTTCTCTCCTTTACTCAATTTCATATCTGAAATAGTGCTATCTAAAGGCTAAGATTTCAAAGATTCGAAAGAAAATGGTGTTAGCTTCTCAAAATTATTATTACTAAACATTTGAGGTCTTAACATATTATTATAACTGCCTAAATTCTAATTAGTTGCTGCTAAACCTGTATTACTATTCTATGATTTTCTAGCATAAATATCATTTTTAAGAATTTATATTTCATTATCAAACGCAATATATATTTTAGATGATTGTTTGCAAACAATTAAACCTTAGGTATCTTTATTGAAAAACTTAAAAAATATTCTTTTTAAAGTTTGAATATCCCAAACACAGAAAAATCCCTTCTAAGTAATAGAATAAAGGTACTTAGAATCATCTGAAAACCCCTAAAAAATAAATAATATAGTTTAATTTATTTTATTTATAATCGATATATTTACTAAAGATAGTGGTATTTCCTGGTCGTGACAGCTGAGTCTCAAGTTGATTTAATTTTATCTACTATTTTTTGGTTGAGACATCAATTAAACCTGCTATTCATCTTAATCCTCGCCTTCTTCTTTCGAATATGCAAGGGCTTAATTGCTTACAACATTCTTTTTTTATTTAAGTAAATAAAAAGATATATTTTAAAAAAAATTATTTGTTTCATTTATTTACTGGATTATTAGAATCTCTATAAAAATCTTCTTCAGTATATTGTGGTAAAAGAAGTTCATAAATGTCACCGCTCTTAGTTCCTGCTAAAATATATCTGTATGTTAATAGTAAAATTAATTAATTAATTTAAAATTAAAATATTGCTAATTTTATTACTTTGATCCTATACATATTGATTAAATCTAAAACTCTGGCTTCTTCAACACTAGTTCTGGTTGTAAATTTGTGATGCTGTATTCTTGGATTTTGATTATTTCATAATTATAATTTGAAGGGAAAATCTCCCACAAACACACTCTGCCATCTAAACTACCTGATACAAACAAATTGCTTTCTCTTTTTGCAAATAATGTTCCAATTGTTAATTTGTGAGCAGGATGTTTCTTTTTTATCTTGTTTTCTTCCCATACATACAAATATCCATCTTCACCAGAAGTAATAATAACGTCTTGAACAAAAATAATACAAAGGAAAGAAACTTTTAATTTTGTAGGTTCTTCTTCCTCTTCATTAGCCTCTTCTTCTTTTTCATAATCTTCTCTATTTGCATCATCTTTTGCTACATCATCATTATTCTTTTTCAGATCCTTTTCTGGAGGAGGATTCTCTATTTCCATTTGATGATAAGAGAGTATTGATCCTATATAATAATAATACCATCAATATAAGATAATATGAATTAATTTAAATTAATTTTTACCATTAAATTTCCAGTGAGACATATTTTGAATTCCACATGTTATGAATTAATAAATAGAATTCGGTAAGAAGGCTAAATCTTTTATTTTGTAAGGTAATGAATAAGGGAAATTAGCACATCCCAAAACTTATCCAGATTATGAATCTATCAAATAAACGCACATTGTATAGTCATTTGTAAGTGCTACAAGCCCAATATGTTTATTATCGTGTGCAAATTTAGCTTTTAGAATCATAGGACTGTTTGTTATACGGAGAGTCTTAATACAAGTTCTACTACATATATCCCAAATTATTAACTTAGCTTAAGTCTCTATAGTTCCAGCGACTAAAAACTTCTTATCTTCTGATAAACTAAAGCATGACAACTATGGGAAACTACTATTAATAGAAGCATCCAGTTTAACAAACTCTTATTTTAATTCTTTTTTAATTTATATTAAATAGAAAATTTATTTTTTCATAAACATATAAAAATATACTTACACAAAAATGATTGCTTTTCATCTAAATTTTGATTTGTAGCTGAGTTTTATTCATCGAACTGGTCACTCTTCAAAATAACTAAATTACAACCTGCCAAATAGAGAATATTTTCATCGTAGTCATAAAACAAATTATTATATCTTTAGAAAAAAGAATTTATTATTAATTGAATAAGGATAAATGTAATTAGTAAACATACCTGTTAAAAGACTTTCTTCCAATAATATTAGAGAGCTTAAGTTCTACAGGGCTCTCTTTAGTATCTTCAATTTAACTGCAAGTTTCTGCAGTTTCCTGTCTTTAGGGTAATACTTCATTTTATAAGTTACTGAATTTGTCTTTTGTAACTAACTCAGCAAAAATATCAGGTTAGTCCAGTTTATAGGTTAAATTATCTAAATCCCAATACTGATCTTCTTCCTTCAACTTCCATTTGAATATGGATTCATCTGTTATTCCTGATGTAAATAAGTAAGTCTTATTTCCATTAATTATAGTCCTTTCACACTAATTTATAAATGAGACATGAGAGGAATAACTTTTAGCTAAGCACATTTAATCTGGCCTTACAACTATATTTTAGCTAATTCCCTCTTTTCCATCTTTATCTTTCATTAAGCAAGTTTGCTTAACAAGATGTAAATCACCTTTTATGCTACCACAAATCAAATAAGGCTATTTTATTAATAAAAATCATGGTTTTAAACTTAAAAATTTTTAAATCAAATTACTTTTAAGTCAAGCATAACAGAAATATAAGGTACTTGGGCATTATTACCAACTATTTATGCACCTTATGCTGTATTTAGCTATTAGTTAACATTTGAACCTAAAGGACCAATGTTCTAGCTTAAAGTGGAGTCTTTACTTATTTCATCAGCAATGAGCAGCTGTGGATAATATTAATACTAAGCTTTCAAAGAATTAGGAAAATTTAACTTTTGCCACTTAATAGATTAAATATTTTCCCATAACTTAACAGCTTAATTATTTTTAATATCCCAAATCATATAATGACCTTATTAATCATGATTAATTCTAACTAAATAGTTATCTACTAGTTAATAGTAGATAAGTAAAAAGTCATCATTTATTGAGAAAGTCATGAAATAAACAGCACAACCTTTTGTTTTAAAATTTAATTATAATAATTAGAACAAAATATATACAAATTACCATAAGCATTAGAGTCTGTTCTATAACTCTCATAAACACTAGGACATTTAATCTCAATATATTTTTAGTAATTTGCATTATCTTTTTTGTTAGAGGCTATTCCTCCTAGTCTTTGCTTGCTTTTGAATATTTATATAAAAGACCCTTCTTTTTCAAATTTACTTTCTTGTTCTTTGGATTATCTCGAGTTATCATATGAAGCAGCCATATACTGACCATCATCAGAAAACTCGATGTTAAGAACTGCTGTTTTGCCATCATCGACTATTTATCTAACATCAAGTTAGGGTGCTTCGTATCTTTCATGCTTTTTACCAAATTTACTTTTGTTAATAATAGAGCTGAAGAAACGAATACATCCATTAGTGAATCCAATAACTAGTATATTTCCATCAAAAGGACAGAATTTAACACACGAAGGAGTATTTTACAAATGCTTAATGAGCAAAGGTTTATCATTTGTTAAATCAAACATACATAATAAACCATCTTCACCAACAGTAACCATAATTTAATCCTATGGATGGAGAGCAAAATAAACCTTTTAAGTTATTTTTTATAAATATTAATTTAATATTAAATTTTAAAATGAACAAACAAAATTTACCTTTTTGTTAAAGATATTTTCATATAAATTTTATTTTGTTTGACTATGATGAGTTTAGTTGCTATGGAACTATAAAAACTCAGAAAATCTGAAATTTTTGAAATATTTAGCTTATCCGTATAACTATATCTTATTATTCTCCTATTCATCTTCAGATTCATCACTTTCTTCTTATTTCTAGTCTCTCCTATTAATTATTTTATTAAATTTATTTTTTTTTAAATTAAAATATATTACCTCACTACTGTACTTAAATTATTCCTAAATTCATCATTGTTGTTTATTTTTAAACTTGCTTCATCTAATTAGAAGGTGGCCTCCATAATTGCTCCGTTACGGGTTCCAAATAAAATAATGGGCCATTATTTTTCTGTTTATTCCTCCTTCTTTTTATTACTTTGTTGTGTATTTTATAGCTTAGAATTTTGGCTCTTAAGCTTTTATTCTATTAATTGCTGGTGCATACCACAGAAGTAAATATCAATTGATTATGCTGATAAATTTTTTAAATCTTTTGTATTAGTTTAGCTGGTTGATAAATAGCTGAATTCAGGTATCTATTTTATTTTTATTTCATTTATCAAATTAAATTTTGTATCCCAAATCTTTATAAGCTCATCTTCTCCAGCAGTGATAATCAATATATGTTCTTCGAAAGCCTATTTAAATATAAATTTAGTAAACAAAAATAAAACTAATACTAACATTAAATTAATTTAATTTCTTTTATTAATAAAAAAAAGATTACCTTAAATATTTTTATGCAATTAATCATTTTTAAATGAGCTTTATTTCTGGCAACAACATATTTATTGCATGTAATTAAAATAAGGTCTCCGAAGTTATTACCAGCTATGATATCATAATCAATACTTTCATTTATATAATAAGATATATAATCAACACAAGTAATACAACAATTAGCACCATAATCACTTTCACTCGCAGCATTAACAACTAATTTTCTTAGGATATTTCTACCATTCATCTCCCAAACTGTTATATTTTGAGTTCCACAAGTAACGAATTCATATCTGTTATAAGGATTAAAGCAGACATCAAAAATATGATATTGTCCACTGTTTCTAAGAGCTATTATTTCTTCAGTCTTCCAGTTAGTAACTTGTAAAGAGAAGTTAATATCCATACCAACAGAAACAATTAAGCTAGATTAATTGGAAAATGCCATATTAATAATACCTAGATTAAGTAATTATAGTTTAAATATGTCATAATTAATTTAAGTTTGAAATACCATTTTTGTGGAATGTAGATAGAATCTTAAAAGGTTCGCAATTAAGAACATTCCAAACATGAATAGTAGGCTTGGAAGAGGCTTCTCCAGTAGCAACTAAATACTTGAGTGGATGGACCACTAAACAAGAAATTTTAGACTTATGACCTTCATAAAAGATTTATTTATTTCTTACTGGATCATACACAATACCTATTCTTGAACAAAAGTAAACAAATAATCTTTAGCAATTTTCATGAGGCTGGTCGTAAGATAATTATAGAGTATTGTTTAGAGGCTATTGAGTAATACTTGTGTTTTTATGCTTTTAGAAACCTAATATGTTACGATGTCTACTTAAATTCTTCAAGATATCGTATTTATAACTATATTTGCTCTTTCTAATAGGATTTCCATTTTCATCAACACCAAATTGAAATTCTTTATCATAGTAAATGTGCGCATAGTGAAGAGTTTTTCTTTTATCAAATGCCTAAAAGCCATACACAAAATCGAGTTCTAAGCTTAAAGGAGGAGGTCTTTTCATTTATAAATCATATTTCTTTTCAAATTCTTCTTAAATATTCAAATTTTATAATATTTTTTGCTCTGTTCCTCTATTTTTTTTTATTTTTAAAAAATTTATCTGATTCAAAATTATATAAAAAATATATTTACTTAAAGAGCACAAAGGTGTCTCTAAATGTGTCTGATATAAAGTTATTCTTTCCTATGTAGCTATAAGATAATTCTCTGACTAAAATATCATCTTTTAACTATGCTACTTTTGAAACGATTTCTAAATTAGATAAAGCACTATTGTTGTCTTCTTTGAATGGCTTTGAGAAATCATTGTAATCATTGATAAAATCAACTTTCCATTCTATTATGGAGTTATCTTTTGAACCTAATGAGAAAAATAGATCTTAACTTTTAGTCATTAACAGTCTTGAGATTTAAGATGAGTGACCCTTCAAAAAACCTCCACAGTTAGACTCTAGTTATTCTTAATCTCTCCAATAGTAAAGATACCCTGATTCTCCAGCTGCTAAAAAAACCTAATAAATATTATTAATTGCTTATTTAGTTCTATTTAAATATATCAAAAATACTTTAATATCAGCACCAATAATTATTGGGAGCATAGAATCAACATAATTTTTAGTATGGAGGGGATATCTTAAATTCCAAATTGTACAATTAAGTTTTTCATTCTCTTATTATATGTTCTTACTTTTTAAATCTGGAATTTCAACTTTGTACTGCTGTCTTTGATTAGTACCAATGATAAAACTCTTATTATCATCTAAAAAGTGAATGTATATAGGAACTTCTTCTAAGCTTAGCTTTTTTGGATTTACTTAGAAGTAACTATTATTACTCAAACTAAATAAATAAACTTAATTATCAGAGCAAGCAGCTATCAAATAAAAGGTATCACTTGAAAATTTTAAATCTAAGATCATTTTCTTACAATCATATGACTTAGGAGATTCTTCCCTATTTTAAATTATTTTTATTTTTAAAATTTGATGAAAACATAAAACAAAAACTATATATTTAAAAAAGCAAATAATTTTTACCAATCAATACGCATATATATTTGACCATTATCACATCCAATAGCAAATACTGTGCCACCATCCTCAAAATTGACACAATCCATAGCAGTGATTGGCTTTTCTTAACCAATCGTCCAAATATCTACTATTTCATGCGTTTCTAATGAAAAACCATACACAACTGACGATTAGCCTGCAACAAAAAGAATTTTATCATCATTTTCAGGTCTTTCAAGAATACACATAGCATTTAAATTACCATTTAGTTTTGTAATGTAATTGAGTCTATTTGCATGAGTTTTCATAATAAATTTATTTGATTACCATTCTTACTTTTAGTTAAGCTTTATTTCAATAATATCACCATAAATTGTAGAGATGAGTAACTTATCAACAGCAACTAAAATATCAGCAATATCGTAATTAAAGAGCTTAAAGGGAAAAGTGGTTAGCTCAATCTTTTGAATAGGAGGTTATTTCATTTTAAGATCAAATAAATAAATCATAGAAGCTCCAGTAGCAACAATAATACCGTATTAATATGTGACAATGCAAACTATTGAATTTTGACCTGCTTAAGATTTTTCTCTTGTTTCTTCTTCAATGTTAATTTTCTCATTTTCAGATTCATCCATATTTCTCCACATGTAAATTTGACCATCTGAGTGTCCTGTTATTATCACGATGCAAGAGTCTTCTTCTTTTTAAAAGGCTTTCAAGTAAGGCTATTCATCATTTAAACGTAAAGCTGCAGCACAAGTTATATCACTAATTTATTAATTTTCTTCTCCTTTATTTAAGTTAATTTCAGCTTTTTAAAAATGCCCATTTTAATAGTGAAGCATTAGAATTTTCCTTGATGTGCAAACTATAAATGAATTTTAGAAATCTTCAATCATACTTTCATATATGCTAAGCTAATTTTCTTATTTTACTAAGTATGCTCTAATATCCTTTTTATTTTATGCATTCTTTGATGCTTTTTTTGTAAAATGTTTATTAATTAAATAGTTTTTAGATAAATATTTTTACTTGAAAAGACAGGCTTAAATTAAGGGTTGTACTTTTTATTTGAGTGATTCAACGAGAATTACCCAATATAATTTCTTATTGTCAATAATTCAATAACTGGCTCATCGACAAAGGTACTCAAAACTAATGAATAATCCTTCAGACTATGGATAAGAATCGGAGAGTTCAAACGAGAACCACAACTTGCTATGAACTCATCATCACGAAAGAATGTTATTAAAATAATACCCCTTTAATGAATTCCTTTAATAACTCCTAAATTTTAAAGTGTATTTGGATCCCAAATATGCAAATGAGGCTTATCACCTAATTCTCCACTTGCTACAAGATGTTTCTTTTTTGCAACTGCTAAACAATTAACCTCTTTGTCATGCTCAATATAATGCCTTTATATTTTAATCTATTATAATAATACAATATTTTCGTTAGTTGATAAAATGATAATCTAATCGATTATTAAAATATTATTCTTATATGTTATCTTATTTAATAAAGTAGAATAATTGATATATTTATATAACAGTTTATATGAATAAAATAATTTATTTACTTAAGGATAGAAAATAACTACTATACAAGCAGTAAAGTAAAGTATTCTCTCTGATTCAGCAGAGCTGCTTGGAGCTATGTATTCTAGTGGATGATTAACATTTTGAGAGCGGAATCCATATACCCAATTTATTTTACAGTAAGCATCTTTTTGACTGGTTTTACTATTTGATTAATTTAAATATTAAAGCTTTTTCGAAAATGTACTTAGCCAATCTAATTTTTGTTAATATTTCTTGGAATTTATTATTGCACCAAGAGATTTAGTTTCCTAAAAGGTACTCACTCTTTCAGAGTCTAGTAAAAGATTATTTGTGTGCTAATTTTTTTGATTCTTACTTTCAGGAGGAAGTTTTTTTATCTTAAGCATAAACTCACGAATTTCTGGAGTTTTTGCACACCACTTCAACATTTATGAAATATTAACACGTGAATCATCATTAAAATTTTTACCTAAAAACTCTGTAATATCTTCTTCATTAACTTCAGACTCTGAAATATCTAGCATTTTGAATGTTGCGTTGCAACAAGATATCATCATAAATTCTAAATCAATAATGCTTAAACTATTTAATTCATTAAAATCAAATATGTCAAACAAGAAACGCAATTTATCTTCAAATTTTGCTTCAGAAAATAAAATCAAACCAGAAAATAATTCTAAAGCATCAATTAAACCATTTTTATCTCTATCCCATAATTAAAAGAGCTCCTAACTTTTATCTGGTTGACCTAATATCTAGTCGAATTCATTTTATTCAATTGCAAATGTATCACAAACACTTTTAAAAGACCCATGGTATTCTCTAAGCTTACTTAAGGCTTAACCCATTAAAATACTATTCTTAGTCTTGACATTAGAATCTCCAGAGGTATTACCTAATTGCTTAATTACATTACCCATGATATCCTAGCTTTTACAAAATAACTATGGTAACTTTTTACTTGCTTTGATCTAATTTCAAAAAAATATGAATTGATTAATTAATTAATTAGATTGTTAATTTTAAATATTTTTTACAACTTTTAAGAAATGAATGTATCATTTAATAGAAAATTGTTATTATTATTATTTTTTTAAAATAAAATCATCATATATTTATTACTTTTATCATTAAATGAATCATATATTTAAATCTTTAAATCCGCGAAGATTTTAAAACGTTTACTAAATATAAACAATGAATTTAAATTATAACTTCACTTAACTAACCTATACTACAAAATATCATAAATAAAAGTTATTAATTTAAATTAGTTTTATTTATTTTTAATTAAATTTAATAATTTATTTTGAAATATTTTTAAAAAGGAAACTTAAAAATTAATTAAAAAATAAATACTTAAAAAGTTAATTATTTTGATTACTCTCAACTAATTTACTTAATAAAAATATTTTTGATAATACAATTCTTTTTATAAAAATAATAAATATATTTAAATTATAGTTAATTTAATTTATCTTTAATTCTTTCAAATTTATAAAATGATTACTAAAATCAATAAACAAAAATTTCTTTCATAATACAACATTTTTTTTTAACTTATTATTATTTTTTTGAATAATTTTTTATATTTATTATAAATTCATTTTTTACTAATTTTATTTTTATAATTATTAATCTTCTTCGAACCTATTCTCATACTATTTATCATGCTGTCTCTATAATTCAACTAGTTATTTTTAAACAAATTAGCTTTATAAATTTTAATATTAAAAAAAAATTACATTAAGGATTGTTTGAGTAATACTAAGGTAAATTGAAGTAGTTTCCTTTTTATTACTCTTATGAATGAGGAGGAGATATTGAATGAATAGTTTTTCTAATTTAAACATATAGCTTATTATTAATAGGATTTGAAGAGTTATGCTAAAATTCCTAATCGTTTTATGAGTCTTAAATTCTATCTGGACTGCTAAGTGATTAGCGAGAATCGATATATTGTTATCCTCTTTATGCTGATTCAGATTTTGGACGTAACAAAGGTGAAATTTCTTATTCCTTTTAGAATTTGAAAAATGATCCTATTTCTTTAATAATGCTTCTTCCAGCAGAATTGCTATTGTTCCTAGACCTATTGTGCTAACTACTGTTTCTGCTTGCTCTCTCAATACTCTAGTCAAGATCTTTTAGTAAATCTTTTTAAAAAATAGAAAGATATAAAAAAAAATAAAAATAATTAAAATTATTAAGTTTACTTTGATTATTTTCAATCATATATTCAGAATATTTCTGCATATCATTTATATTCTAAATGATATTTTGATGTGGTTATATTTTTTCTCCTTTATTTGAATTCAAATAGTTTTTATCACCTTTTGTTAAATGACTTTAAATATTCATTGGATATTAATTATTTAGTAATTATTTTTGCCCTATTTTTTATGTATTCTTAGCATTTTTTTTATTACTTTGTTTGTTAGAATAATCTGAATAATTTTAATTAACTTCTACCTAAAAATCTTCTTTTGAGTTTTAATTTTAAGATTCAAACGTATTTTATAATTAAATGTTAAATTGTTGGTAATTTTTATTAGGTTATCCATAAGCTGGATACATATTTTCTAAGTTTTATGAGTTATTAAAATCTGAGTTTTAATCTTCTAATTAATTGAAATATTTGTTTTTCAAAAATTAATTACCTTTCTTGTTTTATGTATTTTTAATACCCATTTGTATATCTTGAACTTTGTTTTTGTCCTTTAAATGACTTTGATCTTAATATTTCTTATTTTAATTCTTAATATCCAGTTTTTTTTTATTAATTTCAGGTTTTTAGATTTTTGTATTTATTTAGATTTGATTTATTTATTAATTTTTTTATTTCTATCTTTTAGAGTCTATTAATGGCTATTTTTAATAAGGACTTTTGGTAGATCTGTTAGGTGATTTTGAAGTAGATAAGTTCTTACTCTAACTTTTATTATTATTATTATTTACTTCATAATTATAATCTATTTCACTTAGATTACTTCTATCGTCAGTTATCCTATTAATTTTATATTTATCTAATTCTGAAGATATTTGTTTATTCTATTTATCAATCATTTTTCTGCAAAGTTATGGTGATTTTTCGTTTTATTAGAGCGTTTAAGGACTTTTAGATTTTTTTGGTGACTCTTTAAATTTAGCATTTTTATAATAATCATTCTTAAATGTAGTTTTTTCATATAAATCTCCATCTTTCTGACTTTGTAAAATATTTTTCAACTCACAAGGTCTAAGTTTTCTACCTTTAAATTATGAGTTACTACAATTTTACTCTTCGTTATCATGTAAACCAGGAGATTAGTTATAGTTTCGTATAGTATAAAGTTATTTTTACTCATGAGTTTAATCAGGACTACTGATTAAGCTATTTAAATAGGAATCTTTATTTCTTCTTTAGTTTGCTGGAGACTAAGCATCATTATGAATAAGCATTTCATATTACTGAATTTATTCTTGCATTTCATTCTCTTAATAAGCATTATTGATGTGCTTGTTAATATCAAAATTTTTCTTATTTTGGCTATTATTCAAATCATATTTAGTTTATTTGGGACTCATTTGTTTAATTTAATCATTATCATTATTTATTTTCTATGGCTTGTAAATCAATTTTTAAGGTTCTACGAAACTAGAATTATTTTTTTACATCTAATTAGCATTGAAAGACTAACTCTAAAATTGTTCAACTTGCTATTTTTTATTAAGTTTGTCTATTTTTTTAAGTATCTCCTCTCTTTATATAAGTTAAATTATTAAATAATAAATAATATTATATAAATTACCTTTTTTCTTAATAATTATTCAACATTTTTAATAGAAAATTGCGATATTTTTTGTCTTCTATCAAGTTTTTAAATAATACATTTTTAATATTTCAAAACACTATTTAAAATTGCTAAAAAAATTACTTTCTGATTCCTCATATTAAGGTGTAAGAAATATGTCTTAAGAAGTATTCTCTAAAACATTTTACGGATATTCTATAGGTGCTTTATCTAAATATTAAAGCTCATCTTTCTCAACATCTTGGTTAGGAGGGAAATTCTTTAGCTTTGAAGATTATGGAGAATTTTATTTACTGTTAGTCTATATTTATTATTAATGAGAAGGATATGGCTACTAGAATTAAGCTACTGACCTTTGATTTTTTACATTTTTAACTTCTAACTAAGTTACTGTATTATTCTACTGCAAACCAAAAGACCCAATTACTTAAGCTTCTTCAAAGGTGTTTTCAATTTTATCAAGGATGCTTCTTTATTTATCTATACTGTTTTATCTAGAGTTAGACTAAGAATTTTGAAGAGATGAATTTTTATTTTTTTAATAATGATTCTACTAAGATTAAAAAAAGGGAAATACTTTTTCTTGTGGAGGCTATTAATTTTGAGTTTTTTTTACCTATTCTTATGGTGCCTCCATTTTATTTTCTATTTCATTTGTTTGAAGAGAGCTATTCTAAAACTATTATTCGATATTTGGAGGCTATGAAAATTGTTATTCAGATTTTTCTTTTTTATTTTTAAACAAAAATCCTTTAGTTTTACTTAGATTTGAAATGATTGGTTCTTCCTTATAATTTTTAATTTCGCTATTATTTTATTTTAACGATTTTGAAAGTGAATCTGATTATTTAATAGAGCTCTAGCTATTTCCACTGCTTCTTTCAATCGGCTTTGAAAATTATGTTAAGGAATTTTTCAAATTTTATTTAGAATTAGTTTATTTAATTTATTTCTTATCTTTATCTAGTTATCCTAAAATTAATGATTAGATATAATCTGGTTTTTACCAGCTTTGAGCAAGCTCTTTTTTCTTATTATCATCCAAAGGTAGGTGGAACGTATTACCATTCTCTATTTTCTTAAAAACTGATAAAGCATCGCCATCTAGCTCATTAATAGTATTTAAATTTTTTGCTAAATAGCTAGGTTATTGTTTTAATTACTTTTCAATTTTCTAATTTTCTTATATAATTTCTTAATTTTATGATTCTTCACTTTATTAATTTTTTTATTTTGATCTCTTTGTTGATTCATCTTAATCATTTACGTTATACATTTCCTCATTTTTATCATTTTAATCTAATTTAATATTTACATTTTATTCTTAATTTTACATTTAATTATTTATTTAGCTCATATTTTGTTAATTGATTTATGAATCTTGCTAATTCGATTATTGAGAATTAATTTTTTCAAAAATTGAGATTTTTTCTTCTTTCTTTTGTTCTGTTGCAGTTTAAAATTGTTAGTTTAATTGATCTCTTTTTTTGTTGATAGTTTAATTAACATTGTTCATAGCCTCTTTGAATATATTCCCTATCAATTTATCTATATTCTCTTCAATTATTTTATCTTATTTCTTATCATTAAGAATTTCTTTTGCATCTAATGATAAATATAATTTATTAATATATAATAAAGAAATTAATTATGTTTATTTACTTTTGTTTTCCTAAAAAGAAAATTGTCTTTTTCTTCTCTCTTCATTCTCTAGATTATTCTTTATTTAAATATAATTTAAATTAAATTAATAAATGATAAATTAAAATTTACCTGCTCAGAGATTTATTATGTTTCTGAATCAAAATTATTATTCTTTATTGCTTGATTAAACTCTAAGTTTTAATTTAAATTTTGAACTTTTTCAATCTGCTAAGACACATTTGAAAATAAAGGTTATGTAGTTGGTTCCTCTAAAGTAAATAATCTATTTTCTGTTTAGTTTTCATTTTTGGTTTTTTAATCGATTTATCTGAGAATATCTTAATACTATTTACCTTCAGAGTCTTAGCCAATAACTCTTTATACCTCTTTATTCTAAAAGTAACTTGAGTTATTATTTAATTCACTCTAAATTCTAAGAGGACTATTTGCAAATTAATTTATATCTACACCTTCCTTCTTTATACTTGGTTGATTATATTGGATATTCTAATTTGCTGAAGGGAAAGGACTTGATATAGTTTAAAATGTAAAAGCTCTATTCTATTTAAAATCTATTGAGTCTTAAATTTATTGATTATCAATAATTATGTTCTCTATAATTTTTACATTATTAGAAGGACTGCTTCTCAAGTAATTTTAATAGTCTTTAATTTCATGCTCTGTAGTAACTTGAGCATTTATTGAAACTCCCTCAGCTATTGGAATTTAAGCGCTATGGGAAACTGAAATCTTTTAACTTTTAATTCCTTCTGGTGATGAAGTGATAATGCTTTTAATTATTGGAGCCGTTATTGTTGGAGAGTGTGATTAATAATTTTGCTGAAATGTTAAACCCCTTGTTTGAGGATTTTGAGAACGTGAAATTTGTTAAACTACATCTTAGATTTAAGGTTTAGGAGATTGTGAAAGGCTGTTATAATTGTTTTCTAATGAATTAGGTCTGCTTTTTAACAAGTTTATTTACTTTTCAACAACTGAAAAAGGACTTTAAAGGTAGTTAGATCTTTAGATATCTGATTAAACAGATCTAGCAGGCGAATGAGAGGTATATTAAATTTTCTCTTATGAAGGTTATCTGCTTAGAAATGTTCTTTTTTATATTAAGCTCAAGTTTTCAAGAGGATTCTAAATACCTTTATAGGCAGGATATAAAAGTGGAGTGTAAGGAGGAATCCCCTGAACAGACTATTAAGAAAATTGTGAATTAAGTTATGATTATGCTTAATCTTACTTCTAGCTTTCAATTATGTTATTTTAAATCAAAGGTTTACTTTAGTCAACTGAGGTTTAAATATTAGAATCTAAAATATTCTTATGGATCGAAGTCTATTAATTCTATTAAAAATGCATATCAAGATTAGTTATAGGTATTTGATTTGCATCATTTTAGATAGTTTCACTTAATCTGTTAGTAGCCTTGTTTGAAATAGGCGATAATTAATTAATTTATGAAATTTATGCTGATTTAAATTTTTAAAGCTATTAGCTGTTAATTTATTCTTCTTTTAATTAACTTTAAGTGTTTTATTAATTTATACTTTAAAGATTATTCAGCTAATAAATAAAAATTTATTTTTCTTTGTCATCTTCTTATTATTGTTAATTTTATTATTAATTACCTGAGTTAACAGCTTGTATAGGTGGCTAAATTGAAGGACTTAAAGAAGATGTTTATTAGACATTAATTAAAGGAGCATTTTTAGGTGTTAGATCTGTCTAATTTAGTGAAGGCGTCTTTGAAATGTTATTATTTGATAAAGCAATTAAGTTTATTTCGCTTTTTGTGCTTGATTGATCTAAATTCTAAGGTGTAAAGTATGAATCTTTAAGTTTGTAAAGATAATTTTAAGTCACAGATAGATTATCGTTTTTGTTACTAGCTGTTCCAGATTGGTCTCCTTTCTCTTGATCCTTTATGTCAGTTTTTTGGTTTTAAGGAGAAGATATAGTTAAGGGTAATTTGCTAATTAGTTGTTATGCTCCAGATGAAATAGGTGATTTTGATAATGGTGATTGTGATTATGAACCTACACTACCTTACTTATTTAGTTAAAAATCTGATAAACTAGAATTTCTAGATATTGAGCCATTCGGAATTTATGCAAAAGTGAGAGCTGGGGATTACCTTTATTTTTCTCCTTAGGTTGAATTTTAGCTAGCAATTTTTTAAGTTTCTTTATTAGGCTTCTAATCAATATATTAAGGAATATTTTAAATAGTAAATAAATTCTATCCTTATGATACAGGAGATATAACAGATTGAGTTTAGCTCTTATTTAAATCAAATGGCTAGTATGCTCTTAAGATTGTTGGTGATTAATTAGCCACTGAAGAGGGAGAAATGTTACTTGATTACTTAAAATTTGAGTTGTCAAGTAATTAATTAATATTATATTTTGATGAATTATCTTACTTATCCATATTAGGTTAAATTGGATTAGCTATATTATAAATATTTGATTTGCTATCAAGAGAAGACTTATTGAGATTTGATTGCATTTGAGAATAATTTATTTGCTGAGGTTAATTAACATAAGTTATAACAGTTTTAATGACATTTTTTTCTGGCGATAATTTGATTTTATTGTTGACAATATAAACATTTTAACTCTTTAAGGAGTTTTCTAAAGATTGTGCATGTTTACTTCCACTCAAAATTTCAAACTAGCTTTGATTTTGTTGATTTTAATTCTATGCATTTGTTGCTTGAAGGAATTCTTTTAGTTTGTTTTCATGGTTTAAGATTTTTTCGTTTATATGATCTACTTTCTTGTTAAAAGATGATATTTATTAAGGAACTTATGGCAATCCATAAGACCCTGATTGGATTATAGGATTATTAACGCTGTTATTTTATTATATAGAGGAATTATGTTAAGTGCTACAATTAGAATTTCTTCTTGCTTGAATAAAATTATTATTACTATTGCTATTTTAGATTATTTAACTACCGTTAGTAGGAATTATTATATTACTACTTAGGCTTCTTCCATTTTCTATTTGATATTAAATCTAGCTATTTAAAGCATTGTTTTGCTATATTTCTGGTAAATTATTTAAAAATCTATTGCGAACTTAAGGAATGTTATTGTTTTAATTTTAGAAATTAATTTCTTAGATAATGCTTTTAACTTTGTAAGGAAATTTGCTGTTGCTACTTATACTGCTACTACTGGCATTAGTTTGCATTACTCTAGAGCTTTACTTTACCTCAATATTTTATATAGAACCATTATTTTACATATAAGGCTAATTATTTATAACTTAAGTTTACTGGATCTAAGCTGGCTAGTTATAACCTTACTTCAAAATAAGTAATTGATTTTATGGTAACTAATATTATTATTTAATATCTAAATTTACAGGCTAAGATCCTAATAACTTAATTGAAGGTTATTAAGGTAGTTACGGAGGAGGAATTGTGCTTGTAATAGATGACTAGTTGAACTTCTGTTAAAAAGAATTACTCAAATTCATGGCTTTAAAGTTTTAGCTAAAACAACTAATTAAATTACTTCTTATTCTCTTTGAAATATCAAAATAATCGTTTGAATTTTTAACAAATAGTTTTTCAATTTGATAATAAATAAATACGTTGGTAAATAATAAAGATTTTCATAATTGCATAGTTAAATGTTATTCATAACTATAATGAATTTTTTACTTGCGAAATAATTAACCCATTTAAACTCACTAATTTTTACTGTATGTAAATCTAATATCTTTTTAAATTATAAAAGCTTAGCATAATGGAATTAAAATAATATATATAATCCTATCTTAGTAACTATAATAACTAATAAATATTGCAATATTTTTAATTTATCAAATCTAAATTGAGCATAAATAAAATATAAATTTTTTTAAAAATATTCAAAAACAATAATGTTTTATTTAAATCCATAATAAGCTAAGTAGTGAGTATTTTAATTTTGTTACTTTTTAAATTTAATAATAATGATATTAATTTATTATTTTAGTTCATAATTTTCAATAATCTCAAATAAAATTAATCATGGATATTTATTTATCGATCATTTTTAATTAAAAATTGTTTTATTTATAATAACATTTAAAAATGAAAATACTTGAAGCATATTTTATTTAATAATATGATATTCTTTCTAATTTAAAATTATGATCAAATTATTTTAAATTTTTATTTACTGCTTATTATAATGGAATGTTTGGAAGAAAGAAGATGTTTTAAAATATCACTTGAAAATATTTATTTTAACTTTTAAAGAGATTTTTAATAAAAGCATAGTTAAATAAAAATAATCTAATATAAACTCATTCAATATTTTCAATCTAACCTCTTGTGAAATATCAATAACTCATATTTATTTATTGATTGATATTGAGCCTTATCAAAATAAATGAAAAAAATATCTAAATAAAATAGATATTAAGTATGCAAATTAATAGGCTAATTTTTAATCCTTTTTTTATAATAACATCTAATTTCTTTATAAATTTTGAAATATAAGTAAGAATGAAATTAATGAAATGTTAAACTATTAAGTTATTAAAGTAACATAAACAAAGACTTCATAAAATCATTTCATACTGGGTGGGATATATTTATTTTTGCATTTTTCTACTAATTATAGCTTGATGTATTTTGAAAGCATTGCACCTATTTATTCAACTAATCTTAGACCTATAATGCTACAGATAAATAAATAAACTTGTATGAAATTTATGCTTTAACTTATTGCTATGTTAGTAAGGCTATCAGAATTCTGTGGGCTTATTTCCCTTGTAGAAACCTTAAAGGAATTTAGATTTATTACCGTATTTAACTTTTTCGAGATAAGAATAACCTCTATCGCTAAGAGGGGTATTGTAAGGGGATAAGTATTACATTAAGATAGTATGTTGTGAGAAATGCATTTCAGCTTCGTAGAGTAATTCGTATCCTAGTTAAATTCTATGATCAATCAAACCAGGGTCTCTATAGTGGTTTCTTTCACGAATATAATTTCCAAAATTAATCATAGCTTATTGAGCAGTGAATTTAGTTCCAATATTGTGAATTCTCAAAATGAAAGGAATTAATCTGCAGAATTTCCTGTAAAAACGTAAGGTTTTCATAGAAGCTTAGACCATATTTTAGGAAGGAGTTTGGGAAGGTAATCTTTCCATGATTTCATTACCTCTGATAGTAACGTTGTTACCACCACCAGAGAAGTAATTGTTATTTTATGTTGATGAAGCAGGGATAGTGTTGCTGGAGCCCCAATAATGATTCATTCTTCCTAAATAATTTAATTATTTTCTTCTTTTTTCTTTGTTTTTATCTAATAAATATAGATATTGATAACTATTTATTTTTTATTAATAGAATCTATCTTGAATTACAATTAAATTTTTTCTTTGGCATTAATAAATTATTTCTTAATAAAAATAAATAGTGCATACATACATACATATTCAAAGTTTAATAGCAAACTAACTAGCTATCTATCTATCTAATTCATATTTTTGATGAATGATAGATAAAATGGATAGGATTGATAGTAATTTTTATTAGTTAGTATATATGAAGTGTTTAATGCGATTTATACATTTCTTAATTATCTTCATTAATTGAACTTTAAAGTAAATAAATAAATAAAATTAATTTTTTGTTATTGTGAATTGAGAAATATTTTAAATGAAAAATTTATTCTTCTAAAATGGAATTTTAATAATATATATTTCATAAAAGTTTGTTTTTAGTATTAATTAGTTAATTCAAATATAATTTGTTTTTTTGTATGTGAACTTAGTTGGGTTTTTATTTTCTTAATCCTTATGATGCTTTTTCTATTTATTGTCTTTGCTCTTTTTTTCAGGCTTTCTGGATTCTGAAGAACTAGAACATGATGAGGAAGAAGATACATCAGATGACAAAGAAGAAGAATTTGATGAGGAGAGTGATGATATGTTATATTTCTTATTAATGTCTTTCATTTTCTCTTTCTCTATAAGATTTAATTATTTTACTATATCTTTTGATTCTTTTAATTTCTTCTTCTTATCTTCGTCAAACACTTTATTCATTTCATCAAAGCATTTTTTTACTTTCTTTTCAGCTTTTTTTATGTTTTCGTTTGTGTGAGTAAGGTCACTCAAAGGTTTATTTTTTAAAGTATCTAAATAGCTGAATTCATTTTAAATTTTAAGAGTATCTTTATAATATTTTTTTCTAAAATCTAAGCTGCCAGTTGATGATGACGAGCTATTATCATTATCTAAAGATGAAGATGACGAAATTGAAGATTGCTATGACGATGAAATACTATCTTTTCTATTTTTAATTTTCTTGCTTATATTTTTCCTATGTTCTTTGTCTTTTTTCTCTTCTCTCACTAACTTTTTCTATTTTTTTGAAGCTACTTCCTTTGATTCTGTTGACGAAGAAGACGAATTTGAAGATATTGAAGATGATCGATCACTTGCAGAAGAACTTCTATATTTTATTTTTTTGCTATGTGAGGAAGTATATTAATTTTTCTCATTGAAATTATTAGATCTACCCTACTAAATAAAGTTCTTTAACCCTTTATCTATATCTGAGTCTAATGAAGACTTGGCAGATTATGAAGAAGATGATGATGAATGAGATGATGAAATTTGACTCATAAGTACTTTAATTCTACTGTTTAGCTTTTAATCTATCTCTTATACCTTAGAATTAATCTTTTATATACCCTAGTTACTATTTTATTTTTAGTTTAATCTTTACATGTCTTGAGAAGGGCTCAATGCAGAATACTTTTAAGAAGCAACTTTTTATCCAATCATTTGTCAAGTTGTTTAATTGATGTATTTAACTATTAGATTATTTAAAATTTGTATAATTAATAAATAGTTTTAACAGCTGAATTATTAAAAAATATAAAGCCTAACAATTAAATAAATCTTTATTTATTTATTTATTTACTTATCCAGGACTTTTTTACAATATTTTATAATAAATAAATACATCTTTTAGTAGCATATGAATTTGAATACAAAAGTAACAAACTAAAAATTCTAATCTAAATAATCAATCAAATTTCTTTTCTTTTTTAAATTTTATTCACTTTTACTACTTCATAAATATTTAATATAATATGTCCTTTTGTTTAAAAAATTAATAAGACAATAAAGTATTGATTCGATGAAAATATTTGGATAAACATATCATCAATTTCTAATAATTTTATTATTAATAATAAATTATAATTTTATTTTTTATTATATATGGTAAAATAAGAAGTCTAGCCCATAGGGGTATTTTTGACACTCATTTTTCAAAATTTTAAAACATTAAATTTGAAATATTTTTTTCAAACTAATTTTTAAAAACATTCTCATCAAAGATATATATATACTTTTTTTACTAAATAATTTATAATTAATTTGTATTTTATATTTCTATCTTAGTCCACCTTTCATTATGTAAATTCTCAATTATAAATTTAAAGAATTCCTTTTTTAAATATTAAGTCTACTCAATAAGTATCTGAAATTAATAAATAAATTTTAAAGCTAACTAATCTCATTATCTTAAGAATCTTTATTCTTGATTTTAATTATTTTGATAAGACCATATAAGTAAGTTTATTTTCTCTTTTAATAGTTTTTAAAAATATTTATATGTTAAAAATAATATGTGTTTTTATGTAAATTTATAATATTTTCTTGCATTTCTCTTTCTTTCTAAATAAACAATTGAATGAATTAAGTTTATAACAAACTATTATTACCCACTAAGATCGAGTGTCATAATTTTAAGGTGAAAGCACTTTAATAAACCAGAAAATAAATCTAATAAACCTTAATCACCTATTTTATTGTCTCTATTAATATATTTAAGATAAATTTGTTTTTGATATAAGTAATTTACAAAACAAAAATGTGTGGGAGTGTTTTTTGGGTAAATCGGAAAATATGGATTGATAATTGATTTGAAAAGTAAAAAAACAAATAGACAAATAATTTAAAAAAAAATATATATTATTTTTAAAGAAATCAAGTAAAAATATAATAAAATGATGCATATTATTTTACTTTTTTAATTTATAAAAGTTTTATAAAGTATAAAAAATTGACTAATCTAAATTATATATACCTAAGGTTTAGTTTTAAATTAGAGAGCTTAGTGCATTTTATTAAAGCAGAACCTAAGTTTTTTGCTCCTAATGGATGAATCATATTCCCTCTTTTAAAATATTTCATATAATTTTTTTTAAAAATAAAAAAAAGTGTCTAAAAATTTTAAAAAAGCAAAAACTTGTAAATTAAAAGTTGGAAAATAAGTATAAAGTTTAGAAACAAAATAAGAAAACAAGCATAATTTAAATATGTGAAGATTTTGCTTGATTTTTTACTTTATGCTTTTCGAAATTAAAAGTTTTAACTATAGAAAAAAATATATTAAACAATTTTTACAATAAATTTAGTACCAAATTTGAGAGATTAGTACACTTTGCTAAAGCTAAAACTATGTCTGATGCACCGTTCGTACCAATTTAATTCTGGCTTTTAACAAATTTGAGAAAAATTAATTATTCGATATGAAAGTTAAAGTTGGAAAATTAATATAAAAGTTAAATGATAGAAAGATAAATAAGTGTATCCAAGGATCAATCAGCCAATTAATTATCTTCAAAATGATCAAGCAAGTAAACATTTTAAGATTTTCATGTTTTCTTTCTATTTACTTATCGAATCAAACTGTTGATACGATCTATCTTATAACACCAATTAAAATTTTTTTACCCACTAATATCAAGTATTAAAGTTGAGAGATTTGTACATTTTTCTAAGCCTTAACCTAGTTCTAAAGCACCTTTTTAGCCAATTTCGTTCTGACTTTTAGTAAAATTTAAATAAATTAAAAAACGAGTAATAATTTAAAAATAAGAATAAGATATAACAGGCACTCTATGTTAAAATAAATATGAAAGTTTAAAATACATAAATAGTTAAAAATAAAAACAAAAAATAAACAAATAAGCAGTAAGCTAAATATATTGCATTGAAATTTTTAATAAATAAATTAAACTTTTTTTACATAAGGAAGAGATTTAGTGTTGAGAGGTTAGTGTAATTTACTAAAATAGAACCTAAATATGATGCACCCTATGCGCCAATTTCATTATAGCTTTAAAAAATTTTAAGTTCATATGAAAAAATTTAGTAGAATAAATAAAAAGAGAAATTGAAAATTAAAATATAATTTAATTAATAATCATAAATAGAAAATAAATTTTAGAAGATAAAAACCATTAAAATTTTGTGATAATTTAGTATATATAAAAAATAAGCAAAAACGAAAAGATTTAGCATGCTTTCTTATATTTAATTATCAAAAAAATAAATAAGTAAAGTATTTATAAAATGAATACCTAATGTCAAGTTTCAAGGTTGAGAGTTTAACACATTTTCCTAAACCAGAACATAAATCTGAAGTACCTTATTCACCTATATTATTCTTCCTTTTAATAATTTTGAAAGTAAATATAAAAAAGTGAGTAGAATTAATAAAAAAAATTATTAAAAATTTTAAATGTAGATTAAAATAAATTTCAAAAATAGAAATAAATGTTAAAAAATAAATAAATAACTAAAGGAAATGTTATTTAAAATAAGTAATTGTAAATCATAAAAATAAAAACAGCAATCCCTCAAAATTTTGGATGAAATCTAGAAAAAAAGTAAGAAAAAAAAGCTAAATTATAAAATAACTAATTAATCCGAAATTCAGATAGAGCTAATGTAGAGAAATTATAGTATATTATAGAAACCCTTTATCAAACAAATATACTATTTTTACCTTAAGTAGAGTGATAAATTTTAGAGGTTAGTGCACTTAGCTAAACTAGAGCCTAAATCTAACATACCCTCTCTTCCAATTTAATTCCAACTATTGTTTTTTAAAATAAATTAGTTAAAATCAAAAAAATAATTTCAATTTTGAAAAAAGATATTTTACTTAACTGAATAAAATAATAATAATAAGAATAAATATTAATTAAAATTAATTTAACTATATTTACCTAAGGTTAAGTGTTAAAGTTGAGAGGTTAATGCATTTTGATATAGCTGAACCTAACTCGATTGCACCCTATGCATCAATTTGACTCTAACTTTTAATTTATTTAAGAAAAATTTGTAAGTTAATATGAACTAAAGTGAGCAGAGATTTTAAAAAAATTAACTTAAAATTAAATATATTTAAAAGCTATTTTATAATAAATAAATTATTTAATTAGCACAAGTAAGCTCAAAAAAATAAAATCTAAAAGTTTTAAATTTATCGTGAATAATTTTTAATTGTTATAAATTTTTTAGAAGTGTTGTTTTAATTGTGATTAGAATTATTTAATTATTATTACGCAAGACCAATTCTAAGATTTGTGTGAGATAAAAGAGAAGAGTTTATTAACTATTTTTTTAAAAAAATTAAATTATAAATATTAAAATCTTTAATTACGTCTTTTATGTCTCTAAAATATTCTTTTTATAATATCATTTTCTTTTCTTTTTTTTCTTCCTTAAAATAATCAAAAATAATAAATTTAATTAAAAATAAATTAATTATTTGTAAAAACTGAAGAAATTCATATTTATTTTTTACAAGTGATAAAGTGATAGATAAATTAAAAGAAAAGATTAAATTTTAATAAATAAAAAAATTTTAAAAGAATTTAATACAATTTTAGCATGTTAAAATAAATAAATAAATAAATAATTAAATAATCTAAAATCTTTTATTCTATCAAAATTTACATAAAAAAGAAAAGAAAATAAACATATAGGCTATTTGATAAACTAGTATCCCATCCAATCCAATAACAGTCAAATAATTTTTTATATTTAATTTAATTCATTTGTTTTAACATTTTTCTCAAAGCTGTTACCAATTTCATGAGTTATATTTTTTTCATCTTTTAATTTAATAATTTATATTTATATTATTTCGATTTGCAATTTAAAAAAATAGCTATTCCTGCTAAGCAGCACATAACCATATACTTATAAAAGTAAATAAAATATATCTTTTTTTTGTTTTTTTTTTATATTTTATGAATCTAATTAAATTTGTAAAATAAGGGCACAAAGCAATATTTTAAGATTTAAAAAAGGAGAGTAATTATATAAAAAATAAAATATATTTTAATGATTTTGCAATAAAAAGTAAATTTGAAATATTTTTTTCAAACTAATTTTCAAAAACATTCTCATCAAAGATATATATATACTTTTTTTACTAAATAAATTATAATTAATTTGTATTTTATATTTCTATCTTAATCCACCTTTCATTAGCGTTAGAGAGTAAATTCTAAATTATAAATTTAAAGTATTTCTTTTTTTAAATATGAAATGTATCAATAAAAATCTCTTAATAAATCAATTTTATAGCTAACTAATCTCATTATCTTAAGAATCTTAATTCTTGATTTTAATTTTTCTGAAGCCTTGTAACTAAAATCATTTTTTCTTTTAATTGTTTTTCAAAATTTTTATATGTAAAAAATAATTAGATTAGAATGATATTGTCAATGTAAATTTGAAAAATAGAAAAAAATCAATAAAAAAGTAAAATGAAGAAAAATTAATCTTCAAATTAAATATGTGTTTTTTTGTAAATTTAGCATATTTTCTTGCATTTCTCTTTATAAATAAACAATTCAATAAATTAAGTTTAAAACAAACTATTATTACCCAATAAGCAAGAGTTTTATAATTTTAAGGTTAAAGCACTTTAATAAACCATAATATAAATCAAATAAACCTTAATCACCTATTTTATTGTCTCTATTAATATATTTAAGATAAATTTGTTATTGATATCAGTATTTTACAAAACAAAAATGTTTGCAGGTATTTTTTGGTTAAATAGGAAAATAATTGATTAGAAAAGTGAAAAAATAAATAGGTAAATAAATTCAAAAAAATAAAAATTTAATCTTTAAAGAAATCAAGTATATTATAATAAAAGAAACATATTTTTTTAATTTTTTATTATATAAAAGTTTTAATTGACTAATCTAAATTATATTTACCTAAGGTTTAGTTTTAAATTAGAGAGCTTAGTGCATTTTACTAAAGCAGAAGCTAAGTTTTTTGCTCCTAATGGATGAATCATATTCCCTCTTTTAAAATATTTCATATAATTTTTTTAGCAAATAAAAAAAAGTGTCAAAAATTTAAAAATAGCAAAAAGTTGAAAATTAAAAGTTCTAAAATAAGTAAAAAATTTAGAATCTAAATAAGAAGAATGGAGAAAATTTAATCTTCAAAACAAGCATAATTTAAATATGTGAAGATTTTGCTTGATTTTTTACTTTTTGTTTTTCTAAATAAAAAGTATTAAACTAATAAAAAAAATTAAACAATTTTTACTATAAATTTAGTACTAAATTTGAAAGATTAGTACACTTTGCTACTATTTCTGATGCACCGTTGATACCAATATAATTATAGCTTTTAACATATTTAAGAAAAATTAATTTTTCAATATGAAAGTTAAAGTTGGAAAATTAATATTTTCAAGTTTTCTTTCTATTTGTTTATCTCATCAAACAGTCGATGCAATCTATATTATAACACTAATAGAAAAATTTTACCCACTAATATCAAGTATTAAAGTTGAGAGATTAGTACATTTTTCTAAGCCTTAACCTAGTTCTAAAGCACCTTTTTAGCCAATTTCGTTCTGACTTTTAGTAAAATTTAAATAAATTAAAAAATGAGTAACAATTTGAAAATAAGAATAATATTTAACTTAAAGGGTGAAGGCACTCTATATTAAAATAAATATGAAAGCTTAAAAAACATAAATAGTTAAAAATAAAAGCAAAAAGTAAGCAAACTTTCAAATAACCATTAAACTAATATATTGTATTGTTATTTTTATTAATTAATTAAACTATATTTACATAAGGAAGAGATTTAGTGTTGAGAGGTTAGTATAATTTACTAAAATTGAACTTAAATATGATGCACCCTATGAGCCAATTTCATTGTAGCTTTAAAAAAATTTAAGTTCATATGAAAAAATTTACTAGAATAAATAAAAAGATAAATTGAAAATTAAAATATAAATTAATTATCATAAATAGAAAATAAATTTTGAACATAAAAACCATTAGAATTTTGTGATAATTTGTCTTCATAAAAAATAATCAAAAATGAAAAGATTTAGCATGCTTTCTTATATTTAATTATCAAAAAATAAATAAGTAAATTATTTATAAAATTAATACCTAATGTCGAGTTTCAAAATTGAGAGTTTAACACATTTTCCTAAACCAGAACATAAATCTGAAGTACCTTTTTCACCTATATTATTCTTCCTTTTAATATTTTTGAAAGCAAATATTAAAAAATGAGTAGAAATTAAAAAAAATGTATTAAATATTCTTAATGTAGATTGAAATTTAAAAATAAAAAAAAGGTTAAAAAAAGATAAATAATAAATAAATAAATAACTAACTAAAGGAGATATTATTTTTAAAATAATTAAGAAAAATATGTAAATATTTTTAAATTTTTAATATTTTTGCAAATCATAGAAATAAGCACAGCAATCCCTCAAAATTTGGATAAAATCTAGAAAAAAAGTAAGAAAAAAAAGCTAAATTATAAAATGACTAATTAATAAATTCCCTCTGAAATTCAGATAGAGCTAATGTAGAGAAATTATTGTAAATTATAGAAAATATTTATAAAGCAAATATACTATTTTTACCTTAAGTAGAGTGACAAATTTTAGAGATTAGTGCACTTAGCTAAACTAGAGCCTAAATCTAACATGCCCTCTCTTCCAATTTAATTCCAACTTTTATTTTTTAAAATAAATAAGTTAAAATCAAAAAAATGATAAAAAAATTTGAAAAAACAGTATGTTGAAAATTAAAATGTAATTTTAAAATTGAAGAGATAATTACAAATTTAAATTAAAAAAGCGATATCAAAAAAAAATAATTTTAATAACAATCAAAGATTTTTATAAAGACTTTGCAAATTTTTTACCTTTCGCTTAACTCAATAAAAAAATAATAATAAATTTTAATTAAAATTAATTTAACTATGTTTACCTAAGGTTAAGTTCTAAAGTTGAGAGGTTAATACATTTTGATATGGCTGAACCTAACTCGATTGCACCCTAAGCATCAATTTAACTCTAACTTTTAATTTATTTAAGGAAAATTTGTAATTTAATATGAACTAGAGTGAACAGAGATTTTTAAAAAATACAATTAAAATTAAAATATTTAAAAGCTATTATAAAATAAATAAATGATCTAATAAGCACAAGCAAGCTCAAAAAAATTAAAATCTAAAAGTTTTAAATTTGCTGTGATATAATAGATAAGGGGAATTATTGCCGGTCAACCCATATTAAGAACCATAAAACCAAAAATTTAACTTACGTTAAATTTTTGGTTTTATGGTTCTTAATATGGGTTGACCGGCAATAATTCCCCTTATCTATTATATATGCTGTGAATAATTTTTAATTGTTATAAATAAATCTTATTTAATTATTCTTACGCAAGACCAATTCTAAGATTTGTGTGAGATAAAAGAGAAGAGTTTATTAACTATTTTTTAAAAAAAATTAAATTATAAATATTAAATAAAATCTTTAATTACGTCTTTTATATCTATAAAATATTCTTTTTTTAATATCATTTTCTTTTCTTTTTTTTTAATCCTCAAAATAATCTAAAATAATAAATTTAATTAAAAATTAATTAATACTGAAGAAATTCATCTTTGTAAAAAGTGATAGATAAATTAAAAGAAAAGATTAAATTTTTAAAAATAATAAATATTAAAGAATTTGATATAATTTTAGCCTGAAAAAATAAATAATTAATTAGATGATTTAATATGTTATCAAAATTTAAATAAAAAAGAAAAGAAAATAAACACATTGACTATTTGATAAATTAGAAAGTATCCATCTAATAACAGTCAAATAATTTTTTTATATTTAATTTAATTCATTTGTTTTAACATTTTTCACGAGTGTAATATTTTTTTCTTCTTTAAATTTATTAATTTATTATATTTAATAATTTTAATCGTTTCGATGAAAATTTTTTTATTTTAAATATCATATATATAGTCATAATATATTTGATAATTTCTTTATTATTCTAATTTTTTTTAAAAATCATAAATATTTTTATTGTTTAGTTTTCTATCATTATGATTTAATTCTTACTTATTCCTTTTTTAAATTATTCTTATTTTATTTTTTTAGAATCTATAGATTACTCAATTAGTTTTGATTTAAATAAGTTTTATTATTAACTATAAAATAAACTCTTTTTTTGAGTTATTTAAATCAAATTGCTTTTTGAATCAAAATCTTCTTAACCATAAATTAAATTTCTAAGTCGAGCTTGATTTTAATTGTATGTTAATTCTATTTTGATTGGTTCTTCATCTGATTACTTTTTTTATATGTAGTAAGGAACAACAAAACTACCTATTCCAATATTTGGATTAATATCTTCTCTTATTACAATTCCACAAGGTTTTCCAAATACAACCCAACAGTTTATTGTAATATATCTATTTTTATGGGGATTACTATTGAAGAACTTTTAAAAAATAGGTTTATGAACAAAATTTAAATTGGAATCTTATAAAAATTAATCAAAATTAATCTTCACTATAATTTTATGAATTATAAATGTAATCCTCTTCTCTTGCATACTTTTGTTTAGATAGCTATGGAGTTCTTTTGAAAAACTGTTTCAAACTTGTTTAAATCAAGTGTGGATTTTCTGGAAATAGTTAATATAAAAGAGCACTCATAGATTTGTTAGACATAATAATTTACCATGGAGGTTCAATCATTACCTAAGATTCATTTTTATAAAATAAAGGCTAGATAAAATAGCCTCTAGTTGATTCTGATGCCAGTCACTCTAAATGATATTATCTCTATAATATATAGTTTTTAAAAATATCTTTATCAATTTCATATTGTAATACTTCATTTATATTTTCAATATCATCACTCAGGACAATAAAATTTTAATCAGGTATCATAAGTTTTTTTAAGCAATTAAAGGTGCATGTGTCTTCCTTGCTCTGATTTTTAAACATACAAAGTTGATTTTTCTTGTTTTAGATCATAATTTATTAGAAATATTTTTTAATTTCGTGCTCAACTTAATTATACTGTATTCAGCCCATATTCTTTAAGCTGATCCTGCTTCAATTATCATGGATCGAGTGTCACCATTAACTTCTAAAAACACAAATTTCTATCTTAACCTAACAAAAAATCATACCTGCTCATCAAATCAGGTTATTTTTTTACCAAGAATGTCTTATCATAGGGATGATATCTTCAGGTATGTCAAATATCTCTTTTAAAATTTAATTATCTTAAATAGCAACATCAGTAGCCTCAAGACATAAATTATGCAGATCATTAGTAGTTTAAATTATTTCTTTAAATTTATTCTTCTGATATTTAATAAGCAGCTCCATCAACCCAATAGTTATCATAGAAATAAAAAAAATGAAAAGCTTTCCATTTAATGCCTTGGATATTGTAGAATTTAAATTCTATCTCTTTAAATTTATTAATCAATTCTTTGAAAGGATTTTCTATAACTCTTTTTATATCTAGATTATAATCATATTATCTGTTAATATAATATCTTCTTAGATAGGGTGAACTTAAAAAGAAACAAGAAATTAAGCAAGTACCTAATAACAGTTTCTTATACATTTTTATTTTAATTCATTTTAATTTTTATATTTATTTATCTTTAAAATTTGATTAAAATATGAAAAAGTTCTTGATTTTCTTTGTATTATTGAAATTTATTTTATTTTTACATATTTCCAGAATTTTCCTTGTTAAACATTTTATCTATTTTATAAATACCTAATTATTATTTGGTATTCCAAATATATGATCTTTCAAATTTAATTAAATTTCTTAAGATTTAAATAAACTCAAATTAGAAAAAAATTCTTAGTTGTTTTAAAAAAATAAAAGAAAATTTTGAAAATAAACATTTTATGTACATTCTAGTTATTTTCCCATTTATAATATTATAATATTTGTGTAATTATTTAATAATTATTATCAAATAAAATTATTATTGTAACTAATTGTTACAGTTTATCAATTTATATTATTATTATTAATAAAACTAGCTCACTTATTAAATTCTTTATCTCTTTATGTATTTATATAAAAAATATAATTTATTTAATTTTAAATAATGTTTTAGGATTTAATAATATAGATGGGGAAAGTTTCTGAATTTCCATTTTGTTTTAAGCAATTAAATAAAATGTGTAATGAAAGAAAATATTTTTAATATCATTTGATTAGTCATTAAAAATAAAAAATATTTGTTTAAATTAATGAACCAAATAAGAATAAGGATTTAATTATCTTTGCAAAAAAAAAAAAACTAATTTTTTAATCTATTCATTTTATTAACTTAGCAAAATCAATGGTTAAAATAAAATCTAAATTACTATGACTCTTCACTATATGATATTATTTAGTTAATTAAATCCTTACTAAAAATAATATCAAAATATATATTTATCAAATAGTTGAAAGGATCTTATACTAAATAAAATTTATCAGTTATTACAATTAATGGAAGATTTAATATAAGAAAATGAAGCTCGTAAAAATTTATTAGAGTGCTTAGATGAAAATAATGATATCGACCTTTATCTTAGTGGGATGGATAAAAGTAAATTAAAAATAGATTAATCTTAATCTAAACCTAACTAAGAAATTGGATCATGGGAAAGCGATGGTTAAAATATACTTTCTTCATTAGGAGAATATCAAAGTAAATAAAGGAATGATAATAATTCTCACATTTCTAAAGCAACTGTAGATAGTAAAACATAACTTTCTACTAGATTTTTATCTAGCTACAGAAGATAAAATCCAAGTCAAGGTGGAAATTTATAAACAGTTTATTCTAGCTTAACAAATAATAATAGCAATGTTATTAGATTAAACTCTATTAGTCCCTAATAAGTAACTGATGAAAAAAATATGATAAACATTTCAACTATTTCTAAGAATGATACTTAAGAAGAGCAGATGCTCATAAATACATAATAAAGTAATTAGGTAAATTAATAAACAGCAATAGATTCTTATGAATAATAAGCGAAGCAAAATGAAATACAATCAAGTTGGGTATTTATGAGCCCAAATTATATTGAGCATAGGAAATAGCTGTAAGTTGGCATGCTGATTGATAGGCACAATCTCAAAAATAGGAAAACTTAATAAGGTTAGTAGAAGACTATTGAATCAGCTACTTTTAATGATAAAAATATCATTTTAGAAATAAATTAAGATGTTGTGTAATAAAATTATGCAGATGTTAACTAAAAGTAGGAAACTCTTGAAAAAGCAAAATAAAAATTCAAGGCAATTTAGTGTAAATAAATAACAATGCCTTAAGACTTAAATAAAGATGCTAGCAAATCTATCAAATTAAAAAGTGAATAAAATGGTTAAGATTTATTTAAGTAATATAACTATTATGATGTCTAAGAAATGAAAGGACAGGATAGTTTAGATACTCTAAATATTAAAAATGAACTTAAAAAATATAAAAATTTAAGACCTGGAACTTATATTGGAATAGTACCTAAGAAAGAAACAAGCAGCAGTTAGGATAATAATTTTTATGTATTAAAAAATAATTAATTAAGCAATACTCTAGATTTAAGTAAATTAAAACTTCTTTAGAGCACTAATACACCTTTTTAATCGTCAAGAATAAGAAGAAAAAAATAAAATTACAGTGGTGATTATAGTCTTACTGATAGATTCAAAGAATAGGATCTATAAAATTTAGATTAGATAACTCAAGAAAACATTGATAAAGAATAAGAAAATTTCCAATTAAATATTGTGAAATATCCTAATTAAAAAAGTAGCAGAGAAAAAATATATTCTTAGACTTCTAGAAATTCTTTTAGCTTAAATGAGCATAATGATTTTTCTGAGAAATTTAGAGAATAGGTTTAATAAAATACTTAAACAGATATTTATTCTCCTTTAAAACCTAAATTTACATTGAATTGCAATGAGTAAAAATCCTAATAAAAGAAGGTGAAAATAAAAGGAGGAGGTGGATTTTATTATTTAAAAGATGATATGCTGTTTAAAATAGATAAAGAGGATGAACTTATTTAGCAATTGAATTCTTTTGGAGAATATAACATACAATTACATCCAATACAAAAGTTTATTGAACATGAGAAGAAAAAGGAAAATATTCAAATTTAAAAAATGTAATAAAAAGAACAGGAGGTTTATATAATTTAATAAGATTTGCAGTAAAGAGAGCTAAATTACTCTCCCACAAGTTTAGTAAATAAATACACTAATTAAATGAGAGATAATCCTAAATTGAAAAAGAATTTATTCTATGTAAACAAGAAACTTAACAAATTAGAGAGAAAAAAAACAATTGAAGAATTTAGAGCACGTTCTAATTCTCCTCTTGCTTAAATAATTGATGCTGTAAATTAGAATCCTTTAATTAAACAAAGTACAACCTTTTATAGCTAAAAAAATGCATTACCTGTAGTAAGAAGTTCATATAGCCCATAAATTTTAAAATGTAACAAATAAAAGGGTATTTCTGATCTAATTTATGAGCAACAGAATGTTAATCATAACTAAAATTAATCACAGCCATTAGGTTAAACACAGTATAAAAAGTATAGAAAATGGAAAGGAAGCCCTTTGTTTAACTTAGAAAATAACGACTTAAATAGAAATCCTTACATTAATTGTGGATTTTCACCTTTATTGGCATAATAAAGTCCTGTTTAGTTCAGCAATAAAAGCAGAAATTAGACAGCCAAAAAAAAGAATAATCAGTAATAATAATAGTAAAATTCTTAAATATAATAATTTTATAACCCAATACCTTAAATATTTAATGAGTAAACTAAAAAGTATAAGACTCCTCTATAAAATTGATGCTATTTAAATTAAATTGAATGAGAATTTCTCAAATAAAGTTTATAAAATTTAGGTTAAAATAAAATTTATTTTCTGACTTGGTTATTTTAATAGGTGTTTTATTAAATTAATTAATTATCCAATTAGTTAAATTTAGCAAAATAATAAATTTTATTAATATTAATTTATTAGTGAGAATGAATGTCAGTTAGTTTTAACTTTAAATAAATAAAGTATTCAATATATAATATAAATTTAAAATAAGCATTTTATATCTAATTTTAGTTAAAAATTAATGTAAAATTAGTAAATTTTTATTCAAAAAGTTTGGAAAATAAATAATATATTTATTCATCAATTAATTAATGAATGAATTAATCTATCTTGAGGCCAAAGATCTTTTCAAAAATTTGAATTTTATTCCAGAAATAAAACATTAAATTTAAAATTTGCTATTTTTCAATTGTATATTGCTGTATCCCAAGCAGTTTAGTTATTGACATTTACTAAATTTTGATCTATTTTAAATTGTAAAAGGAAATCTGCTACTTCACTATTTCCGTAAGCTAGAGCCATATGAAGAGCAGTATTACCTAAATCCTAATTTAATTTAGATTTAGAAAAAAAGTTTTATTTGTAAAAAATAATTAATTTTATTTTACATTTTAGTGATTTATATTTATCCCTTTGTAAATTAATTCTTTTACAATATCAATATTTCCTACACTTGAAGCAATAATTAGAAAGTTGCTGCCTTCTTCATCTTAATAATTAATTTTAATCTAATGGAACTTTGAGAAAATATCTTCAAACTTTTATTTAAAATTAATTTAAGTTTAATCATATTTAAATCATTTTTTTTTAAATTTTAATTTGCTTAAATCTTAAAAGAAAATATTTATTCTTTAAAAAAATTAACTGATTAGTTATTTAATTATATTATAAGTAATTAATTTACTTCTGTCAATGAATTATGCTTAATTGCCATCATAATCTACTATTCAGGAGGTAACAATTTTCTTTTACTTATTTAATTATTTCTATTACTTATTGCAAGAGATTGCTTATCTAGAATATCTGGTTTAATTCTGCTTTATGAAAGATTTTAATTTAGTTAAATGTAATTTTTATGATCTATAATGGTTTAGTTTTATGAGCCTTTTATCTTATTAGCATTTTTAACAGAGTTTTAGCCCATTGAAATATTATTAGGTGCTTATAAACTATTTAATAGTGGTGTTTATAGCATTGAAGTAAAATCTTGATTTTATTCTGAGGTGGGCTAGTTTTATTATTTTATTTTTATTGGCTAGGTAAGTGGTGTCTATTAAGCAGTGGTTAACGATTTCTTCTTATTTTAATCTTCTTGATTTGTTTCCTTTTAATTCTTATTGGTAATATTTGAGAATTTACTTCTTTAAATCTACAATGTGTTTTCCTATTAAAAAATAGCTTAAATATAAAACTCTTATTTAGAATAAACAAATAATCTTTGTACATTAGACAGAGAAATACTCTCTTTAAGCGATTAAGATAAGCAAATTTTTTTTTCCAATGCTTTTCTGGTAAGTGATGGACTATCAAACTCAAATTCAGCATCTTACTAATAATTTTTAATTGAATCGCTCATCTAGAATAAATTTTAATTTTCTTCTTTTTACTCTTTAGTATCAGTAGATTCTGGCTGTTCCTTAACTAACTTTTGCTGCTTAATACATTTCTTATAGTTATTAACATTATGATGCTATACTTTCAAATAATTTGATTCAATTTTATTGTTAGATGTTTGCTTTTTAGTTTTATTTGATTAAGTATTTTAACTAAATAAATAATAAAAATTTGAATTAATTGTATTCATATCTTCAAAATTTCCATAAAGTAAATCTTTTTGTTCAGTGTAGTAATTGCTGTAGCTTTATTTGAAAAATCTTCTTTGATCTGATTCCAATAATTCTGAAATTTGTTGATATTTATCTCCTTTAATTTTTAAAATTTAATTTTAAAGTTAATAAATAAGCTTATAAAATTACCTATATTGTTCTTTTTCATCAAGAGCTCTATTTTTTGTTAATCTTAGTCTTAAAATTTAATATTAAGCACTTATTCTACTTAATTTTCTTATAATTCGCTTATAATAGGAGGTATATTTTCATATAATCTAACTAGCAGAGAGTTAGATTCATTTAAATTTTGAGGTTAAAGACTTTTTATAAAGTTATTTGATAAGGTAAATGGATCATAGTTTTCATCTTCATATATTTCTAGATCATTAAAAAATTATAATTGTTACGGATTAGCTTAATCCATTTGTTGCTAATATTAATCTATCCCAAGTTACTATTAAGTATTTCCTAAGCTATCTTCATCAATAGAAGAATTTGATGAGTTAGAGGATGAGTTTGACTATGAATCTTAGGAAGAAGAATGTGAAGAGGAATTAATCTCTTCAATACTAATGTTTTACAATGTTTATTTTGATTAAATTTTTTTTTCATTTCTTAAATCTTTGTTTTTATCAAGTTCGTTAAATTCAGTGCTTGAGTATTTTTATTAATTAGATTTTGGACTTTAAATTTGTTCATTTGAAAAGAAAGGATTCATTCTATATGAATCTGCTGAATATTAATGCTCTAAAAAATCTTTTGTGATTTATTTTTTATCTGAAGCAAATTTCATAAATGACCTTGACTGGCTTTAAATTCCTTGCCTCATTTGTTTATTTTCCAAGATTTATGATTGATCTAAGCTATTTGAATAGTTTACCTGTTATTAAATTTACATAAAAAAAATGTTTAAAAATTGAATATAATTTAAATATTTTTTACTTTTTGTTAATCTTAAATAAATTGGATGCCTTAATTTATTTTAGACATTCTTTTTAAATATTTTTAAGACTGCTGTTTCTGTAAGTAGTTCATAAGGTAATTTCTTGTTACAGTAAATGAATTTTTAGGATCTTTCATCTTAGTTATTTTTTAGCTTTGCTAATTTAATTCTAGGCTTTTGATATGATTTCCATTCTTTATGATTTTAAACTCATTTTCACCATTTTCTAAATTTTTTTTGAGAGATAAAATTAGATTTATTAACAAATTCCAAAAAAAAAAAAAATTAGTAATAAATAAATATGAAGTACCTTCTTATAGATGCAAAGAAACTTCATCATCTTTTTCAGATTCTTCTCCGATTTGTTAATTATTTGTATCATTAAAATTTAAATTATCACTATCTTCGTTTGTTTCAGAGGAAATATAAGAATGATGTGAATTTTCTGAACAAATTGAAGTTGAGGAAACTTTTTCATTTTTAAAAGTAACAAACTTATAAACTTATTAATTATTGGTTTAAGATGAGCTATCTTGATTACTCAAAGGAGGATTAATACTAACAGTTAATTAAATTACGCCATTATATTATTATGACTTAGAACTTCTTTTAGGAGAGTTTTGTTAAGTGTTGAGTTTTTAAAGAGTATTTTAAATATTTTATTTTTATTACTCTAATAAGTTATTTTATGAATTTTTGCTATCAATAATCTCTTGACTTTGTTTTTAAGTTGACTCTTAACTTGGTCTATCTTATACGTTATCTTACTTTTCAAATTCTAAAAATGTTCTTTTTATGTATTGTTGCATTTTTCTATCCAGAGTATTTTTGTTCTTTTTTAAAATTAAGCTATTTTTTACAGTCATATCTTCTAAATCATTAAACACATCTAATTCCAAAATATTAATTTTCTTTTTTTATTCTTCTCCTCTCTTAGAATGTTCAAAATTTAACTGCTAATAGCTATAATCCTATTGATTATGATCTATTCTTTTACAACTATTAATAAAAGAGTAAGAACTTAAAGCTTAATGCATTTTAGTATTTTATTTTTTTTGAATACTCTTTTAAAAATCACAATAATGGCTCAATTATTTAATTCCATAATAATCTAAGCCCAATGCAATTAAATATTCATCTTCCCTTTATTATTCTAAGTATCTCGTACAGTTATCTTAATCTACATTAATAAAGGATTTTCTTTTAAGTGTGTCTGGCTTTAAGGCTGGCAAATTTTAATTTTCCTCATTTTAGTTCTGATTAAAATTAGAAATATTTAATTCATTTTTAGGGCTTCCTATGGTTTCTTCATTTTATTTATTTTCTGAGTTTGCAGCGTTCTATTATTAAAAATTTTGATTTTACTTTTTTTCCATCATTTTTTTCAGCAAATTTAGCTAAGAAGGATCAATAAAAGACGATTTCTTAGAGTTTCTTGATTTAATTAATTAATTATTAAGATCTTCATTAATGTTTGAATCATTTTTTATATTGTTTTTATTACAATCATTAGAATTATCAATATTATTTTGATTATTTTCTTACTCATCAGGCATTCCGGATTATTCAGAATTATTTTTTTCAATTTCATTTAAATTAATTTTATTTTATTCAGTAAAATTAGAAATATTAATTTAAGGTGTTTTTTAATTATTTTAAAAAAATCTTATTACCTCTTGCTAATGATTTTTTTAAAATGCTTATTGATTTTATTTACTTTCTTCTGGTTATTAAAGAAATATTTTATTTTACTCTATTTGTTAAAGATGTTACTTTTGTTAAGACCTAGTTTATCTAATGCTAACATCAAATATTTTTTCATTTTCTAACTAATTTTTTGGAGAAAAAATACTGTCATCACTATTATTTTAATCCATCTTATTTCTATTTTTTAATTATTCTGTATTTTAATTGTTGTCTTTGCTTTCAATTTTATTTTTAGATAAAAATTATTTATTTGAATATGATTTAAAGTTTTCTTTGACCAATTTTTACTTGATTTAATCATCTTACTAACTCATATCTTGGTAAATTGTTTTTGAATCTTAGTTGTTATTGCTATTCAAAGCTATTCTTTCAGTGAAAAATTTTTATTGATTAGAACCTGTTTATAAATTTTTAAGATTCAGTAGTTTTATTTTATTATTAATGCTGCTTTATGTATTCATAGAATTTATAATATTTCTAGCTGTATTTTTATTAGAGCTTTGTGGTGTTTTCACAGTTTATTATATAGTTTAAGGTAAAATATTATTTATTATAGTTTTCAATTATTTTTACTTATATTATACTATATTATTGTTATTATTATTTGAATAAAAAAGACTGTTATTTTTTGGGGAATTTATATAATTAAAAGATGATTTAGAACTTTTGAAACTATTTTTAGACTCTTAAACTCCATCTGTGGAGTTGTAAATTTAAAAATCTGTTTCTACCCTTTAGGTTTTTGAGTTTTGCAAGTCTTCATCTTCTATCTCTGTCTCTTCTCGTTTGAAAAAATAACTATTTGTTTTATTCCTGCTGGGAGTAGATAAACAGTCTTTTATAAATTTACTTTACTTTTTATTACTGCTCGAATTAAAGTTTGTATTGCTACTAAAGTAGTATGTAGAATTAAATTTAAGATTAGGTATTTTATTCTTTTTAGAACTACTTTTGTTAATTGTTGCTGATGTTTAAGTACTATTTTAAGAAGCATAGTGATTTTATATAGATGACTCTTACTTTCCTTATTGATCAATCAGTGAATACGTATTTACCCGTTCTCTATTTTATATAAAAACTCTACTTGGTTTTATTTCGCTTGAGCTCTTCAAACGAAAATCCTATTAAATCTATTACTTTTATTACTATTCTTTGTTAGCCAACTTTATTTTTTAAAGTTAAATATTTTTTATTTTATTGCTATTCTCTTCTATATTATATATTTATTTGATCTTATTAGATTGAATGCTTTCTTTTTTATGAGCATTACTCACAAACTTTGGTCTAAAATCTAAAGATTGCAAAAAGCTATTGTATTAAGCAGAGTTTATATAAATATCATTCTTGCTATTTAAGTGCTGTAAATAATTTATCTTATTTAAATCAATATTTCTATTAAATTACTCCTTGTTCAGTTATTATTTATCAAGGACCATTACCAAATTAGAAAATTATTTATCATTAAGATCTTATTCAAGCAAATATTCAAAATTGCAGCCTCCTTAAATGCCAGGTGTACTTTTTTTAATGTAAATGAAAGATCATTAATTTAAGCATTGAGTTATATTCTTTAAAAAATTACTGGAATCCATGCGATTTTAAAACTTAAATATCATCTCGCTAGTAGCTATTAAGCTAATCCTAAGCTAAATAATTTTACTAATCAAAAATAAATTAACGCTGTTTTTGAAAAGAAATAAAAAAACAAAGCTACATTTTATGGTGATAAAAAAGGTAGATAGTCTGAATCTGGATTAGCTTTTAAATAATTTTATAATTTTGATATTTAATTTTTAGAAAACTAGAAGAAACTACTTTGTCTTTCATCCATTTATTTGCTTGCTTGCTAACAAAACCTCTCCCTTCTATACTCTTATTTAATTAAAAAATTAACTTACTTATTTGTTTAGAAACAAAAAATTCACACTTAAAATTATTCCAACTAAACAAACTAAATACTTAAAAGAGTAATAATATTTTGTTAATTTTTACTGAAAACAAAGCAAAGTAAAACAAAACAAAAAAACTACATTACTAGAAAAATTATGAAAATTAATTAATTTGTAAAAACTAAAACAAATTTGTACGTTCTGCCATTTAAATAAGTGAAAGCATTAAATGAATGTATATCAATTAAAAATAAAAATTAATGTTTTGATTTTTAATTTATTTGAATTACATTAATCATAAAACCATTTAAATGATCTAAAATGAATTAGTGAATACATAAATTTATTAATTTTAGTAAACACTTTTAATTGAAATATTTTTATAATCTTAATTAGCAGCACTAACTAAACATAACAAAAATTTTTAAGTATAAACATTTTGTTTTTATCGGTTAGCTTACTAATTTATTTAAATTTATCAAAATTAATTAATTTTATTAAAAAATTAAATCCATTTTAGTCTTTGAGATAACTTTATTTCTTTCTAAAATATAGTGATATGGCATCACTATTATTAGAAAGACCTTTATTTTTTAACATTATTTTTCTGTAATAAAAATATTTATTATAAATTTTGATTAATAATATTTTTAATTTTAAATCAATTAAAGACATTTAATTTTTTATTAAAGTATCAACCAAAAAAAAAAAATATCTGTATGTATTATATAAGGTTGAGAATTAATGCAATATATATTAATATATTTTAATTTTTCTATGTATTAAACATTTTTTATGAAATTGAATGTTTAGACAAACAATTTCAATCATTTTTTTTTTCAATAAAATTCTAAATATTTTTTAAAAGAAAAGTTATTGATGTAAACTTAATAGCATTTAAAGATTATTAACTATGAATTAGTTTTTAAAACATTAAATTAATAGATTTTATTAACTCATAAAATACAAAAATATAAAAGAATTAAAAGTTTTTAAAATAATATTTTATTATGTTTTTTTTAAATTATACTTTTGATTATTATTTTTTTTTTTTGCAAAAACATATTTAATCATCTTAGCTGATTATTTGCTTGTTTATTGCTCAATAAATTTTAAGTATTTAATCTCCTTGATTATATATTTTTTTGTATTTATTAAATAGACTAATCAGTTCACTCAAATATACTTCATGATACTTGTTAATATCTTATTGTGTTGGATTGATTATTTATGGCAATTTAATTCCTTTACCAATAACAGTATGTATTCCGAAATTGTGGCGAGGAATCCATCCATATTTTGAAATAAAATAAGCACCTACTAGCTTAATTTTATTAAGAAATAATCTAAAGGATAAGAATTTTTCAATAGTATAATAGCATTTATTTTCACCAAAAGCATAAGATGGATAAACTGTATATCCATATTGCAATGCATATTTTATGAATCCTTTCCTATTCTTAATATAGACTCTATTTTCTTTAGTACTTGTCAAGGTGGCTTCTTCAAATCCACCTGGTAGCAATCCTATGTTTTATCCTTTTTTCATTTTATTTTTCATATTTTGAGCATCAACCTATTTTTGTTTAAATTTAGATTACAAATTTTAAATAACTAATTTTTTTCTATATTTGAATAGCTAGACAAATTTTAAGTATTAAAATAAAGTTAATTTGACAGATTTTTGCCTTAAAATTTGTATAATTAAGACATATTATTTATTTCAAGTATCTTAGGATTTCTCTTTAATAATTTCAAATTAAATCTAAAATAAAATAGAAAAAATAGTCAATAGTTACTGTAGATATTCCCATCCATCTTGCGAAGATACCGGTAAATGGAACATTATAAATCATCCTAGATGCTAGTGGAGTTATCTCATAGTTTATGTGGTTATTCCAGACAAAGGCGATATTAAAAATACAGTGAGGGTGGAAAGCTATCATAGAATTCTTTTCTTAAATAGGTTCTTCCATAACAAAAGTCCAGTCTTCAAAAATTTAATGAAATTATATCCACTTGATAAACCTAATGAAGGTTTCAGATCTTTTAGCAAAATAGTATTAATAAGTACAAATTGAAGCAAGAATAGCTCCAGACACTATACTCTTTTCATAAAGACTCTTATACAAGAGGAAGATGAATAGATACAAACTTACAAGGTACATTACATAGAAGTAAAAAATGTTTCCAAGCCATGCTTTTAAGAGGTTTTTAGGTACCTTCTTATGGTCTTATTTTAAAAGCTCTGAGTCCATTTTAAGTATCAAACTATTTTAAATAATTTTACAAAACTTTTTTTTACTTTTTTGAAATTTTTTTATTATTTTCAATTATGAAATATTGGATGAATGTATTTTTAAATTAATTTTAATTAGGTAATTAAATATGCTTAAATTTAATAAATTCTTATGAAAATTGAGCTGAATAATTTCACTGTTATAATTTTATGACGCTTATACTCACAAGCTATTACTGATTTGATGTGTATTTTAATCTAAAAAATTTTTCAACTCCTAAAATATATACAGCCTTTAGTTCAAAAAGGATTTAATTTTTTACTTTTAGTATACGCAATTTGGTATTAGTAGAACAAAGTATAATATGCAATTTTTTTGTAATTCAAATTGCACCCAATTTCCTTTAATTATCAATAGTAAATACAAATTTCACTTTTTAATAGAAAAATGATCAACTATATTTGTTTAATGTTCTCTCTCAGTAAGGTATAAGTGTAATAAATTATTTCAAAAATTTCTCAAAAATATCATTCCAAAATAAATTATTTACATGTTTCTCTCTTATAAATACTATTGTATCATACAATTTTAAAAAAATTTTACTAAATTACCATTTTTAAAATTTAAAAACTATTTAATTTTTATGAGAGTTAATGAATAAAAGAATTATTACCTTCTAAAAAGTAACTAAATATATAATTTTTTGTTAAATAAATAATTAAATTTTTAAGATTCTTCTAAATTTTATATTTTGTTAGTTAAAATCAAAATTTTATGAATTAAATAATTTTATTAGCTCTAATTGACGTAAATATTTCTTATTATTATTAAATAAATAAAGTTAATGTTTCACATTTGATATAATTAAAAAACATAAATTCTACTATGTTTATCTTAGAATAAATTGAATGTTTTCGATTATAAAATAAAAAAAATACATAAATGATGTAATTTGTTTTTCAAGTTTCTAAAATTGTTATTTTTAATTTAGAAATTCAGTACAAAACCAATTCCTAATTTTCTTAATTAAATTGTTTCTTGTATTTATTAAAAAGATTTACTATGGCATCTACATAGATTTTGTGATATTTTTCAACATCTTCTTTTGATGGGTTTTCTATTTAAGGGCATTCTATTCCTTTCCCAACAACAGAGTGCATTGAAACATCATAATGAGGAGCTATACCAAATCTTGATCCAAACAATACTGACAATAACTTCATTTTTGCCAATATCATTCTAAACTTCAAAAAATGAGTAAAAGTCCAATAAACCTAGTTTTCTCCAAATGAATAACAAGGATATATAGTATATCCATACTTAAGAGCATATTTAATAAAACCTTTTCTATGCTTTATGTATATTCTATGCTCATATTAACTTGTTAGGCATGCTTCTTCGAAGGCACCAGGAAGAACACCTATGTTTTTACCTTACTTCATCAAGCGAGCCATATTACCTGGGTCAACCTACAATCAACAAAAAAAAAAAATTTTGAGGTTTTACCCTTAAGGTTTGCTTTTATAAATAAACTGAATTTAAGACAAATTATTTTTTGATTCAATCTAATGATTGTATATAAATAATATATTACACTTTATACACCCATTAAGGTAACAGCTATACCTAAGAAAGGTACATTAATGAGCATCCTAGAAGCTAAAAATATATGATTATAGCAATTGTGAACACCATTCCACATAAAAGTAAAATTAAATATGCAGTGTGGGTGATATGAGAGCAAAGCTTTACTTTCCTTCACAGGCTCTTCAAGTGTACATGTCCACTCGTTAAAATAGTTTGGAAGATTCATGTATCTAAAAAATGAAATGAGCGTTTCTGATTTTTTTGCAAATCCATATTGATAAGTGCAAACTACTATGATAATAGCTAAAGATCCAATAGATTTATGTACTATAGTCTAATATAATAGATAACCAAGTAAAGAAGTGCATAAAATGTAAGAGCAATAGAAATAAAATATAATTCCTAAAATAGATTTTAATCTTGCACCCTTACTATTATCCTTTAGATTGATTACTCTTTGATTCATTTTGTTTATCTAAATTTGATTAAATTGATAAAAGATTTAAAGTTAATTATGAAAATAAATCTAATCAATAATGATATTTTTTATATTTAATAACATTTTTTTAGTTGCTTGTAGTAATGTTTAGTAAACAATAACGCAAAGAACTTTTTTAATTTTTTTGAACAAAACAGTAAACATTTAAAATTATTCTTATCTTTAATTTTAAAATATATTTATTTTAATTAATATAACTTCATATTTATGTTTCTTTTAAGATTAAATTTTTAGAATAATTATATTAAGCTAATAACTCATACATTTAAGATCGATAAGAAACAAAGAAATGTATATTTTTATAATTAATTCATAGAGATTTAAAACTATTTTTAAAATTTATTTTTATTAGAATTATTTAATATTTTTTTAAAGAATTGTTTTTTTTTTTTAAATTTTATTTAAGATATCAAAAATAATTTACCTATAAAATATTGTAATTTATTATCACATGTAATATTTAAGTAAATTTATCCATGTTACTAATATATATGTATCTATCTTTTACATATATTTATTTTTGAAAAATTATTTTAGTTTAAGGATTTAATTTTTAAGATAAATAAATAGATAGATAGTTAATGATATTGTAATTATAACAATTTTATTATTCCCGCTGAAATTCGTTTTTTATTAACTTTCTTATTTTTATCTTTAATTTTTGAATTTGAAAAGTATTTTTATAAAGTATCGATAATTAGCATGCTAACTATTTATAAGATATTGAAAATTTTTAAAATTAAAGATCTAGCAAGAATTTTTATCATTAATTAAATATATAATTTAGTTATTTGGCAATAATAAATTAAAGAGCAATATATTTATAAATACTAATTTGGCTAAAAAATCTTTAGATCTTTTCAAATTAATGGATAGGATTAGCAACAATTTTATGAATTCACTAAGAAGTGATAAGACTCCTAGTAAAAGTGGTTAAAAGAGTAAAAATAACACTCCATCTCCTTATCCACAAAGAAATCATCTTTCTAATAGTGGAAATAACACGAAAAGAAGAACGTTAACATAAATAGGAACATAATCGTAAAAAGTAGGAAATAAAACATAAAGGTACTCCATAAATTAGCTAAATAAATCAGTGTCTCCTCAAGCCTCTTAGGCACATTCTTTTGGAGTAGGTAACTTTGTTAAATAAGGGTTTGAAAGATTAAAAAATATTTTATATTTAATTAAAGATAAGGTAATTTAGCAAAAATAAAGTACAATTGGTAATGATTATATGAAAATATTCAATATGGATAACATAGTAAATGCTCAGCCTATTCAAAATAAGAATTTTAATCAGAATTATAAATAAGATTAACCTTTATGTGAACAAAATTTTAATAAAAACATTGATGTATCACCTAATCAATATTTTTCTTCAAACACATTTAGTAGAAATGCAGAATAAGAATAAGAAAAAGGATTTTAAAATTAATTGTAATAAAAGTAGAGAACTAGCAGCATTAGTTACACTAATAACTTATTTGCTTAACAGAAAAGAGATGAATAAAATCCATTCTTTAAATAAGACGCTCCTATAAATAGTGCAAATGTATCTTCCATTTAATAAAAAAGTGCGACTTGTATATAAGATGGTTCTCAATTTTTTAGAAATAAATACTAATAAGAAAAATTATTTTAAGGAGCTGAAAAAAATAATTAATCTTCAAGTGAAATGACAGTTGAGTTTGAAGCAAATAGAAATGAAAACAATAATTTTTTTGCTGCAAATTAAAAACAATAAAATTCTGAATCAATCATTTCAACAAATTAAAATAAAAATTCTATGTTTGAAGAAAAATCTTAAAATGAGTAATCAAATAATATGGCAAACATTTTTTCAATCAAGCCAATGGGATAAAATTTTATTTAAAATCAAAATACTGGATTGATTTTGTAAGAAAAGAGCATTAATCCTTAGGCTAGCTTAGATAGCAGATACTAAATTAGCTAAGTAATTTAATAGAAAGATCCTTTAATATCTTAAGTGCATATAAAGTAACCCTCAAACCTTAGGGATCTGAGATAACGTCATAAATAAATGAAATCTGAGTCAGGTGACAAATCTTTCAGTTTACAAAGCAATATTCTTGATAAAATTAAAGATTTTAATGATAAAATGAAGAACCAATCAAGAAAAACATAAGATGAATTTAAAAGTGAGAATTCAAATAAATATCAATAAGAAAAACCAAAAAGTAATTCGAAAATGTTAGCAGATGACACTGAAAGCTAACTTTCAGCTGCAACAATAAATGATGAAAATAAAACACTAGATGATTCTCTCATCTAAAACTTAGTTTCAGATTAGAGTTAAGGAGTTATTTAAATGTGTTAAAATTCGAATAATTGCAGCTAATCAGAACCTCTTAATATACTAAAGGAATCAAGAATCAAATATTTAACAACAAAATTAGACATGATCTAAGAATCTAATACGTCAAAAAGGAGCTTTGTAAGTGGTGCTTTCTTCTAGTCTTAGGTAGAATAAAAAGATAAAGAAAATATATTTGGAATTGATATGAATTAAAACAGTCAAAACTATTAGAAGAATTTCAATATTTTTGGAAATTAAATGAATGATATTTAAGCAACTAGAAAAAATTTATTTGGTAAATATGATTACAAAGAAGAAAGTGAAAATTTTGAAGACCATGGTTATTAAAATGAGAATCTTAATTAAAATAAATAGTCTCAGTTTTTATTTGATAGCTCAGATGAACAATGTAGTGATAATTAAAGTAATTTTTTTATATTTTTTTAGATATTTTAATATTTCTAATCAATCAATTGAAAATACTAAAGTTAATATTTATAATACTATGAATACTGTAGATTCTTAATTTAATGAATTAATTTTTAATTTACACCCAATTAATAAATAAATAAATAATTCTTAACAATGGAAAATCTAAAATTATAACTTAGGTTTTATTTTAAAGAGTTTACAGAGTATAGTTTAAAATTTCATAATTTTGATAAAAAAATGCAACAATAATATTAATAAAAAATGTATTATTTTAGTAATTTAAAAAGGAAAATTGAGTTAGAATAACTAATCTCATAAAAAAATTTAAAGTGGTCAAGACATTAGTTTAGAAGGGAGATAAAATATGACAAATTCAATACTTGACAAAGCTTTTATTGGGGATATAACTGCAGTATATAGTGAAAAAAAGAGTAATCAATTAATACGTGAAGAAAAAGAAGCTCTTAGCTAAGTAATAAATTAAAACTAAATTCTAAACTCAATAGAAAATGATATTTTCAGTAATAATCAAGATTCGATAGGCTTTAGCTAGAAAGATTAATAGCTAAAACGTTTAGATCAAATGGGATGCTCGGATATCTCACCTATTTAGAGTTAAGTTTAAGTAAAAAGTAGTAATTCAGGTAGCAAAAAGGATAATGATTAATTAATTGATGAAATAGGTTAAGCACCAAGAAATTCACTTTCATTAGTTAATGAATTCGAAATATTGTAAATTTAAAATATGAATTCTTAATCCTAAGATAAGTAAGGGTAAAATACTACGATCCCTGATAAAAATCAAGTATTAATGTTAAATTCATAGTATAATGAAAACAGTCATTTTCCTAATTCATAAAATTAAAGTAATAAAATTGATAGTAGTAATAGCTAATTAAATGAAAATTTACTTAAAGATGAAATATAAACCCCTTTTATATAATAAAAACTTAAAAATTTTTTAGAAGACATAGGCTATTATAATGATGAAAAAAAGAAGCATTAAATAAATGAAATAATGTCTAAAGTTACTCTAGGTCTAGTTATAGATAAAGCAAACGCTTCAAAGCAATAGTATACATTAGAAGATAAAACATCAAACTAACCAGAAAACAAATCCCCATATCTATAAGAATACAAAAGTAACAGGATAAGTATAGGTTAAAATTCTGAATATTTATCTTGCTAAAGTAGGTTTAGCAATTAAACTATAAATGACTTTCCTGCTAATAGCTCACCATAAACAAAAAATCATAAAATGATCACATATGATTAAAGTGTAGTACAGAACCCTGTTTAAATAAAAGAAGATTTGGCAAGTGAACATATAACTGATAATAGCAATAAGGCAGCTTAAGATTAGGAATAAATAGAAAATAAACACTTTGAGCAGCTTAAAAAAGAAGTGGAATTTCTTTACAAATCTTGTAAAGGAAAAGATGAAGCTGAAAAAAATATTACAAGCAAAATATTTAATGATGTGCTTTATCCTTAGTTAGGATACAAGTCTGTATTAGAAGCATTTAAAGAAGGTAAATTTATGATTAATTTATTAATAAAATTTAGAACAGTTTTAAATAAATAAATAAATAAATAAATAAATAAATAAATAGACCCGTTCTTAACATATTTTGAATGATTTTATGAATTTATTTATTAAAAATAATTTGAATAAAACTTGCTTATTTAAATTTTTTATTTTATTTAAATTTATTATTTATTCTTAATCAGTAAATTAATTTCTGGTGTTAAATGAGTAAATTCCTAATTATATTAAACTGTCTTATCTTGTTATTATAATTATTTTTTTGATTACTTAGTTCAATTTATATGTGAAATTTAAATAAAATTTCATTGTAACAACAACTAATTAAGTTTATTTATTATTAGCTATTAATAGGGCAAGGGAAATGAAGTTTTTCACAAAACAAAATAAAAAGGAATTTAATGATTTGTTCACATAGATTAATTAAGGATAGGATATATCTGAAAATGAAATTAACCAGAACTAATAAACATAAGAAAAAGAAGATTAAATTAATAATACATAAGATTAAAAATCCAACAAACCTTCTTCCTCCAGAGGACTGAGAAGAAAAATGCCTACAAGGGGAAATAAAAAAAAAAAGGAAAGTCAATCTCAGTTAGAAATTAGTAATGCATCATCAGAATGTATCAGCGAGTCAGAGAACGAGCAGAGCAATTCTATCGACTCAGATATAGATAATGCTAAGAATAAAGGAAAAAGCAAAGCAAATAAATTAAATAAAAACAAAAAATTAAAAAAGATTTGAAATGCTTAACAAATTCCCACAAATAAATAAATATTTTGTGAAATGCCTTATTAGAAATAAATATATTTATGTATTGTATTTATAAAAAACTATTTGGTGGCATTTTAAAAAATTATTAATTAACCATTAAAATATTTGATATCTATTACCAAAATGTACTAAAAAACAATAAAATTTGTAAAAATTTTAAGAATAAAAAGCTGATTGATTTTAAAAATTGTAAATAAAAATCATTATTATATTTATATTGTCAGCATAGCTTAATAGTTTGAGTTTTTTAATAATTTTCCTGAGATTTAAAATAGAAAAGGTGAGCTAACTGATTTATTGATTGATTTGATTTGAAATGATATTGGATATTTATTCGAATGATTTTTGTTTTGATTTCAATAATAAATTTCTGGAGTTTATTAAAGAAAATCAAATATAATTTTGAATTTTTTTTTTACTAGTATTAAGAATTTCAAATTTTAAAATAGACGACTCGAAATAAATATTATTAAAAATAGAAATAAAATAAAACTATTTCTAGTTACAATTAAAATAAAAAACGACTTTTAAAATACAAAAATTTAATGTCAGTTGCTTGAGAAAATATAATAAATTAATTTGCAATCTTATTAGCTAGTAAGATTATTTAATTGGTGATATAAAATTGATTGATCTCACCAGTATTGATTTGGTATTAAGATTATCTTACAATTTTATAAATTTTCATAATTTAATTAGTTGTAATAAAATTTTTATGGCAAATGCCTTTCCCCAGAGAAATCCTTTTAAGATTTATTGAACAAATTAACAATAAAAATTGAGATACGCATGATCTTGAAAACCCTTTTTATACTAAAATCCAAAAACAAATCAAGGAAATGCTAAATAAAGTTAATTTTATTAAAAAATTTATTTATTCATAGATTTATTAGGAATTTTAAAGATTGGCTGATTGTGACAATGATTGATTGATTTTAGATGTTTGAAAAAAACAAGTTATCTAAATAATTATATGTATTTGTTTCTTTGTTTAAATATAAGACAATAAATTTATTTATTTATTTACATTTATATAAATAGAATTAACAGAAATACATACAGCTAAAATAGTAAAATACATACAAAAAATGGAATAAATAATTTGTAAAAATATTTTTTAAGATAACAAAATTATATTTTTACAATTTTAATTTGATTTTAATAATAAATTTTGTTTTTTAGCAATATTGCTGTTTTCAAAGAAAAAGAACAAAGCTAAAATAGATTTATATTAATTTATTTATAAATAATAATTCATGTTTTTTTGACATCATATGACTGAATCCTTTTTACAATTTTTTTATTCATATGATTTCTAACTAGTTTTAGTTAGTTAATTATTTAGTTAGTTTTATTATTTGTTATTTAGTTTGTTATTTCGTTTGTTTTATATTTTAAAATTTAATGATAAAGTTGTAATATATTATTTATATTTACTAGATTTATATGTTAATTATTATTATTATCATCATTATCACTACTGTAATTTTTTCTTTAATAATCATGTTTTTTTAAATATTAGTAGATGTTTTATTGCTTTTTTAAATGCCCTTTTACTGACTATTGAGTTTCAATTTTAAATCAATTTAGCAGTAGGGATGTTGGAATCATTATTTCCTCCTATTTTAGTTTCATGGATGTTTAGGTTTTTCATAAAAATTTCACTGATAACCTTAAGATCTTCAGTAGATCTTAAATTATCAATAGAGACTTATCGACTATTATCAAGGCATGTCTTAGAATGAATATTTAAGTTATACTCATTTTCAGATCCCTCATTTAAACAATTATATGAGGAAAGCCCGTTTTCATCTGTAGCTAAGCTCTGTTAGCTAGTTTTTTTGAACTAATTGTAATAATTAGAATTATGTGATGGGTAACTATGATTCATTATATCTCTTTCAAATTGGTATAAATCTTTATCATAAGAATCGTCAGCCATGTAAAGACTTCTTTGAAGTTCAGAAAAGGAAACAGCATTAGAGCGAGAACGATGAGAATATTCCATGGTTTTAGTGATAATTGTAGCTATGAGTCAGAAGTCAAAGTAATTAATATAGCTGAAAGCAGAGTCAATAACTCTTAATTAGTAGAAAAAATTGATTTATTGTTTTTGCTATTTTTATTTGATTTCAAATGATTTTAGTAGATGTATATATGTATGTATATAGACTATTTTTCTGTTTTTTTATTAATAATTGAAAAATGAATTTTGATTTATAAATCAATTAAATTTTTCTTTTTCCTTTTTCTTTTTTGGTGTGGTTAGCAAAATTATGGTTTTTTTTTGTTTTATATCAATTATATCAATATTCGATTATTTTTATCAACTGGTTTTGAATTTATTTGCTCTATTACTATTACTTTGTTAAAAAAATTAATTTGCTAATCTAAAAATTTAGTGATTTGCAGGTGATAGGTGATAGAGTTAAATGTTGAATAAAAACCCTTGAATAAGAAGAAGACTTTAGAAAAATTGAAATTAATAAATTATTACTATTTTTACTCTATTTTCACAATCTGCTAATTTACATCTTTTTTCATTATTTAAGGAGATTTTTCTATCTTTTAATGAGTCCATATCATAAATCATCACTTGGTCGACAGACAAATTGATCAATCAATCAATTAATATATCTATCTATCTATTTTGGAATTATCTTTTAGATTGCCATATTTTTAGATTTTTAATTCAATAAATTAACTTTCTACCACTTTTAAATATTTAATAGTATGAATTATACTGTTTTACTCCTCATAGAATTTTAACATCCATGCTTTCAGGTTTCATTAAGAACCAATTATTTTCACAAAATTCATTGTAAGAGTGGGGAAATTTTTCATTATTATCCTTTAGTCAATAGTATATAAATCTCTCAAAATTTTAATTGTTGATTTTATAAAGTAAATTCTTAATTAAATTACGTATTAAATTAGCCTGACATAGTTCTACATCTAAATTATAATCATTAAAAAACAATTTGAAATTGCAAAATATAAATTACAAATAATATAAATATGTGTGAAAGAAAAAAGTTATTAAATATAGATTCTAATTTTTACAAAGCAACAACTTTTATATCAATCAACCAATCTCTAAAAACTATTATTTAAATCAGTTTTTATAATAAGAAAAATCTTTTACAAAAAAATAAAGAATAAAAATAAAACTACATTATCGTATCTTAAAAGTTTATCGTAACTTAATAATTGTATTTTATGCTAATTTAATTCATTTCAAAGATATTTCTTTTATTTTTTGGTCATAGTTTAAAATTAGAATTATTTTAAATCTAATATCTTTCTATCTAAAAATTAATCAATTTCTAAACATTATTCTCACACACACAATGTAATATTCTAAATTTGGACTTCGCTATTTATCCAAAAAACCTAATTAAATCTATTTATTATTATAAAAATAATAATAGTTAATTTAATTACCTTAATATACCAATTAGAGCCCCCCCCATATTAGAAACCCCCCTCTCATCAAAAAAGACCAATTTTTGAACTTTTTAGGGGGGCTCTAATCGGTTGGTATATTACTGTATTTAGTTATAAATAAAATGTAACATGCTTGAAAAAGATTAAATTATTTATGTAGTCTTTTTGAAGAATGAGTTGAGTTGAATTTTTATTTTTTTTAATTCATGCATTCCTAAAAAGACTACACAAATTAATTAATATTTCGAAATTCGTTTTAAAAAACTAAAAAACATCTAAATAAATACTTAAACTTTTTAGAAAAATAATGATGTAAATTAATATTTAAAACTCGTTTTAAAAAACTAAAAAAATATGTAAACAAATACTTAAGCTTTCCGAATTGAATATTTATCTATTTTAATTTATCCCTTCCTTAAAGATTGCACAAATTAATATTTCAAAGTTCATTTTATAGACCAAATAAACATGAGAAAAAATACTTGCACTTTCCTTAAAATGATTATACAAATTAATATTTAAAAGTTCTTTTAAAAACTAATAAAATATGTAAATAAATTTAATTAAGCTTTCCGAATTGAATTTTTATCTTTTTTAATTAATGCATATTTCAAATTTCATTTTAAAACACTAAAAATACATGTAATTAAATACTTAATAACTTTCTTAAATATGATTATAGAAATTAATATTTAAAATTTCTTTTTTAAAAAACTAATAAAATATGTATAAATACTTAATTAAGCTTTCCGAATTGAATTTTTATCTTATTTAATTTATGCATTCCATAAAGATTACACAAATTAATATTTCAGAGTTCATTTTAATAAAACTAAAAAAAAAATGTTAAATAATACTTTACACTTTCCTTAAAATAATTACACAAATTAATATTTAAAAGTACATTTTAAAAATCTAATAAAATATGTAAACCAACATTTAAGCTTTGTTTTTATGATTGTCTATTATCTAACATTGAAAGTAAAAGGATAGAAAGAAAAATTAATTTAATATTAACAATTATTAGCTAGGGTTGGTTGATGGTAAAACTTTAAACTGTTTGTAATTAATTATTTTTGTACTCTTCATATTTAACTTAATTCATTAAATACTTCAAACAATTATTTTAAAATACATAATGCAAAATATTTAAGATATCAATGATAAAATTAGTGTATTATTATATTTATATATTTAAAAATTAAAGGTATTATGATCAAATTTTATTTAAAATATTCTTAAATCAGCAATTAATAAACAATCAAGTTTTTTGAATTATATTTTTATGATAAACTCTAAATCCTCGTTATTTTAAAATCAAATAAAATCAATTTTTTCAAAAATTTTGGCATTAAACCAAATAAAATTTTAAAATCTAATTATTTTTAAAATTCATCCAATAGAAACAATCTATTTTAGGTTAATCCCTAATTTAGGCTAATATCAAAAATAAAAAACTTTTTTATAATAAAATATTTAATATAAAAATTAAATGAGAAAAAATAGTTTATTAATTATTATTGTAAATTAATTTTTAAGCAAATATAATGACTGGTAAGGAATTAAGAACAAAAAGTAACTAGTTACTAATAAATATTTACAGTTTTTAAAATGATGTCATGCTCGCTCCTAGTCTTAATAACATAAAAATACTTAATTGCCTTAAAATATTAAATTTGTTAATTTTGAGCTAAGTTAAAAGACATAATCTACTTGTTCTTACTTAATAATATTTTTAATACATTAATATAGATAAATAGAAGCAATTATTAAAGAATTAGTTGATTGTTATTAAAAAGCTTAAATTGAATAAAGCAATGAAGACATAATAATAAAGTGAGAAATGCTACTTAAAATATTTAAGGATCCTTTTCTTTTTTTGCTCAGCTTCACTATTTCCATTAAGCTTGATCTCATCTGGGAATTATTAAATTTTTAAATTTATTAGTGTCCCAATATTTAGTGTTAATTCTGGATTTTTATTTCATAAAATGGTTTCTAAGCATGTTTTAGTATAATTAAATAAAATAAATCTTAACAGCGCTTATATTACAACAATCATTTATTACATTGGAAACTACTTAATAGGAGTATTTTGGGCAGAATTATTTATGGATAGCGAAAGAATAAAGTTAAATTCATATTTGTTTCTTTCTCTCCCTATTGTAAATGGCCTATTATTCATAATACTTTTTGGAATTAGATATTTTAATTTATCTCTTCGAACTCAATTTGAAAGTATTTTCGATTCTGAATCAAGTGGATTAGCTATTATTGATTTAACCGTTAAGAAGTTGTATGATGAGACATTGTAAAAAAAAAATGAATTAAAAAGACAGCTCTCTCACTAAATTGAACAATAAAAGCAAAGTGATGAAGAAATTAATTCAATATTTTTAAAATCACCAGCTAACAAAAATTAAAGTATAATTAAAATTCTTTCTATTAACATTAAGAAATTAAAAACTTCAAAAAATTTCGAAGTATTTGCTCTTTTTAATCAAAGAAGTATATTTATTTTACATTTGTAAAATTTTATTTTTTTTAAAAGAAGAAGTTGAGGTAGGAACACCTAAAAATAGAGGATCACAGACATAAATGTTAACTTTCAATTAGAATAACAGTCAATTTGTAGATCCTATGGCACTTGATGAAAAACCTATTTAAATTTAAGCTTAAGGTCTTAGTTTTCCAAATGAAAGAAATGAAGGTAATAAATACTATTAAAATTTTGTAGCTTAATTAATTAAACTACTTTTTTTAATTTAATTCATTAATATATAGATAGAAATGTAAATATGTTACATATATAAATAAAATACATAAACACAAATACCTCTAAATTAAGCAAATTAATTAATTAGATCTAAATTATAATAAAATTTTCAATTTTTTTTATCTAAATTAGTTGGTTTAATTTCAAAGGTAAAGTGTTTTTTATAAATTTTTTCTTTCATTTAAAACATTTTATTTTATTTATAAATCCATCCTAATTTAATTAATTTAATTGAAATTTATAGCATAATAAATATTTGTTCATAGTAGACAGTCTTCTTAAACATAAATTCCAGCAAATATAAATTAAAATAATGAAGTTAATGCTAAAAATTTGTCTTAAGTAGTGAATTTATCTGAAAGCATTTAATAGTAACCAGCAAAAAGAGGGAATGTAGAATAGGTATTAAGAAAATAAACTAAATCATTTACATATAGATTCCTTTAATCTATTATACATACAGATGATAAATAATGTAGATTCTTAAAAGTATTATTTGGTCTTTTTTTGATTTACGTGAGTATTATCTTATAAATAATATTTTCAGTAAATATAACTAAAACTTTTTAATTTCTTCTTGATTAAAGTATTTACTTCATATATTTAGTATGTATGGGCTATCCTGCCTTAATTGGAATCATTAAATTAGTTCCAGTAACAATAAATTCAATTATGAAGTTAAGGTACCAATGGTAAATATAGTTCCTCTCTTTATTCTTTGCAAGTCTTCCTTATCGAGGCCTCTACCTAGAATTTAATTAGTATAAATTAGGATTAGGAATAGTTGCTATAAAATTCTTTTATAAACTATTGGTTTATTATTTATAGTTTAGATTTGCAAGTTAATTGTTTGATCTAAAAAAAAAAATAAACATGAAAATTAAAAAGTAAGAAAAAGATGGTGGTAATCTCTTACAAATGAAACTTAAAGAAATGTAATTCAATTTTTAAAGTGATCCAAATATTGAAAGAAACCCAAAAAGTAAAAAAAATGAAAGTAAGGCATAATCTTCTATTCCACCTCCTCCTTTAAGTATTGAAGATGGATTAAATTAAAAAGAAGTATAATAAATTTTAGATAAAAATTAAGAAAAATTTAATGGATTTTAAGAAATAGAATAGCTTTTACATGAATTAAAACAAAAAGGATAAATATTTTATTAAATGATCTACAAGCTAGAAATGATCTAATTTTCTGATATACTTCATATGATTTGCGTTATTATTTCTATCAGTATTAATGCCTCAATCAACTCAAACAATACTCAAGTTGAATCAATTTAAGCATTTAATGAGCATAAAACAGGCATTGTGGTTATTTTCTTTGTTGAGCTTATTGCTGAACTAATCTACACTGTTTTAGTTGCTAATTTAATTGGTAAAATCTAAGATTTCTATTAGTATAGCTTTTACAAATTTATGAGCGATATTTTTAATTTTTCAAGAAAGCAATTTATGTACATTGTTGCAAGTATACTTTGCTCTTATTCGATATTATTCATAGTTATTAATAATTCATGATATACAATATACTTACTAAAGAGCATAATTTTGGTTTGGCTATATTAACTATAAGATTATATTAAAAACTTCCTATAATATTCCAATATTTTTTTTATTTAGTTTATATTATTTGTTTTATATTAATTGTATATTTTCTTTAATTTAATAAATTATTTTTGGTTTTTTACAAAAAGTAATTTAGGAATAATATCAAATTCTTATCTTACATAAATCGAAATTCATATTTCTCTCAGTATTTAAAATAAGCCTTATTGAACTTTAAGTATGCTTAAACATTATTAATATTAAATCTTTTAACTTATAATGATTATATTTTTAAATTCTGAAGTGTCAAATTTAAAATAATTTTTATATTTATTAATAAATCTTAGATGTTGTAATTATTATTTTTACTTTAAACTTTTTGAATTTTTTAAAATTATTGTTTGCTCTCAAATTTTAGTTGTTTTAATAATATTTAATGTACAACATTTTTGCTTGAAAATGAAATGTTAAATATATCATACAATTTAGTTTATAGATTAAAATAGAAATGTGATTTTCATATGTTAAAATTAATGTTAATTTATAGAATCAAATTTTTATTTATTGGAGTTATTTATTTACAGCTTGAATTAATACATTCTTAAACTCAGAAGTTTTTTCATATTCGATTTAGCTAATAGCATTAACACCTAATTCTTTAATCTGAAAGTCTTGATTTACTTTGGTGATTACTAAATCTTCACTTTTACATCTACCAAAAATATTTATATAAAAATGCTACTCATTTTCTGAGTTTGTGATTTCATTCTTTATAGATGGTACTATACAATATCTTTTTCCATATTCAAGTAAGCATCTTGAATCAAGCTAAACTTCTCTTCTTTAACTATACTTTCCAGAATTTTATAGCATATTTTCTTCTGAATATTTATCAAGCTTTTTTTGGTCATTCTTTAATTCAAATAAGCATAACATCATACTCTATTGTATTTTTTCATAAGGATACTTTTCTCCATTATATAAGCGTCCATCATCTTAAGCAAGATTAATAAAAAATGGTATACTTTTTTCATTATTTCCAGACTTATTCTTTAGCTCAATTATAAATTAAGGATTTTTCGATGCAAAATCTTTGAAGCTTTGCTCTGATCTTTTGAGTGCTCCTGAACTAAATTATTTATTCCAACATCCTTTAATTCTAAAACCACTCCAAGCATCAGAAAAAAGTAAACAAACAAATAAATTATTAAAAATTCTTCTCCAATCTTTGTAGCAGATTAAGAATTTTCCATCTTCTGCCATTTCATATCTAGATTAAAATTTTTTATGTTAAAAATAAATGTAACAAATATTAATTAAAAAATTACCTCTCAGGAGGAGTTATTCCTAGCTTTTTACATCTTGTTTCTTAATCGTCAAAGAATTTATTGATTTTTGGCATATACTGTTATACTTTATCAATATAATCTGGATTTTCAGACCATTTTAGCTACCATTCACCATATCCCCATGGATTGCGGACAATTAATATACGATGGTTTTAATGAGGGTTCTCTCTTTTGTGATTTTCTTTCTCTTCCTAATTAATGTAATCAAGTTGCATCAAATAATTTATGGAATAGGCATGTCCTGAATATATTCCTGTTTTTTCACCATCCAAATTTACAAGAGCTTCTGTACCGCCTTCAGCACTGCATCCAATCAAGCATCCTTAATTTTATTTATAATTTTTAAATATAATATTTAAACAAGCAATATACCTTTTTCTTTAAATGCTATCAGCATTTTCCAAAAAGTTTCTTTGGAATCTTGTAATTTTTGCCATACTTCTTCAAAATCGGTTGTTTTTGTATTTATTTTTTCTCCAATATCAATCGTAGCTGGGCACCTACCAAACTCGATATCATCTTTTGAATATTTAAAATTATCTAATTTCATTCTGATTGAAAGATTTCCAGTTAAATCTTAAAGGCCTTATCCCATGTCTCCTGAATTTAATGCTTAATAGCTTGAGTGTATCTTAGCATAAGCTTTCTCAATTAAGCTAACCCAAAATTCATTTTTAGTAGCACATTAAGAATAAATCTGGTTAAAAATAAATTTTTTTAAATTTAATTTTTGTTAAAAATGAATAATTACTATTTCTCCATTCTCTAAGCAGGGTAATCTGTTATCAACAATAACATAACGCCATTTATAATTCTTAAAAAATTTCATGACATAAATACCGTACTGAGATAGGAAATGGAAAAGAGGAGGATAAATACCTCTACTCATCATAAACATTTTTTAGTCTTCTGTTTATCCAGGTTTATGAGGATCAAATTCTCCATCTACGTATTCATTATATTCAGAAACGATACTTAAAGCACTAATAAACCAACAATCACCTAAGTACTTACTTTATTTAACATCATTACTGCTTGCACCTTCATACAAAAAGTGAATATGTTGCAATTCCTTTTTTTCATCTTCAGTTAAATACTCATCTCCATGATGCTCAATATACTCATCAACAATCTCATTTAATCTTAGCCATCTAACACTTTCAGGTTCAGGGCATCCAGGAGGAATTTCATTAGAACTAAAGTACATGGATTTAGAGCCATAAGGATCCTATTATTCGTTAGGACCAAATTCTTAATCTGTCCAAACTTATTCTCCCTTTTAATTCATTTCAGAAACAATTTCAATGCATTTTTTAAGACATGATATTTCATCATTCAATATAGTTCCCCATTTTGTTTTAATAACTTACTTATTTTCATCAATTTCGTGCTTTTTGTAGTAATTTTTTATTTTATTATTTATTTATTTATTTGCTATATATAATTTTAAAAATACCTTTAAGAAGAAATCATTGTCAGTAAGAGTTGGTTTCAAAGAGTTTACAATGCTTTAAATCTATTATAGACTTACATTAGCATCAGAAAGAGCCGTTTTTTTGATATGTATTAACTTTTAATTTTATTCCATTTCCTTGAAACTCTCTAACTCAGTAATATCCTTTACATTTGCTCTTTTAGTTGATGAAATTGATTTAGTTGTTGAATTAAGTTCATTATCAATTCCAAAAAATAATCTTTTTTGTTCTGATATTTCAAAATCTACTTGGTCTATTAAGGCAGATAGATAAATATCATTTCTCTATTCTTTATCTAAAAATCTTAATAAAAAAAAAATTCTTTTACTTGTTTAATTTCTAAAATATTTTACTGGAAAAGCTCTACTGCTACGTCAGATTCCTCGATCCAAAATATTTATTTTGCAAATTTGATAAATTCTTATTTTTTTAGAACTTACTAAGATGTAAAGCCTTAATATCTAAAATACTGTTCAGCATCAATTTCAATAACTAACAAAATTCTAGCAAATAAATAAAAAATTATATCAACAGACCAATCAGGTTATTTAAATTTACAATAAAATTTAATTAATTCCTCGTAGTCGATAGAACCATTTTTGCCTGTATCCAAGCCTTTAAAAAACAGAAGTTTGTCTCCATTAGAAACTTTTTTATAATTTTTGATCTTTTTAAAGCTATTGAAAATGTCTTAAAGTAAAATTCCAGCTCTTAAATCTGACATATTATCTGCTATAATTCTAACGAAATTTGGAATATTTATTTTGTATGAATTAACAAATTTTGCAATAAGTTATTTCAAATCAACTTCTTGAGTTTAACTTAAATCAATTTTATTTGGATGAAATTAGTCTTATCCTTTAGTATGATCACAATTACCATGATTACTATTATTAATGTTTTCATTTTGTTCATTTTCTTTTCCATTCTAAGAGCTTCCTTTACCATTTACTGCTCCTTTATCATTAGAAGGTTTTAAATCTATAAAATTGTTGATATTTATATTCTTATCATTAGAAACTATTCTCATCATTTTTTTAGTCTAAACTATGAAATAATCCTTGCTAATTTATTAGCTTTTTTCAATATCTAGATAAGTATAAATGCCAATAATCTCAGTGTCATTTATATTTTTCATAAATTTAGCTGTAAATCCATAAAATTGTTCATATTAAATAAATCCTTCCTTTTTTAACAAATAAAACAGATATTAAATTTCTCATATAAATTATCAGCAAAAATAATTTGATCAAATTTTGTAGATTTTGTATAAACTTTTCAAGATAATTTTATAAATTTCTCATAATTTTTGAAATAAAAAATTAAAAAAAGTTAAACAAATGTATTTGAGTTAATCTAAAAAATTACATTATTGTAATCTATGTGTTTATAGCACATATAAGGGGAGATCAGCTATTAAATTAGATTTTCACAAAATTTATAGAAGCTTCTTTGATTGTAAGTTCTTTTTTCTTGTTAGTTCTCCCCTAGAATTTACTCTACCATTGATTCTTAGTTGATCTAAAATGCCTAAAGACAATCATAATATCCTTGCTTAGTAATTTTACCTGTACATTCTTAATCACATAATTGAATTATTCTCTAAATGTGCTGGGATTTCATGTTTAGCTTTGAATTTGATAAAAATTATTTAAACATAACATCTTTTATCACTCCTTCATACTTTGTATCAGCTGCACGAAATAAACTTTCTGGAGTCATACCTAAATACATTTTGCATCTGTTAGAAAACTGCTCCATGATTTGCTAATCTGCACCCATAAAATTATTGGAAGATCCTATTCTGGTTAGATTTTATGTTTAATTCTAAGATTAGTCCTAGAAACTAGCATCAAGCATAGACAAATTATTGTTTGATTGTCTATCTAATGCACGCAACTTTGTGCTATACCATTCTAATTTTTGTTTTTACTATTAATTTACTTCTTATAGCTAGATATATTTTATCTTAAGCAACTTTATATCCCTTCTATAATCATCTACAGTCTTTTATATGGTAGGAGCTGCTGCTCCGATTTAAAATTTATTATTTTAAGTTAGAATCATTGTCAAATTTCTTTGTTTATCTCTTTTTTTATATCTTTAATGTTATTTGAAACAAATATTTATTTCAATTTTTAATTTATAAAAAATTTACAGTGGTTATTCTAACTAGATTAATTAAGATATAGATAACTCCTAAATTTATAAAAAACATATATATAGATCTTTTGGATTTGTCACTTTCAGTGAAGTCTAGATATATTTATGTAACTAATAATTCAAAAATAATTAAATCCATTAAAATGCCTTAAATTAATTAATCACAACGCACTTAAATACCTTCACAGATTCTTTTATAAACTTAAAAAAAAGTTAAGATATTTTTATTTAAAAAAATACTCATCTTACAAATGATCAATTTAAAAAATTTTACATAAAAATGATAAAAATTATTAAAATTTATAAAAAAAAAGCGTTTTTTTATTATAATATTACAGATACCATTAGCTTTATAAGCAATTAATCAAGGTTTAACACTGTAAAAATATCTATAAACTGAAGCAAGTTTTAGTTTTTAAGCTTAATTAAATTATTAGTGCATTGAAGGAAAAAAATTCAAAAACTAATTTTTTATGACCTATTAATACTAAAGCAAATTAAAGACCGTTCTATAAATTATTTTACAATATTTGGTAATACAGAGATATCAAAAGGAGTTTATTTACTTATTTAATAATAATCTCTATATTTTTCATTTAAAATAAATTTGTAAAAAATTATTTATTAAAATAGCGATAAAAAATTAAATTGTTGCCAAGGTAGTGTACTTCTATTTTATTGAAAGCATATTACTATATTACTTGTGTTAATTAATATTTTTACATTATAAAAGATATTTATTTTTTAATTACACTGAGCATTATTTATTATAAATGAAATGTTTTGAAAATATTTATTTTTTAAAAAATTAATGTAAGAATCTTAGAATATTTTATAATTACTATTTAATATTAAAAATAAATGCATTTTACTAAATGTATTTGTAGATACTTCTAGAAAGACTCATGGGCTTCTATGAAAAGACTGCATAGTAGTTTATATCAAAATTTAATTAATATACCTCAAGATTAATTACTGATAACTAAATCTTCATTTAAACAATTAAATAATACTAAAAATAAGTAGAATTATGAAATTTGATATTAAATCTTTAAACAAATATTTCAGTGTTTACTTAAAAGTTGGTACATAACTTATCTTATTTAAACATTATTTCGCTTCTTGATTGATTTATAAACTCATTTGATAATTATTGTTTGCTCATCAACTAAATTAATTCTTAAAACTGATCTATATATTCTTAATAATCCAATAGGTTTAGTTACGCTTTGTCTCGTTCCTCCAGCAGTTATGGTATGGAAGGAAAAAGTTATGCATGTAATTTAATTCACATAATTAGTTTTCTCAATTATTATCTAAGCTATTACATTTAATATATTCATTAAAAATAGAAAATGGGATAGTCAATTAAAACAGACATTGAAAGAGTTAACTCAAAAGGTAAATCAATTTATGAAATTCCTAAAAAGTACTCGCCTGATGACAAAACAGTTCTTGTTTAAACGAAAACAAAAATACTAAATGGCTTAAACAATAAATTTAAATAAGATTATGATGATGAAGATGATGATGTAGATTTTTTTTAAGAAGATGATAACTTAGATGAAATAGAGTGATAAAGATATTTTTAGATATATATACATACATACATAGATACATAAAAAATAAATTGAATTTAGCATTACGAAGTAATAGAGTTTCAAAACAAAGATTAACATCACACAAACCTATATTAAATATAATCTATATAACTATTATTTTTAAGTAGTTTATTTATATAGTATATTATCTTTATTTTAATATTATAAATAATATTTTATAATAATACTTTTATGCAAAATAAATAAATAAATGACTAAAATTCATCTTTAAAAATTACTTTAGCTATTTAGTAATTAAATATATTTCTAATGCATTTTATATAATAAATTAATCTAAGCATATTTTGATTTTAATTTTCTTACCATCTAAATTTAAAAATACTGTATAACCTATTAAATTGGGCATTAGATATTTTGGGCATATGGATATAATGGGCATTTTTAATTTATAAAAATTAAAAATTAGGTCAAATCATTGATTACTATAAAAACAAACAAAATATGTTAAATGTAAATAAATGTTAGTGAATAAATTAATTAAACTGATTATTTTATTTTTATATTAATAAATGTAATTGAATAATAAGGAAACTTTATGAACTGATTGATTTTAATAATCCCTTATTAAAAAAAATAATTATTATCTTTATTAATGCAAATAATAAATCCTATTATAAAATTACTATGCAATATTAATTAAATATAAGATAATTATTTATTTTGCTTTGTTTTTTTTAACAAAATTATTTTTTCTCATTCGCTAGGAAGTTCTATTTTACCAACATAGTCATAACTAGTAAATTCTCTTATAATAGCATGAACTGAGGTAGGAGGAACTGGGCCTATTTCTGTGATAACCTATTTTTAAATTCATTCTTTGTTTAGTTTAAAAAATAGTGAATTATTACCATATTAACATATTCGCAAGGAGTTAAATCGTATCTTAAATTTATATTAAGGTATTGATGAGCCTATTGTTATTCAGTACCTTCTTAGTTCTTTTAAAGACATAATTCATTTTAAGAAAGAGAATCAAGTTAGCTCTTTTCTGAAAATTTATAACTTTCACAAAAAACATGGAAAGGAGTTCTAAAATCTCTAGAAACACAAGCGAGCTTTTAGTTATTGAATAATATAAATACTTAAATACATTAAAAATAAAAATTTTTACGAGAGCAGTACCAACTCTAGAAATAAGGGCTCCATTAGTAAGCATAGATTAAGCTCCAACAAATATTTTTGATGCTTTTTTAATGAAATAAGGAATGTTTGAAAGAAGTGTATAAATAGTTTCAATGCCAGCTTCGCTTAACTTTTACAATAAAAGTTTTCCTTCATGGAATGGAGGATTATCTACAACAATAACAGTAAACTATTTTCCCTTTTTAAAAGCTGTCAAGAGTAAATTTTCAACTACTTGAGATCTTGCATAAACAAGGATGACATCACCATTTTTTATTAATTCTAATCCCTTATTAATTTTATAAACAAAAATTCTTTATTTAAATAAAGAGACATATATCAACAAATCAAGTTACTGTTTAAATCATTAATTCTTGGGCATTTAATATCTTTTATTTGATGAAAACATCGATTTATTGATTAATCCATTTCTTTTAAGGCTCAATTGATATTGTTGATTTAACAAGGTAGCTAACAATATTTTTAACGTATTTGAATGCTGTTTTCAAACCTTCAGGATGAGCTCTGAATGTTTCTAAAAAGCTATATAAACTATCTATACAGTTAGTTAATTCTTTATAAAAGACATCTCCTTCTTTTACTTTAAAATCAGTTATAATTTTTTTAAGAGCATCTAAAAAGGAAAGACATCTTCTGTTAGATCCAACTATTTGCCCAGAGTTAACTTTTAAAGCAACTTCTAAAAGAGCTGGATGGAGTAAAGAATTCTATTAAAAATGAAAATAGTAAATGATATCTTAATTGATAAATGATAATAATAAAATTAATATTTATCATCAATATTTTTAAGTTTCAAGTTGTAAAGTATTACTGCATATGGATGATTTTAGTACTTTTCTCTAATTTATTTAAAGCTAATTTGATCATAGGTACTCAAATGAGAAATCAGATTATTTGTTTTGCTTAATGATTGCTAAATTCTTTAATTTCTACTTTGGTTAGCTTGTTAGTTTTGCTTTTATTTATTATTTGCATCTTCTTTTTGAGATTTTTGAGGAGCTGCTGCTTCCTATTTTGAAGCTTATTAATTTGTTTTGGGTGTATCTTTTGAAGTAGAGACTTCTGCATTTTTTTAGGCTTCTTTTTAATTTGCAGTAGTATCATTTGAATTTTATTAATTAGCCTCCTATTCCTTTTTAAGCATTTATTACCTCTTCCATTCTTCAGCAGCTTATTTCTTTTTCAATTCATTTTCTTTTTTCTTTTACTTTGCTAATTGAGCCTTTTGCTCAGGAGTTAATTCTTCTGTGTTTTAGCTATCCATTTTTGATTTAGAAAATTTTAAATTAAATTTAATGATTGTTTGAGTAATAGTAATGATATATCTTTTTAACCTTTTTAGAGTTTTTATTTTAAGATTATTAATTTTGTTAATATTTGATTTGTTTAATTACTTTTTCATTTTTCATTAATAAAAACACAAAATCAAAGATATTTCTTTCTATTAGTAAAGAGAAAATCTAATAAAGATTCACTTTCATAAAACATATTGTAAAAGTATATGACTTGTTTAACATATTATACTCAGATAAGAGAAAATATACCAATTTATCTATTTAAAAATGGTCAATAAATCAAGTTTGTAGTTTTACTTTTACTTCAATAATTAAATTTTTATTTTGTTACAATAAATTTAATTAATTAAAATTACAAATTTCCTTAAAATCATTTTTCACTTAAAGCATTTATATAATTAGTAAAATGTAGTTTATTGAACTGATATTTTTGATGAACTGCTTTAATCTAATTATTAAATCATCGTCATTCAATCAAAAATTTATTAATTTTTTATAAGTTTAGAGATAAATTTTGATATATTTTAGGCAAGAATTTCTAATAAATAATGGAAACTTATATCTTAAAACTCTAATTATAAAAACATGAATAACTAACTAAAATATTAATTTCATTTTAATGATTTCATATACAAATATGAACACATTACCAAAAAGATTGAGGCTCCAAAAAATAATACTTTTTCAAAATTTCTCACTTTCTTTTCATGGTCTGTTGTTGATTACTAAAATTACATTTATTCTTCATACTCTTTCAACTTTTATGGATCAGTAAACAGGCTAGGATCTATATTTAACTATTTATAATAAGGCTTGAAGAGACGAACAAACTCTTCATCATTTTTTATATTCCAAATTATGCTCTTTTTAGCTAGCCTTCTTTTTTCTGATTCGCTTGTTTGAACAACTCCAGCACTTGGATCATTATCATTCATAAAACTAATCATCGCAATCAACATTTTTTCTATATTCCATGTTAATTACCAAGATTCTGGATGATAATTAGTAAAACTTGTGCAAATGTTTGTCCCTTCTTTAAACCTTCCGTTGGGAGTTAATATTTTAATAGAAGGAGGTTTCATAGGATATTCAGGAGGTAAACTCAATATGCCATGATAAATTCCTCCCTCAAAAGGACAATCAACTAACCCATAAATACAAAAATGCCATTAAAACATATTTTTAGGATCTGGAATTGCTAAAACATTTTCTACAGGATTCTTTTGAAGCCTTTAATATTCTTTATTTATTCTGTTTACAGTATCTGAAAACTTCATTTTTACCTTTTTTAGATATTTGAAAATTCTAAATTGATTTTTAATTTAAATATAATAGATTGCGATTATTTTCTAAACTTCTAAATTTCTAAAAGCAAGATGTTTCTATTTTATATAATAAACTAAACAACAATAAAATGTTTAAAATATATAAAGCTTAATTCAGCCAACATTCTATAAATATATTAAATTTTAATTTTAAAATTTTTTTCGAACATTATATACATGTCATGCCTGATTACTTCTCTTTAAGGTAATTATTTATTTTTAATCTTTTTAAGGCTATGAAGCCACAAGTAAGAAAAACTACCTTAATTGATTATTTGTTCTAGTTCTTATAAATTGAGTTTATCATCAAATTTTTAGATTAAATAATTTATTGAGTAAATTTTTTAGATAAATTTTTTATAATCTTTATTAATATGTTCTAAAATTATTTTATATTTATTTATTTATGATTTTTTCTAAAAAATCTCAAAGTAAGTAATTCTTTTTCACATTTAATTATTTTGCTTTGGTTTTTTATTATTTTTTTGGATATTTAAATTTTTTATCATATCAATTATATTAACATTTTAAATCAGTTATTTTGATACTTGAAAAAAATAATGCTCAATTTGCAAGAATTTTTCCTTTTGAATACTTCATGTTTCTTTCGTCATATCTATGTTTTATTTATTTATTTTATTTTTTTAGCCCAATTAATATATTTTATTCAATAAAAAATAATAAAATTTATACAATTAGATTGATTTAAAGATATCAAGCTTAGGAGGTTCAAACTTTGTGATTTCGTTATCAAATTTTTTTTAAATTTAGTTAATTTTTGATTGGTATCTTTCTTTTGTAATTCCAAATTTAAGTTAATGATTGTCAATATCGCTTAAAAACTTCTAGAATTTAACTCCAAAAAGGTGTTTGTCTAATGCATTCTAATTCTCCACTTATTTTCTCTATTGATCTCTGCTATAACTTCGATCGTAAGTAATATGCTTTTAAGATGGAGAAGATGGTGGATTTTAAATAGAATAACTGTCTAATTTCAAATACTATTATTCTTTTTAACCTTAAATTTAATCAACTATATTGATCTTTAAGCTATTTTTACTATCTTGGTTTTTATGATGAGAGCTGTTTTAGCCTTGATGCTTACTTATTGAAGGGATACTTAAAATTTATTTTTTGAATGGATGTATACTGCTACGACTTGTTAATGTTTACAAGGTGCTAGTTTAATTTGTATTTTTTTATAATAGTTAGGCTGAGCTACTATTTTTCAATTTACTAAATTATTAAAATGTATTTCTTCTAGAAGTTTAAACATAAGAATTACTTTAAGATGGAGAAGTCTAAAATTAAAATTAGTGTTAGTTTTTAAACTAAGAAATTTAATTAGAAAGGGTTCTAGTAGATGAAGGGAAGAAGTATTAATTCTAAAGCTCATTTATATTGCTTTCTCTTCCCTGTTTATTATTAGTTTATAAATTAACGGATTTTCTTCTGCTTACTGAAGGATTAGTTTAACTATTAAAAAGCAAAGATTAAGAAGAAGGATTGATTTAGGTAACGAATTAGCTTTTATTTTATTGGCTAACAGTTTCGTTGAAATTTTTATTTGTGATATTTGTGATAAAAGTAAAATTTTTTTAGATTATCTTTTATGGAGTCGTTTCTTTTGAGTTATTAAATGAACTTAATCTGTCTAATTTAGCTGAAGAAACGTTATGATTTATGCTCTGACTAAGTCTTTTATCATTCTAAATTTATTTCCATTTTTTAGAATAAATATCATCTTCTTCAAACTCTTCATCAATATCTTCTATTGTTCTTGATAAATTAACTTAATCCAAGTCATCTTCTTATTGAGAATACTCCGAACCAAGTTATGGGGATTTCTATAACTACTATTAGGCATTTTAAGAATCTTTAGAATAATAGCTATTATTTCTACTTATTTGCTATTATTAACCTTTATACGATGCAATTTCTTTGTTTAGGAACATGCTCCTTTTGGATTTTAACTCATTTTGGTAATGTTAATCTTAACTATTTTAACTATTTTAAGTATTTTAGGTATTTTTAAATATCTTAGCCACTTAAGATTCGACCTGTTTGCTAAATAAATTACTCTTAGATAATGATTATATATGTTTAGTAGATTTTTATGCCTCCTTAATTTACTTCATTACTTTATTGTAATCATCTTCTCTCATTTTCTTCAATTTAACATTTGCATTAGCCCATTTTTTCTTAAAAACAATTTCAGTAGCTTTTTATAAGTTCTTTCTTATTTGAATTGCCTTTTCTTAAAAATTGTTAAAGTAGTTTTGGTCTGAAAATTTTTAATTATCTTTTTCAAAACCATCTATTGTTAGCAACTTTGTTTTGATGCTTTGCTATGCGAGCCTTAGCTTTTCTTCTTCAGTAATATCTTCTTCTTAATTTTTTAGTCTTATCTTTTTATTTGATCCTACTATTTAATCATCTAAAATTTATATTTCATCCTAGTTACTCAATTAAGCATTTTAATTTATTGAAGATTTTCTTGAATCAATTTAAGAGGCATTAAATTTTTAGAAAAGAGTCTTCTTCTTAAACAATTATTTGTTCAAATCATCATAAAATTGATAAGTATCAATATCAGGATCATTTTTCTTTTAAAAGTAAAACAACGAATAAATAAATTTTCAATTAAATTAGTAAATAAATAAATAATATTTCTATTCTGAAATAATTTATAATTTTTTTTTCAAGACTAAACGAATTTTAATATAAGAGATTTAAAATTATAAAAAATTTTTACTAAAAAATATCTAATTTAGTATAAAAAATAAATAAAAAAAAGTTTTAAACTTTAAATAGATTTAATTAAAAAACTGCTAATTTATTTGTTTATTTTTATTTTTTGGCTGATTAAAGATTTCGTTTTTAATAATTTAAAAATATAAACTAAAATTATATTTTAAAAAATATTTACATTTATCAAGTCTTAATAAAAATTGTCTTATAGTCTATAGTGATCAATTAACTATTCAGATAAAATACCTTTAGTGACATCGTGACTTTTTTTCCAATCCATAACATAATCAAATGTTTCTTTTAATAGCTAAGTCTTTTGCTCAAATTATTTCATTCCTCTATTTAAAATTTTATTTTCTTCCTCTTATTCCTATTCTTACTTTTATATTTTCTCTTTTACTTATTCAAGCATGACTTCAACTTCCTCTTAATTTCTTTTCTCTGCAATTCTTTATTTTAATTCTTAAATTGTATTATAAATCTTCGTATTGTTTACAGTATTAAGATCATGTAAAAATGGTTTTATATCAATAAAAGTTTCAAGTTTTTTAAAAACTCCTACAATATCATTGAATTTTGCTTCTTTTGATTTTGAAATTAGCTTTAATCTCTTATTAAGCTCTTTTTAAATTATATCTTATCGATTTGGAAGCTTCTGCTTATTTTTTTAACTTTCTTCTTACTCTTTACTTTAAATAAACTCTTCCAAGTCATTGTTTTAGATCCTTTTCTTTTCTGTTTACTTTTTTTAGAGATACTTCTTAAAGTCTATTAAATACTACTGGGCATCTAAGTTTTGTTTTTTTTAGCCACTTTTATTATGTCTTTGCATAATATCTTTGATGCTTTAGATATTTTTGTTTGAGTTTTGTTCACTTTTTGTTAAAACTTCATCAACTTTATCTTGATCAAAAAAACTATCTTTCTATTTTTTTTAACTACCTTGAAGATAAATATGATCTTTTTATAAATTATCACTTTCTGAGTTCATAATAAAAAATTATTTTAAAATTTATTCTCAGCTATTTTAAAAATGATAAAATGTAAATAAAAAATAGCTTGTTTTGTTTCTGTATCAAAAAATTTTTGGTTATTTTCTTTTAATATGCTTCTAATTAATTTGCTAGTTAAAGACTTTACATAAAAATTTTAATTAATAAACCACTCAACTTTAATTTCTACTTACTTTATTAATATATCTGTAAAAATTATCAAATTAAATTTAAATAAGTATGTGCATTTTTTTCACTTTATTTATTCAAATATCAAATTTGTGTCACCTTTGTTTCAGGTAAAAAGAATGTTAATAAAACATGTTTAAATATTTGATAGTTTTACTGACCTAAATAAACTTCATCAAAATAATACATTAACCAACCATAAATAAATTGTTATCAGTACTTAATTACTTATTAAAAATTTGTCATAATTTAAATAAATACAATATATTTATCTAATTTAACAAAAAACTCAACTTGTTGTAATCAATCTTTGGCTTTTTTTTATTTTTCAGTAATTAAATTTTAGAAATAAAATTAATTAGTTTTGCTCATTATTTAAAATAAGTTATTCTTGAAATTAATAAATAAATCAATTCAAATTTTATTAATTATCAGAAGATATTAATTAAAAAATAAAATTAAAAAATATTTTAAAATTAATACTTTATTAATGCAAATTTATAAAAATAAATAAATTTCATAAATAAAGTTGAAATGAGTTGCATCTAAAACAAAAACTTTCAAAAATAGAATTATTATATTAATTGATTATATAGAAAAAACTTAAAATAAATAATCGTTTTTATTGAATTGTATACCAAAAAAATTATTTGAAGAATTAAAAAAGATACTTTGAATATCAGATAAGGTCTACTTAAGATACATCAAATTAAATCAAAAAGGAATTCCTTATGCCTAATTAATTTTTTGATCAATAATTTTAATTAAAATAAAGTAATTAAAAAGAAGATTATTTCAACAACAAAAAAAAAATCTTGAAAATATGATAAGCAAAAATTAAATTGATAACATACCTTTACAATCAATTGATCAGTGTGATAGAATTCTTACCTAGAGATGCAGGTATATTCATTTTTTGTTTTGTTTTTTGTGCTTAACTTCAAAAAATAAAATTTTTTGTTATATCTATTTCATTCTAATTTTATTTTAAGCTCAACTGAACCTCATTTAATTAGAGAAAGCCCATCAGATTTATTAATAGGAGTAAGTCCCGATACTAAAAATAACCCTTAAAGCTACTATACACCTTAAACTGAAAAGAAATATCTCTCTACTAATGATAAAGAGAATTTGGTTTAGCAATCTCCTAACAATGAAATAATAATCACTCATGGATTTCAGACCTTAGCCTTTCCAATACAAGACGGTACTAATTTGTATTAATTAAGCAAAGGATGCTAAAATAATTTTGTAGACTCTAAAAATTAATAGAAATATAACAAGTTTATTTTAATTATTGATTGCTTTACCTGTTTAGTATCTCTAATAATTATGTTTATAAGCTATGTAGAAGTAAGATTAATTAATTAATTAAATAAAAGCATTTAAAATTGAAAATTAAAATCTATTTATTAAATATAAATTAGTATAGAATATATTCTTCTCTTTAATACTAAAACGAAGTTTTAACTAAAGGTCAATTCTAACATAATTACACAACTATTTAGCTAAGATATGCTATTATCATTCTTTCTGCTATATTGAGTAATTTTTTTGTCAATTAAAATTATAACTTTTCTTATTAATAAAAAGCTTTATTGATAATTGCAAAATTTTGCTTGATGAAAAAAATTAATGATTAAGCTCTTATAATGAATTAGACGATAGAAAATTATACTAGATATGAGAAAAAGGCAACATTCATATTATTATTTGAAATATTATTTAACATGATGATCCTTCCAAATGGATTTGATGTCCTTATTGAAGGTAGATCTTTAGGAGGAACTTACACCTACAGCCTAGATACTATATTTACAATTATAAATATTTTGAAATCATACCACGTCTTTAATCTAGCTTTTCAATACGCTTCATCTTTTGAATTTTTTAATTTTCACATTTCATTTCTTTTCAAAGCAGCTTTCCATAAAAGACCTTTCCTCTATACTACTATACTTTTTGTGTTTACATGCTTAATTTCTACATTTTTATTACAGATAGTAGAGATGTAAATAATTACTCTTTGATTCAAATTAAAATCTTTATCTATAAAATAATTTATTTTTTTAATTTAAATAGAACTTACAAAAAGGATGGATCAACAACTTAATATGATTATACAAATTTATATAATTCATTTTGGGTTATGATAAATACTCTTCTAACAGTTGGCTTTGGTGATGGTTACCCTTATACTCATTTAGGAAGAGGAATAGGCATATTTTTAGCTATTTTAGGATCAGCCTTTATTGGTATATTAGTAGTTGTGTTTAATAAAGTTAGCATTCCATCAGAATCAGAAAGATTAATTTAACAAGATATTCATATTGAAAAATTTAAATCTGTAGCTGCTCTCTTTATAATTTGTTATCACAAGTACTTAAAAAAATAATCATTTGAAAATTATGTTTTGTTACAGCTATCGAAAGAAAAATACTAAAAAATAAGAAAGTAAATCAATCATATTAAAATTATTTCATAAAATGAAAATTAACTTATTGTAAAATATAAAAGCGATCCTTTCCTTCAATCCTATTTTGATAGCATAAAAGCTAGAAGTACTTAGCAGAATATTCTATTTAAATATTAGTAAGTTAAGGATATGATTAAAGACCTTCAAAACTAAGTATATTCATACTATCTAATCTGATTTTTTATACAATTATTTTCTTCAATAAAATAAAAAGCACTCAGGAGTTTCATTGTAAAAAAAATTTAATAAAATCATCGAAATTCAGTCAATAATCTTGAGCTAATTTTAGTTATATAAACCTTGCTAATAAAATGAAAGTCTAAACGAGATAATTTCTTATAAATAAAAAATTGACCAATGAACTTACATATATTTATATATGCATACTTACATATATAAATCGATTTTCCAATTAAGAATTATAGTGAAATAAAATTTAATGAAAACTAATTTTTAAACTTGTATGAACATTATTAAATTATTTTTTTAATTTTGATAATATTTTAATTCCAAATATTTAAAAAAAAAATTATTTTTATTTATTTATTTAATTAATATTGTTGTATAAATTATATTAGAAACAAACACTATTTTGTATTTTTACATCATTAAAAAATTTCAAAAATTTGTTTATCTCTAATTAATAACAACTACATTTAATAGATATATAACTAACTAATTATTTTACTCATAAATGAAAATTATAACTAGTTTAAAATCTAAAATATTATTTAATTTATAAAAAATTCATCTATAAATTGTTCATCTAAAAACTCAGAAGAATTTATTGAAATATTATCAAACCTTATCAACATTATATAAAAATAAATACCCAAATTAATTATACATTTTTGCTTTTTTTTAATAGATAATTCATATTTTTTCTAAATTCACATCCACTGTTTACTTTCAAAATATCTTCTCATAAAATGAAAGGCAATTAAATGGGCAGCTCCGCAGATCAAACCTTGTATCATGGGTTTAATAAGAACATTTTCTATCATTTCATCAGTATTCTCGTTTTTATTCTTATCATTTTAGCTTTACATTTCTTTTATTATATATCCCTATCTTTCTTTATTTAAATAAAATCGCCAATAATATCTTTACTCAAATATATTTTTAATAGATTCCTTTTGCTATTCTATTTATTGAATAAAAATTCAATACACTAAAAAAAAATCAATTAATTAATCAATCAATTTATTAAGTAATTAATAAAAAGTAAATTAAAAAAAAACCTATTTTAAATTTTACTTATATTTACTCCATTTTCTAAATTTTTTGTTTATTTTTTAATGAGATTTATAAATAGTCTAAGGCTCTATCTATTTTATGTTTTGGAAATAAAATTTGAAAAAGTAGAATTAAATATTTATTGAGTAAGCTTGCTAAAAAGAATGAAAATCTTTAGTGAAAATTTTGATTAACAAAATGGTTCTTTTAAGTTATGAGAATATCATAAATAAACAGAAAAATATATTACTTTTTATTTACAAAATTATTTCTATCATAACTAAATATTAATTTCCAACTAAAAAACTATTGATTGATTTATATATTTATTATTGATTTTCAATAATTAAATAAATAATTAACTCTTCCTACATAAAATTTCATAGCAAGTTGGTTAGTGAGTCTGAATAAGTACTGATAGATAAATAATATAGACCATTATTAATATGGATAAGCACTCAAATTTTTAAGAAAGCCAAGAGCTAAGAAAACCTTTAAATATCAATGCTGTAACTGTAGAGCAGTATAAGAACTGTTTTATTGTAAAATATTATTCATTAATTATTAATAACAGCAACTTTTTTATCTATCATGAATTTACAAATTCATGCAAGAATTTAAAATAAAAAACATTTACAAAAAAAAATAAAGATAAAAGCAGATCCATTAATAACAGGCATTGATTCTAGCTTATAAATTGATATAGATACAGGAAGAATTTAAGAAATAAGTAACAGAATTTAATGTTTCTACTCAAGTTTTATCATTTTTTAAATGTGAAATTAAAAAATTATAATCAATATTTAGAATACAAATAAAAATTGAGGTTTATTTATTTTAATATGCATAGAAAAAGATTAAAAATTGCCATAAATGGGAGAAGCGCCAAAAGAAAAGAAGGGTTGTGCTTTTTTAGGACTTTTACATATTAAATTCCATCCATTTTTAGTTTTTGCTGGAGAAGTTAAACCAATTTGCACAATTGAAAACAATTAGGTTTATGAAATTCACTCTATTTTCTTCAAAGCATTTCATGTAAATTGATTTTATCTTTTATTGAATTACTTATTATTATTTAGCTAGAAAATATTTTTTTAATTGTTTTTAAAAAAAGAGATTAGATTACAATGAAACAAGCACAGGTAGAAAAGTGCTTAATTTACAAAATCATTTAAAAAAGGTAATTAATAAAAATTGATTCAATAAGTCTAAAGTAAAAACCGAAAAATAAATTAATCAATAAAAAATAATGGTTTTTTTCTTTAAAATGCTTAATAAAACTTACATTTTTGTTACTAAAAATATTGTTTTTATAAAATAGCTTTTCTCTAGTGGTTTCTATTTTTCTTATTAGTTTGATTTAACTCTTTCTAAGTAGAAAAAATCCAAAGGAAATTCTAAAGAATCTTCTTTTGCTTGGAATACTCATTTAATGAAGGATTTATTTTAATAAAATATTAGCTAATCATGGTAGCTTTCATTAATTTATGTAATTTTTCATTATTTTGATTGTTAATTAATTTTATTTTTAATTCGATTTAAAATATAAATCAATTTAAACATCGTCAAATTATATTAATTTTTAGGGCTATGTTGGATATTTTTATACAGTAGTTAACAAAAAGAGATTAGATTATTATCTGATAAGTAGAAAATCTCGCCATCAAGCAGGAACAAGTGTAAATGTTAGAGGATTAGATGATGAAGGAAATGCTGCTAATTTTGTTGAAACAGAAGTAATTATATACTATAATAAATTCTGCTGCTCTTCAGTATATGTTAGAGGCAGTGTTCCTGTTTTTTGGTCCTAGGAGAGCTCAGTAAGACTGAGCTAATATGATGATATAACTCACAATGCATTCATAAAACATTTTGATTTGCTAAGAGAATAGTATGGTAAAGTTATGTGTTTAAATTTGATGAGTAAAAGTAAAACAAATGAACAAATTCTTACTGAAGCTTTTGAGAACCATTTTGAAAAGGCGAATTTTAAGAATCAAAAGTATTAATATTTTGATTATAATGGCACTATTAAAAATAATAAAAATGATTTATTTAATGATCTACTAAACAAAAATGTATTTAAATGGCTTTTTTATCAGAATAATTATTTATATTATTTTTTTAATAAAAGCTTAATGCTGTGATTTAAAACTTTTAGTTTTATGCAGAAGATGGAAAAAATTGGGAAATAATTCAAGACCAAATAGGTGTTTTTCGTATAAATTGCTTTGATTGTTTGAATAGGTCAAACTAGGCCATGTTAAAAATTTCTTTAAAAATACTTTAACAACAAATGAAATGCTTAAATATTTCAATTCCTAATTTTAATACTAAATCTGACTCTGATGTGCTTACTAATTTCGATACATAGGTTTTAAATATGAGCAATAATAAGCAGAAAGTGAATTAATTTATATATAATTTATAAGAATTGTGGGATTAGAATGCTAATTCGCTTAGTAGAGCGTATATTGGAACAGATGCCAATACATCAAATCAAAAATAAGGATTTTTTGCTTTAGTTGAACAAGGTGTAAAAGGCATCAATAAGCTCTATCAATAAAATTTTGAAGACTCTGCTAAATAAGGAAGTATAGATCTTATTTTAGGATAAACAATCTTCTAAGATTTATTTAATGAGAAAATCTTGAAGGTTCTAAAGAAAAGAGAATAGGATTTTACTACATTAAGCAATTTAAATGTATTCTGTATGACATGGAATATGAATGGTAATGAACCAGATGCTGAAATGAATTTTGCATAAAACATATTTAATTTTGAGAAGTAACCAAACCCTGATATTGTTGTTATTGGTCTTCAAGTAAATATTTTTTTTTAGTAATATTTATATTCTTATCAAATATATTAATTAATTCTTAAGGAAATGGTCAAGCTAAATGTGCAAAATGTAATGATGACAAATAATGAAAGAATTATTTAAACTTGGCTAGATTATCTGAATAAGTAACTAAATAGCATAAGCAGCGAAGATAAATATAAAATGTTAAAGTGGAAAGATCTTGTAGGTATTTTTATGGTGTTATTCGTTAAGGAACCTTTAGTCAAACGTATCAAAAGACTAGAATCTGAAGAGGTAAAAACAGGTTTAGGAGGAAAACTAGGTAACAAAGGTTGTGTTATCATAAAATTTACTGTTGATGATTCCAACATTTGTCTTATTAATTCTCATCTTGAAAGTGGTTTAAAAAACAGTATGGATCGTATTAAAAATATTTAAGAAATTCATTAGAAGCTACTGTCATCAGATTAAAAAAGAAAAGACGGAAAAAATGATTTTGACTATAGAATATTTATGGGTGACATGAATTTTCGTGTTTAACTTCCAAATTCCGAAACTCGTATTCAGCTTGATAGGTATGAAAATTCTAAAAAGCATTCTAAATAAGATGCACAAACAATTTTAAGAGAGCTATTGAAGCAAGATTAATTAAATATTTTGAGAGATAAATCTGAAAAGCACGATTACTTATCTAAATATCAAGAACACTAAATAAATTTCCCTCCCACATATAAATTTGATGTTGGGACAAGGAGGTACGACACTTCTAAAAAAAATAGAACTCCTTCTTGGTGTGATAGAATTTTAATTTGGCATAATGAAAACCTTTTAATCAAGCAATATTTCTACAATAGCAAAGAATTACTACACTCAGATCATAGGTAATTAATTAATTAATTCTTCTATTTTAATTTGTCAAAATATTCAAGGTTACTTAAGTATTTTACTCTTCTTTTATATTCATTAAAAATATGTTAAATTTACCTAAAATATATTTATATTAATCTAAAGACCAGTAGTTACTTATTATAATCTAGAGATCAAAAAAATTGACTAAGAAAAGAGGGCATAAATCATAAAAACTGTTTATGTAAGCATATAAATACTTAATATTTTAGAAGTTAAATTTAAATTAAAATAAACAGAACTAGTCAGAAGATGATATTGAAGAAATAGAAAAAATAATGGATGTATATAATTTAACAACAGGTGTTAATACATAAACTCTAGGATCTAAAAAGTTGATACCCGTAGAAGAATATAATACTATGGCTAAAGCAAATGGAAATTAAGAAGATAATGATAAAATGTTTTAGTTTTACCAAACTTCAGCTAACTTTTAGCACAATTTTAACTAACAATAACAACAATAATTCGGTTAATTTAGTGTTAGTTAAAACTAAAATGCAAAAGAAATATAAAATAATGCTTAAAACACAAACTAGTTTTAATATTCTGATCTTCATGTAAATAAGATTATTAAAATTCATTTAATTTAAAAGTTTTTTTTAAGAATAATAAAGGTATTTAAACAATAAAGAATGATCTTATTTTCTTTGAACCAGATCAAAGCTCATAAATAATTAATAGCTAGAATATACAAAATATTGAATTTAGTGCAGATTTTAACAACGAAAAATATGTTAATAATTAATATTAATAATAGTAGTAATAATAATAATATAATAATTAGTAATATAATAATCAGCAATATTAAAAGCCATAAACTTAGATAAAAAACCTTTTAGATTGAAAGATGAATATTTTAATTTGCTATAATTATAAAATATGTAGTACTTAATATTGAATTTTATATTTTTGAAAATTCAATAAAATTTTAAAAATCTGATGAGAGAGAATAAAAAAAAACAAACACTCATTATTGATTGATTAATCTCATTAAAATATTTTTCTCAAATTAAATAAAAAAATAACAAAAAATATAAAAAAAGTATTTTAGAAATTTTTATGTAAATAAAATTTGATTTTAATATTAAGAGACAGACTTAACTTATTACGAATTCCTTTTTCAATTTAAAGATTTAATACAATTTTTTTATTAAATTATTTTTTTAATATTGAATTTAAGAATAATTTATATGATTAATTCTCTTTTCCAAAATTAATTTATACAATTAAGAAACAAACAATCGAATTTATTTATGTAGTATATGCTGTAATTTGGATTTTTTATATACTAAAAAAATTTAAATTTAAAATGTAAAAAATAAATCCTAAGTATTTCCTTGTACATTTGATAAATCTATTTTTATAATTTTAATTATTTTTTTCATTTTCATTAAAAATCATTTTCTTTTTCTATGCATGAACAAATTTTTAGATCACAGTTTCTACAGTAATAGTAGTAAATATACGAATATAATTATTTACAATCTTCATGGCCTGTATAATTACTTAGAAAGTATTCTAAAGTAGATTAACAATTTTTACACTTATATTTGGCTTGGTGTTCTATTTTACTAAAATTCAAAGGTTTTTTACATGATCTACAATTCATATTTCCTATATTTTTATCAAACGGGCAAACAATAAAACCATCACTATTTTTTTCATTAATATCATCTAAATCTATAAGCCATTTGTTTGGATTGCATTTTAATGGGCAAATGTCTTTTGTTTGCTTCCACTGTAATACGCATAGTTTGCAGAATTGATTTTTACATCCTAAGCATCTTCTAGATTCAATTACATCTTGAAAGCATATAGGACATATATTTGGATTATTTTCATTTAAATTTTGCTAACTCATAATATTTGTTATTTTAAATATTTAAATTGTGTAAATAAGATAATTTCAATTTATTCTAATTACTATTATTATTAAATTATTAATAAATAACTTTGAGCTTTAATTAACAACAATTTAACTAAAACTTATAAAAACAAATTTGCAAAATACCTAAACATATTTATTAATTTTTATGAATTTACTTCCTTTTTTATCAATTTATTTGAAATAAACTATTTAAATAATATTTTAAAAATTAAAAATATTTAAACAAATTTATAAATTTTCCTAAATTAATTAATTAATTAATTATAAAGATATACATTTAATAGAACAATAAATTAAAATACACTAAATTTTTTAAATAGTACTATATTATTTTTTTTAATATAAAAAATAAGTAAAAATTTCTTTTGCTAAATAATTATCAGGTTTGTGGTCATTATCTCATAATGCAATCACACATTTTAATATCACATTTTAGACAGTAAAAGTAAAATAACTTTATGTAATCACAATTTTCATGATTTAAAGATGTAGATTCAAAGAATTTGAGCCTACTTTAACAACATTTACAATAATACTTATTTAAAATAGGTAATTTATTAAATATCAATCCCTTCTTGCAAGTTTTACAATTAACCGAACCAACTTTTTAATCGTATGCACAAACAAAGTAGCCTTAGCTATTTCTTTCATTAATATCTTTTAAATCTACTTCCCATTTTTAGGAGCATCTAAGAGGGCACATATTCTATTTTTACATCCACTATAATACGCATAGCTTACAAAATTAGTTTTTACAACCATTACATATTTTAGGTTCTTTACAAATATCCAGGCAAATCAAACATATTATATTTTCACTCATTTTTAATTAAATGCTTTTTATTTTGAAAATTAAATTATAAATTTTTGAATAAGCTCTTAAGTTATTGTGTTTTCAAAAAGATCAAATACTTGATATAGAAGTATAAATTTTTCTATTTTTAACTATCTTATCAGGTAAAAGTAAACAAAAATACTAACTCTATAATCAGTTCAATAAAAATGAATTTTTGCTAGAGTTAAAGATGTTATAAAAAATGTAAAATGCTTACCCAATTACTTTCATTTAACTTATATCCATTAAAATAAAATACTATGCAATACCTCTTTAATAGGTTAAAATATATTTTAAAGCTTTTTATCTACTTCAAGATAATATTCCTTAGTAATTTATTGTCTATTTCAAATTATTTTCCTTTTTTCTATATTTTTTTATTAAATTGAATCTAATATATTTTAATTTAATATTTTTAATTCAAGAAAAGTCTATTAAAATAAATATAAATATATTTCAATAAAGCTTTATTGAACTTAAAGAAGCAAGTATAAAATAATTCATTTTTTCAACTTTTTACAAATTTATACTTACCTCAAATCATTAAAATTATAATTCTAATGTATAAATTTATTAATTAAAAACTACCAAAATAAAAATTTATTATTTAAAAAATGCAAAGGAAAAAATTATTATTTTAATAAAGTGGTTTAAGAAAATTATAATAGATATATAGATTTTTTAATAAAAAATATAAAAAATATTGAAAATGAAAGCAAGCAGCTGATTTTCTACCAATTTTCAGATAATTAATTAATATATCCTTTCTAATTATTACAGAAAAAATTAGAAGAAAAAAGAAATTAAAAATATATAGATATCAATATTTATTATTGAAAGCAGAGGATATCTTATTTAAAAAGTTAAATTAACATTTTCAATTAAGGTTTATTATTAAAATGATTTCATAAATGAGAAATATTGGAGGAGTATTGAATAAAGCTTGCAAATCAGCTCTTACCTAAACTCTTCTTAGATAAAATTTAAGCACTATTTAGGCATTCAGAGCTAACTAATATATTAATACTAGAATTAATCAAATGACCTAAAATAATATTTACTCATTTGCAAGTTTCAAGGAGAAAATGGAAAAAAAATAAAAGGAAAAAGCTGAAGATGAATTCAAAAAAGAAATAGAATTCCTTGCTAACAAGCCTTCATTTACTTTAGTTGATTTTAAGTAGCGTGTTATCGATTAATTAAGTAAACTTAAAAAAGGTTTAAAGGCTAAGCTATTAAGTGGTTAATAAGAAAACGAAGCAGCACTTACTAAATAAAAGACCCTTCTTAATGCTTTTACTGATGATGAATTGATAGACCCTACCAAAATTGGATCAACTACAAAGAAATAAATTGCAATGATTGCTTAATGCGAAGTAGAAGATGTTAATAAATTAATTCATGCTTTTAAAAATCTCTAATAAGCTCACGCTTTCTTAAGAAGAACTAAAGAAAAGGGCTAGCCTCTCCCTGAAACCTCTGAAGAGCTTTAATGGAGATTTAGATAAGAAAAAAATGTTTCTTATGAATACAAGAAAACCATCTAATCTAAATAATATGGTAGATCAAAGGTATAATACAGAAAAATGCAAAAGTGGTCTCGTAGACTTCAACTTTGATTAATTTAAGGAATTTTAAATGAGAAAAATATTCCTTTGTATACACTTTTAAATATTAATATCACATAGAATTAGATTTTTAAAATCAAAGTTCTTCAATTTAAAATAGTTTTTATTTAATTCATTGTACTCTTTACAAATTTATTTTATTTTACATGTTTTCCTGTTTTTTACATTTTTAAGATATACAATTTTATTTTATTTTGATATTTATGTATGAATGAATGAATGAATAAATAAACATGTTGATATAATTTAACTCTTATTGATTATAAAATAAAAGTTTATTTTTGCATTTATAATTGGGGTTGGGGTTGGGGTTGGGGTTGGGGTTGGGGTTGGGGTTGGGGTTGGGGTTGGGGTTGGGGTTGGGGTTGGGGTTGGGGTTGGGGTTGGGGTTGGGGTTGGGGTTGGGGTTGGGGTTGGGGTTGGGGTTGGGGTTGGGGTTGGGGTTGGGGTTGGGGTTGGGGTTGGGGTTGGGGTTGGGGTTGGGGTTGGGGTTGGGGTTGGGGTTGGGGTTGGGGTTGGGGTTGGGGTTGGGGTTGGGGTTGGGGTTGGGGTTGGGGTTGGGGTTGGGGTTGGGGTTGGGGTTGGGGTTGGGGTTGGGGTTGGGGTTGGGGTTGGGGTTGGGGTTGGGGTTGGGGTTGGGGTTGGGGT